GCTTGTTTCCAGGGTGAAACGCTTTGGTTCGAATTTCTCCATCCACATAATCCTTCGTAAAACTGAAAACATCCAGCGTATACTAGAGAAGAGTAGAAAACAAAGAACTGAAGAATTTGAAAGGACTATATGTGTTGAAAACAGTATTTACACTGGAAAAATGCAAAATAATGATTGAATCAATTGATGAATTGAGTAACAACAACAACATTGATTTTTCCAACACAAAAGATCAATAAACAAAACTCTGATGAATGATTTACCAGTATGAAAAGAGATCGAGGGAGCGTAATTACTTACTAGAACACCACCCCCACGTTCGGTGGTGCTGGTTTCGCGATTTAGCTCCACACCACAAGCGTTCCGAATCCACACTCGTACAAGTATTGTGTTCTGTTTTCTTGTAAACGAAAGGAAATTCGCAACATCCTCCAGCAGCCGTACTTCGAATAGGACAAAGTGCTCGAGTTGGGCCTGCGTAGGAAAAACTTAGAAACCTAAGACACCCATTCGTTTTTTTTTCATCCCTCTACATCAGGAGACCTATCATCCAAGATACTGCTTACTGTTATACAGTTCCCTCTCTTATGACCACATTCATGAAAGCAGAAGACACCACATTGAATAAAAGTAGAATCTTTGTTGCACCTTACTTGATACCTATCAACTATTGCTAGTAAAACTTTTTTAGTAAGTACGCCTGTAACCAAAGTTTAATACCATCAACTGACGTGATACATCTCTAAATATGGCTACCGTAAAGGTTGTCGAAACGTCAGTCAGTGTCAACAAGAGTCCTTTTCAGGACTACGATCACCCGGACGATCATGCTCAACCTATACTACTTATCAAATAACTCCTGGGTTCAAACCTTCCACAGTACGCCTGTAGTTGCATGCAATGAAAATACAGAACTTACTGTAAAGGATAAAAACCTCTCCAAACGTAAGTGGTCGCAAAAAGACCATCAAATCCCTCAGCGACCCATGGAGTATTTCCTTTGTGTCTTTTTTGAAGCCAAGTTCATATGTCGTGTGATTTGTCAGGTTAAGGTCAATATCTTGACCAGTGTAATCCTTTTCTCCTGCAGACTCACCATCCAAGTACAACTTTCCTACACGGGTAGAGCGATTCCAGACAAACACCATGTGTGTCCAGACTTTTGCATGGATGTCTCTACAATGTAATATTAAAGCAATAAAGCCATGCACAATAATTTAAAATTCGAATAAATTTAAATATCTTACGCGCGCACTATAATCCATACCACCATACTGTATCACATCGAATTTTTCCCAGGATCACCCTTTTAAGAGCTTTAATTAAAAATGGAGAAGGCAAATAATTCGACCCATTTTGACTCTATCAACCATCGAAGCAAAATCATTACGATAAATGTCCGATAATCTTTGATGGGCACGCGGCCCAGTTGGTGCTATTTTATCGTCTATCGTAAGTCTCCTCACATTGGTATTCAAGAACAGGTGGAATGATCACGTTGACTAACGTTTACTAACCGATCGCTCGCCATATGAAGCATTATTTGCACTTCACCATTTCGTCTCAATTCCACGTACACTTTTCTGTCATAAACATACAGTCTGAATTGCCATGGTGATGACCAATCGGATAAGAGATGTCCTTGATTGTATGAATCGTGGACGTTAAATCGAAGGGCGATTGAAAAGCTGCTTCTTCTGAAGTTGATTGCAGGGATTTCTGCGTAACCAGATCTTCCGTCCAGATGCAACGATTTAATACCATTATCAGTTTGATATGAAGCAGTTCCTTCCAATCTAAAATCGTATGGGATAACGTTATACTTAGTCTAGAAATCTTCGCCGAAAGATGACATATTTCGATACTCAGGTAAAACAATGTGTAATAACTTAGGTACTGACTTAACATTTCTATTCCCCAATTGCGACGCCAGGTTAGACGTACTATAAAGAAGAACTGGTGTACCTTCAATAGAGTGCATGTCTTTGGCACTTTCAATGTTAATAACGTTCTACATTCGGCATCGCCAGTTTAAAGTTCGTTAATTATAGTGCTGAATCTAAGCATACCTTATATTTCTGTCACTTCCGTCTAGTTTCCAGAAATATTGCGTTTTAAGCGGATTTTTGCCATATTCTGTGCTTTTCTCTAAACAGATAAAAGATAAAAGAAAATACTATAACTATTACCAAAAAGGACATTCCTATAGTGGTGTTTAAAAAACGTTTGTACAAAAAGAGCTTTTTTCATTAGTAACCGACAAGATGTGCTTTTAGGAATGTACAGATAAATTACATTGTAACAGAACAATGTTCTTTGGAAAATAATCACAGATATAGATCAAAATGCATCCCAGTACCGAAAAAAATCAGTCGCTCTGAAATTAATTAAGATGAAGTTTTGTCTTTCTTACTACGTTGTTTACTGTTATGAAACGATGGCCCGCAAAATAGCTGGACAGTGACGGCGCGTGAAAGATAATAAGATAATCGCTGTTCATGCAGTAAAAACAACTTACTGCGGTTGTTGTTCAACTGCGTGAATCACATTTCGCTTTCATAGGTCTTTTAAATCCCCAGTTCACAAATATCATTTTTTTTCATCAATTCTAAGCTAGTGACAGAACACTTAAACTGGCTCTTATGCCAGCAGGAAACGTGTCCACCGTTTTTATTCCCGTCATGCAATTCGATAACGTTACCGCCCTCTAACACTTGCCTTGCCAGGGAATGGCTTCACATCTTTCGGTTTGAAAAGCTATGTCATCCACGGCAAGGAATGTCCACTGCAAGGACGTCTGCCCTTCAAGAAGAACCTAGTTACATCCAAAAAATTAAAAGATAAAGAATTTACACGTCATGATAGTGAGTGTTTCTTGGTAACTCAGAAAGTAGCGTTAAAAAAGCGACAGGGCAGCTGGCTAGTCCCGTTTACCGCAACACAACTGTGTGCGCTTGCCCACCTGTTTCTCAATTTTTGTTGGTTAACATTGGCAGCGAAGCTCCTAACTTGCAAATAAGCCTAGAACGGTTGCCCATCAATAAACGATTAACTTGGAAGAACGCCTATTTTCCAGACTCGGTATATCTGCCCATTTTAGGAGTTGCTCATACGCTACTGCAGTATAGTTGAAAACGGCACGCAGAGCACGTTCCTGGACCCTCTCCAGTTTTCTAGTAACGACCGCTTTACAAAAATGCCCTGTCAGTATGACAGTAGGTGAAATTTGGTAACACTGCTGATTTATTAAGTTGTAGCAAGGCATTTTTTTGAACTAGAAGTAAACAGGAATCAGTCAATTTTTATTTTGGGAGTCAGAGGCTGTTAAAGTCAGGTAGGACATCTTCCGTTTCCCCAGTTAAGATAAGGTTAGGGAGTATCAACCCAACTTGAGGTTCATAGATGTTAAAACTTGCAACTGAGCTGTTCATGTTCCAATAGCTTTCAGTGGTTTCATATTGTGATCTTTTGTATTCACTGACCTGGTATGGGCTTGAACCAGAGTCGACCGACAAGCGAACATACATCCAGTGTCCAGCTTTTCCTTGATGAGAGTCTGAGCTCCACAAAATGGCTTTGGTTTCATTGATTATTAAAGACACCTGCAAAGAATTGAATCCGGCGGTTCCCAGATAATACCAAAACTGCATACAATTCCAACCCGCTTCAGGCAAAATGCGTCGACTTTTCAAAGTCCCGTAGCACCCTAATTCTTTGTTCGCGTTGGAACAACCTTGCAAATATGTAAATCCTCCTGCAGAATATCACATGAAAACAATTTAAAGAGAAGTGCTTCACTGGGTTTGTTAAAATGTAAAGAAACTCTATACGTACCCAGGGTGTTTTGCCAATCCTTTTCCAAAGATTTCAAAGGCGAAAGTTTACTCATCCGCCAGTTGTCACTTGACTCCCAAGCGCACTGATTCACCTCAAACAGACATCCGGGAAGTTCTGTTAAATAAAGTAGTTGAAAATGAACAGGTAAAGTTTACTTTGGTGATGGTCATTTGACAGATCTAAAAATTCGTTTTGAATAATTTTCACCTGATGACGTCACCAAATGCCATGGAATAAACTCAAACACATTCGTTTAACCTCGGTTTCTTTCGAACATAAGTGGTTTAAATCTTTCACGACCAGGATTTTTTCAAAACCTTGCACTTTGTTTGCTCCCCAAAATCTTGCATACGCTGCTTCTCAGTTACTTTCGGGACAATTTTACTGCCCAGGAGACACTGGAAACAATGTTTATGCAAAATGTTTGTTCATTCTTGCGTGGTGGGTTGGGGGAAACAAATTCTGCTCATTATGGGTAATGAAAAAGTGTAAATAGCCATCACATCCATTTCAAGCCCTAACTCAGGCTTTATTCTTACGGCAAGACGTTTTATGGAATTTAGCAAAATCAAGTAATTTTCTGAGACTTAGAAAAGCAACATTTTCAATAAAATGGTAAACTAACCGTTTCCCATTATGGTGTCACATTGTTTTTGGCCAAGTAAGAAAAAATCATCAACAGCAATGTCTCCGTAAATTCCACTACCAGCAACCCCCTCTAAGATGACCTGGAAAGAGGAATCAAAAGAGTGTCTATCATATCTCAGAGTAATGAACAAGTTTATCAATGTCATATCGCACAAAAATGAGGTCTGTTCTCGATTAGGCGGCATTCTTTTATTCTTAACAGCCGAGTAAGTAAGATCACGTGACGTTAGTCCTGGTACAGCCCTAAACACTGAATAAGGGATTTTTTTTCTAGTTAAGATAAAAAAAAGTCACAAGAAAGAGAATCAATTAATTCGCGACTGAACTATCTGGTGCCTTCAGTTTCTTCAAATAGCCCTCCATGTGATGGAGGAGAACTTCCTTAATTTATAGTATCAATTCACAATTGCAACAACGACAACACCAACCTCTATCTGGCCCTCTAGTTTTCCGATTGTCTAATCTCAGTGATAAATTAAGAACACTGCCACGGACGATAAAATTTAGAAGAGGTATTAAGTTATTTGTTGCAAGGACTCTCTTACCTCATAGCTTTTTGAATCACCTTTGTATCCAACTTGTCCAAAGTTCCATTTGCCACCTTGTTCACCAGTCGTGTTCCAAACTAGCGTTTTTGTTTCATTAGTTTGGATGTAGACTTTCAAACTCCCGATATCTTTTCCTTTCATGTGATACCAAAACTGTACACAAGTAGATTTACCAGGACCAATTATACTGCTGGTCAGAACGGCTGTCTCGTCTGCCTTGTGATCGGATGCTTCCAAAAATAAGTATTTTCCTTGATAAATAAATGGATAAATAAAAAAACGATAACTAAAATAAAAACACTAATAAACTTAGAAAGAACAAAAAGGGCAGTCAAAGCTTTTCCTTTTAAATGTTCTCATAATACGAACGTATAGTTAGTAACAACTGATGATTGATCTATCAGTTCATCATGAAGCGCCAATCGTAACGTTAACTTTCAGTGGTTTTGTCCTCGTAAATGTTTTCTACAAGTGTTGTCACTGATTTTACTTATGTCAGGGTTTTGAAATATACACTTTTTTAGTGCATTTTGCTGTTTATGAGATGGTTTGTAGCAATTGTTAGCACCTTTGCGAAAAGGAAAACAAAAGAAAACTGAAACGCTTAAGACTATTAGCATCGCTCAAACCAACCTTCAGGTAGAAATGTAGTGTGGTCATAATCCGGGCCAGTGTTTTTTGTGGGTGTTGAGCCAGACCAAACGCGCCAGTTAACTTGTTCCATATCGCACAGTCCATCTTCAAAATCGCATTTATCTAACACAACGCATGCGCGCATAAGAAAAGGAGTCAGTAAGTAGAGAGCAATGTCATATCGAATAGGTGTGAAGGAAAGTGATAAGTATATTTCAAGAGATGTCGAGAAAGTATTACTCAACGTTATGAACTAAATAAGTTTTCGAGAAGTGGGTTTTTTTATGGAAACTAATCAGCTTTTGCATTTGCCTTTTACTGATAGACATTATTATTTAAGCCACTGTTTCACTTTCACAGGAATAACGTCGTTCACATTACCTAACATCAACAACTACGGGACAACAGTCGTATTTCAATACCTTTACCTTTGTTTCCAACACACGGGTACGAATTTAACGAATCCGTATAGTTAGACCAATCACAACTCAGATTAACCAACGGACAGTGCGAAGACCCTGAAGAAGTAAGAAACCTGTCAAATGAATTAATTACTTGATTATTACATAGAGTCTTCTCTATTCCACTTCAAACTCAGCATATAGGCAGTAGTTTTCATTTTGAGGTTAGCCAAGGAATTTACCCGGTACTAATCTGTACATAGTCGTAAATATATAAGAAACGGGCTTATTTACTAAGATATGAAAAAAATGTACCGCTAACTTGTAACGCAACAGATTCAAACGTGTAAACACAGGGGCCGATCTAGGGGAAGGAGGGTCCAGGGAGTGAGATGACCCATGGGTTTCTAGTACAACTGGCATTCTGCAAAAAAAAAAACTTTGTGGTTTATCGGTGTGGAAGTTAAAGATGAGACGAGACTGAAGAATTTGTCTTAAATGCCGTAAAAATGGTAGTGATTATGGTAGTTCCTTTGTGGTCACCCTCTCCTAGGAAAAATCCTGAATTCCCCCCTGAAACATCCACACCAAGTTTATGTATCGCTGATCAAATGTTTACTACCTGAATTATATTAGGCTGAAAGACAAATCCCTGGTTACCTTTAAAAAAATAATAGCAAAATAACAATTGCAAAATTACCACATATAGGTGGCTCATCCGTTTCGTCTTCACAGTTCTTTTCTCCATCGCACGTGAGAGACCACGGTACGCAACCACCTCCAGCGCAAGAAAAAGCATCTTCTGAGCAGCTTTGCCCTATATATTAATGAGACCCTAAAGTAACAAATATTGCAGCAAATAAATGAACTTTTTTGAATCTATTGCTTACCGCATCTTGCCTCGTCTGTTCCGTCCTTACAGTCCTTTCTCGAGTCACATAGGTTCTCTACATCAAGACATTCCCCAGTGGGACAAACAAAATCACTTGCTAAGCATTTACAGTTCTTCTCGTCAGAGCTGTCCATGCAAGCAATATCTCCATCGCATACTAGATCTTTGCTTACGCATTGACCATTGTCGCACTGAAAACCACTTTTGCTCTTGCACACGAATCCTGAAAAAAATGACGACAGTTAGCATAGTTCGTATAGCTTCTCGGGGTAACAATTCTACCACTACTATTATTATTTTTATTTTAATCACTCATGTTTTCATATTAGTGCAGACTTTACGTCGCCGAACAGCTGAACGTACCAAGATGGTTCTAACAATCCCAGTTATGGACAAAGTGAAGACTATTAAGAAAGAGTACTTACCTGGTACACTATGAAGCGGTAGTCTCTCACACTGTTTTGTATCAATACTAATGTTTTTAATTGCCACGGAATTAATCCCAGACGGCTGTTTTCGGATAGCAACAACAAGAACCTACAAAAAAAGAAATGATTTATTGAATCAATCCTCAGTACGAGAGCACGAAAACCTTGATTATGCTACATAATACCTTAAAATCATCACGTGCTATAAATGACACTTGGCCTGTCAGCCAGGTTTGGCCCTGGTAACCATGGAGACTCCACAAAGAGACATTTGATGATGTCAGCAGTACAAAACTTATTGATGATCCAGAATAAGCCGAAAGAAGATAAGAGAAGGACAGGCATAATCCAGTTTTTTCGTAAATAATATTTTTCGAAACCCACGGGCTCTCTAGAACAGCAACTTTGCCGTCGAAACGGGCCAGAATTCCTGAATAAAAATAGAAAAATAGGACATCAATTAAATCCCAATGCCTTTATTATAAAGTTCAAAGAGTACCCATAAAAAACACATTTTTTCCGAAACAAGGCTTGCAACAAGGCCTCTGGCAGCCAAGCGTTAGCTGTCGGCTCTTCCTATCATTGCGTAGCAGTGTAAGGGAACAACTCTGTAGCGTCAAAATTAGTTTTTTTCTTTCGCAGTCACCAACTAAGCTGCTCAAAGTAGTATTCGCAAAATGGTACCATCTGACTCGATATGCATAGAAAATATTTTTAAATTGTTCACACCGTGCATAATAATAGTTTACTCCCACAGATTCCAAAGTAATATGCACCTTTTAAATCATAGATAGTTGAGTGCTCACGTATTCGTCTGTAAGCCACCTTCGATTGTTGGGGCTGCATTCAGGTGCCATTACATTGTATTGAGGTGGATACCAAAGGTTTATTTATGTACATGGATATTACAGAGTCAACAATACAAACCTTTGTCAGACGATGAAAGTGTCCAGCCATTATTTTTACTTTTCCAAGAACAAAGGTCAGATATGAAGCTACAACCTTCAACTAGGATAGCTAATGGAAAGAATAGAAGTGGAAACATGTACCGGATAAAAAACACTTGAGACAAACAAGAATTATTTTTTAACATCCAGACAGGATTGTCATACCTGAGATATAAACTTCCTTAATTTCCCTTGAAACCTCGGTTGTATACGACAAAGTATCGACCAGGCCATAAGATACCTAACACACGTCGATACACAGTGATTAAGGCGAATGCTAGGTTAAACCTAATCATTTAACTACAAAGTAAATACAAGAAATTCAAACTGCTTACATTAATTTGGTATGTCCCTTCCTGTTGAAAGGTGTCGAGACTAGTGTTGAAATGGCGCTCTTGACAATCCATTGGTAAGTCATTATGAACCAAAATCCTTTGCTCACCAAATCTCAAATATAAGCGATTTGGACATCCGGGACAGTACAATCCACGGCAGCAATATTTGTAATTGGCTATATGGTTAAAAGAAGAGAAAATGACTCGAAAGTGTAAACAGGTTTATCTGTACACGCGGACGTATTATTCCGAACTTTTCACTACAAAACGTCACTTCATACTTAATTAATTTACAGCAATTAGAGATATAGAGCGTTTTCACATGACGTCAAGGTGGCCATATTGGTGTTCCATACCAGTCCTCTGGGAGCTGAACTTTTTTCTTATGTAAACACTTTATTTTGTTCCAATAAATTTGCATAGATGCTGGTCACGTGATTGAAAACGCTGTACAGTAACTGTTCTGTCCAAATTAGCCTTAATGGTTTTCCACCATTAACACCACTTATAACTTTCACATACGAGTAATTACCGTTAAGTGAATCTAAAAATACCTTGAATAAGAAGTTTTTGACCAGCCTTGAGTGTGACCTTTTTAGGAATAGACGTTATTTGAAAGTCTATGTATCCAACACCTGTGTAAATGCAAATTGTATAAAAATAAAACAGATCGCTAATCCTTCGTAAACTGCTAGAAGGAGTATCGATGTTTTCAAAGTATATTAGTCTAGAATTGCAGACAACTATTTATCCGAGCACCATATTTGGAATCGTCATGGATTACTAGAGTTGCTTACTCCCTTCTCACTCGTGAACCGCATTCACCATTCACCATTCACTTCCCTTCACTTACAACTTGTCATGATCTATTTTGACGGCCATAAACAGCTTTGACAGCTTACTTGAGTAGGAGAAAGAGATCGTTCAAACCGCACTCGAATGAGCAAGTTTCCGTCAAACAAGCCAAATCAAAAAGCAAAAACAAAACAGTTAAAGTTAGAGACCAAAGCTTAAAAGAAACAATCCGTGGGCAAACATGCACATACACGGACAATTTCCGGTTTCTAAAGGTGTCCCCGTTCACTAGTATCAACTGCATAAAAATATTTACCTGGCCGCACCCAAAATAAGTGATCCTCAGTTATTGGGCTTTTATATGTCCCATTTGGTAGCTTCATTCCTACGGATGCACAATCACTTACTCCAGATTGCTTCATTAATAACTCCAAAGAGTACAATTTGCATTTACTCAACCAGATCTCTTGGGATGTCTGCTGAGAGGGAAATCTAAAGAAACGTACACATAAAGAGTTTGGATGATTATGTGACCAACAAAAAATTAGACAAATAATTAAAAACATGCTTGCATACATAAAACGACATTATGCGCTGGTTCATTCTCATGACATGCTAATGGTTTAAGAATATCTACGAAGCATCATTGGGCCTACAGACCCAAAATCAACTGTAAAAAAGGTGTGTTACGTTAATGCAAAGCAAATAAAATTTTGAGTCTGGTCTGTCCTGCGGCTTATGATTTTTAACTTGTAAAAAATGGAAAAAAAAAAACATTTTTGACTCCTTTGAATTCAGCTGCAATCAAAGTAATTTTTTCCTACCCTCAGTAAATAAAAACTACTACACAATGCATGTACAGATTGCACTCTGTGTAGATAAAGGGAAGATTAAAAACTAGGTAAAAAATATGATGAAGCGCTGTTTAGTTTTCCAGATAACATAACCATTTCATCGAATAACAAGGTAGTCTTACTTATCCCATTGATTGTGGGCTGTCCAATAGTCCAGTTTTATTAAACGTAGCTTGCCAGATGACTCATCGTCCTTTATTTTTTCAACGTGTTCTTCGCTCTCTGTGTGTAACCAAAGCTCGCAAGTGTCATCACAAGCGACGAAGAAGGAATAATTGCCGCTTTCGGGAACCTTACGCGAGACAAAAAAGGGAAAAAACAAAATGATTGACTTGCCAGGCACGGGTTAGTTCCTGTCACTGAATGCACAAGGGATGTTCAAAAGAATTGCTTTCTACAGAAAAACTTCAGTATTTAGGAATAGGGACATTTGGGTGTACGTATAGAAAGTGATAGAGAACACCAAGTACTTACGCCCAGAAAGAAAAAACCGAAACAGAACATTAAAGATAATCCGTCCAATCCTTCAAAGAGAATACTTGGTCAAAGGTCTGCAACTTATTTTGTACCCGTACCCATTCTTACTTACAACATTAAATGAAAACAATAATAAAGAAAAAATAATAATATAGGAACTATTTACCTGCAAATACGCTGTCAGTCGTTGTCCGTAATCTGTATGGAAATTGAAGGGAGCGTCAAACTGTTGGAGAATGTTCACAACATCTGGATTGCTTGGAAATCTGCTATCAGCTCGCAGACTGGTTATCGTACCAGAACGAATATTGTACCAAAGCTCTTGAAGAACGCCGTGAAGACTGTCTTCGCTTTCTGTGTATTTTATAACGGTCGAATATATTTGTCAATACCAAGCGAAACAAAGAAGTGCTTCTTACAACCAATGTTTATGAAACGATTCGCATATTTTTGTATGTGCATCATTATTTCTTCACATCAGGCTTAACATTACTTGTCTTGCGCACTTTAAAGTCAACATCAAGACTTCGTTTCTGATGTACAGCATGGGTGCCAGCGCGTCCAAACGATCACCGTGACAAATTTGGAGGTATTTTACAATAATTTTTCTTTTCTTAGTTTTGAATTTGGTGGATGGTATACAATTATCTTTACCAATTAATTACGATTCAAAAACCAATGTACATGAAACAAAAAACGTTTACATTTCTCACCTATTGCCGTTATCATCACCTCACATATCCGTAAATCGCCTACACCATCCTTTTTAATAGTTAAATTCGAAGCAGAAATCAACGGTTCACAGATCATCAGTGTTTTTTGTCTGTCCTTCCAGGAGTAAACTTTACAGTTTGCTTTTTCGGTTTCCACACTGTTCCTTAAAATGACATTATTTTTGGGCATTTCTGCAAGGCAGCACCCCAGCCTGTTAACGATCCAGATTTTGCTGACAAATGCTCGTCTTTGTAGAGTTACACTCCACCAGGCTGGCTGATCCTGTGGTTTTGAAAGAAAGTTTCAACAAAACAGTAAAGTATTTCTTGTTGTTTTATATTTTTTCTGATCTTGGCATAACATTTCTTCTTCTGTCAGTCTTTCAAACTGGATACCATATATTATCTTAAGTAAAAGAAAAATGAAATTTGAATTGACAAGTTAAGTCAGTATATAGGAGGCAACATGGCCCAGAAGATGAATCACTGGACTGGCAATCCGAAGGTTCCGGGTTCAAGTCCAGAACAGACCGCTAACTGTGTTTGTTCATGGTAGTAGCTGGCTCAAATCCACGGGCACCTTGATGATAACTAATTACCGGGTGGTTTGCCCCCTAGCAGCTGGAATTCTTAACGTTATGTTCCATTTGAATAATCTGTTTCATTGTCCCTGAAAAGCCCCATAAGGGGACAACATTACGTTTTTAGTTGAATACGTTCCCTTCCGTGAAGGTTCTAACTGATTACATAGTCAATACCACATTAAGAGAATTTAACTACTAGCAAAGCTAGTTGATGATCGGCATCTCATAAACTAAGCGGGGTACAACTGAAATGGATTGTTACTGCAAAGCACTTACCTTTTGCCCTTTAACAGTGAAACAAGACGCAATGTTACCATCAAGGGCATGGAACGGTTTACCCCTGCTGTTGACATGGCAGGATGAATCGATGGATTGCCAACCGACCAAAAATCTTCCTAAGCATTATCAAACAATAGAACAATCAAAATGAGAGGACCGTCTTCGAGGATGGTTTCCAATATTTGTGTAGTGATCTTCTATGGATCTAAAACAAACTTAATCAAGAAAGAAGCTGGAATCAATTTATCATAATAACGACGGACTTACGTTCATCTGTTTCACAAATGAATCCGAATGTATACAGACAAGACTCCTGGGCAAGCTTCCATCCAGGTGAGAGCTTTGCTAGAACGCCACACTCTCCGCTCCACAAAACATCGGGATACCCGGAATGCCAAATGCTAGTTGAAATATTGTTGCCGTCTAACCAATGCCATGTGCCAAACTTACGAATACCAAGAAATACCTTGATGTTGTCACCTGGGTACCTTTTGGCTATGTTAGTGAGATGGTCACCAATGATTTTTCTTTCAATTTCAGTTTTAACCACGGCTAGTTCACCTCCCAATTTTAAGCACACCTGACGAGCCTTGTTCCATTCTCTAGCAAAGGAATTCCCCGCAAACACTCCAAAACATAAGTCATCCACCTCAAACCAACCGGAATTACACGTAGATCCTGTCAAACCAATTACGAAAGGTAATCGTTTACAATGAGTAAATCTTTAGCTAAAGACAATCCATCCACTTTACAGACGCTATGTCTAGCTGGATTTTTTAAAAATATTTCCGCTAAATAGACCACTTCCGCCAGGCAGTTCGCTTAAAGACATTAAAGGTAGCTATATAAAAACCAACATACGCGTTGAGCTTTCGCATTTGCCTTCTGGAATTGTTTATTACTTTTAAGCCTAATAAACAATAAAAAACTGCAGAGGGCAAATGCGGCAGCTATACGCGTATGTAGCAAATGAATCCACCCTGTGAGTGCAACTATTGCTTTTTTTCTATGGCTCCTCTTTAATTTCTCCTCGTCCTTCCTTCTTCTCACTTTCCTATCTGTTTGTTGGTGTGACTTTCAGGGTTACTGGACGTACTTAATCCTCTTGTTTGGCCTTTTTTCAACTCTAGAGGCTGCATTCCTTTTCGCAAATCGCGCCAACCATCCATGTTATGTACCTATTTTTATAGTACCTATAAGGAATAAGTATTAATCAATTTTACTACAATGGAACCTCGATATAACGAAGGGCCAACGGACTGACAAAATGTGTTATGTAACGAGGTTTCGTCATATCAAGGTTCGTTTTTCGTATATTTTACTGTTACTGGGGTAAAGGAAATCGTTCATTATATCGACAAGTTCGCTATATAGAGATTCGCTATATCGAGGTTATCGAGGTTCATAATCCCACTCTCCTGATATAATGCTAGTTGAAAACTACACTTAAATCAGTCGTATATAAACTAAATTTGTCTGGTCATTTTTGGTGTTATTACCTGCGGTGGTCTTTGGTTTCTGGCAGACAAATCCTTCTTTTGACAAGCAGTTTTCGTCGTTAATTCTCCAGCCTTTTCCTTTCCAGTTAGAGTTCCATTTTTCTCCAAAAATCAGGTCGGTGCACCAGCCATCACCTGACGGTTCCGAGGGTCCCCATAATAACGACTGAGCTGGAAACAGTTGTTTTCGGGCGGTAATCCAGCGCCCGTCACTGATAGCATAAGCACCAACAAAAAAGTATACTTGTTCCTCCAAATATTCGTCCATGAATCTAGAAAGACTAGACAGTGTTTGCGGTTTGACGACATTTTCAAGTACAGCGAGTCCTCCTCCACGGTTATGACACTCAAACCTGGCGTCTTTCCAGGTTTCCTTTGGTTTTATTTGCACTCTTAAACATGATTCACCCAAATTACGCCAGCCAGGTGGGCATGCATTTTGTTCTGTGGATGCAAAAAAAAACAGCAATGAATACTCTAGTTTCAGATCAAAAGACAAAAACTTCAGATTTTGTTTCAATAATAACTCTTAGTATTTACCGAATCAGAGAATAGCAATTTTCGTGCGTTTCGATTGTCTCCCGTAACTCAGAATATCCTCGGCTATTCACTGTTTTGCGACCGGAGCCAAGATGGCTCCTTGTTTCAAGACATTTTCGAAAGACGACATTTGAGCGATAAATGAAGCGCAGTCGTACCAACAAATACCAAGGGAGCTTACCAAGAAAGCGACGAACTTTGGCTTCTTGGTGTTTACTGGTAGGTAGAAAATTATTGTCATGCTGAATTTGCAACAAATGCACTTGATAAAATCCCCTAAATGTTTCTAAATTGTAAATAAAGTTACTACTAAGTGACGTTTCTAATTTGCAAAAAGTTACTTTTTTTCATTTTTATCCAAGTGATTTGGTAGGTACTATAGGAAAATTCATTACCTGACGAGGGAATTCCACGTTAAATTGCACGCGAAAACCGATATCGGTTTTCAAGTGCAATTTAGCGTGGAATTCTCGAGTCAGGTAATGAATTTTCCTTGAATCGCATAATTGAATAAAAATCAGAAGAAAAAAAAAGAAAACAGCAATAATATTCTTTGTTTTTATCCTGAGCGCGCGCTCCAGAAAGCCATTTCAAAGTCAACAGTCAGAACTGTCATTGCGTTAGCGAATAGGAAGCAAGGTCAGTAGTACACGTTTGAACCTTCGACAACTTTTTTTGTACCTTGTGCTTGTTTTCACATTTGTTTTCAAACATTTTTACATGTAAACAAGCTTCACACTAATCTTAAGGATAAATAGAGGTATTTTACTGAATTTAGAAGCCCGGTTTATGTAGAACGTCTTTTTTCAAATTGGTCATTTGCTCGAGAAGGAAAATAATTTACACCTTTTACCTCTTCGGCGGCAAAACTGAAAGAAATCAAGTGTGCAAGCGAAAGCACTGAAAGTTTAACATGTTTAACGTCGCGATTGACATAAGGTAAGTACCTTGAAATGTTTTAGAAATGCTGTTCAAGTTCAGCTCTGTTTTGTACTTTTCTAAGTACCACGATTCAGGACGATTGCAAGCGGCGTACTCTTTTTCGTGTTTTCAGGGGCCATGTCCTCTTTGAAGGTATTTATTTCTTCTTCTGTATATGGGACAATCGACCCCGGCACTTCCTCCGTTGTCGCTTCTCCGTTTTGTTTGGTTGAACTTTGGATTGCCATTTTCTGGGCCGTGTTCACAGGATTTTCTTGTTTTCTGGTTGTCGCGAGTGAAAGAGAATCTGTAGTTCAGTTCAAAACAAGGAAGAACCTCCGGCTCACTTTAAAAAACGCTTTTGTTTGTTTTTAACTCTTCAAAAAGTGACAATGAATGGTTTTGAAAACATTTTAAAATGACATTGTAGAAAACCCTTTTTGCATGTTGTTGTGTTAGAATTTGACGATAGTTGTTACGTAGATGCGAAACAATATCGCTTAGCCTCGTTTTCAACTCGCAATTCCACACTAAATACCTCGCTTCGTTAACCAATCAGAATGCGAGATTTTACTTAATTATGCGATTCTAATTAAAAACAACTTTCCCCCTCAGGGTCGGTGAACAGCGCTGGATATATACCTAGACGCTTCGCGTTTCGGTATACAGTCAACTCTTCCTAAGACGGACACCTTTGGGAACAGTACTATGTGTTCGTCTAAGAGAGAAGTCCGTCTTATAGAGAGTCAAATAAGGGGAGTAATAGAGGTGTCTGTTAAGAGAGAGTTGACTGTATACCCACACCCCGCTATTCACCTCCCCTTCGGGGGATAGTTGTGTATTATTTCCTCATTTTGAACATAGCCAGACATCTCGTTACCACCTGCCAATCGATATAAAGCTCACAATTAATAGAAAACTTACGAACGCCATGAAACAGAACAAGTGGGTGTTATAGTTGATAAACAACTTGGTTTAAAACGACTTATGAACTTACGGTCTAATGACACATTTGCAAAGAAGTGCCCAATAACTGTTTGACTACAGCAGTTGTCATATTCCTCCAAGGCAATCCCGTGAGGTAGTTTTTCTCCTCGGTTCAGAAGCAACAACTTTTTGTAATGTGGTTGAAATGTCCTAGAGGAAAAGAAGAAGTCTCGAGGGAAGCAACTAAGGTCGTCTAATGAAAGCTCTTGGGTGACGCTTTTTGCACAATGGACAGTGTTTGCTGGGTACACAAAGTACATCACATCGGTTGAAATGTTTCTTGTTTGAAGAGCATGCACTGTAAACTGATAGACCCATCCACTGTGAGCTGGAATTCTGTCGAATTTGAAGTCTGTAGCATCTTCTTTTATGAAGGCATACAACGACCGGGTAACTGAAAAAAGGGGAAATGTCACAAATCCCGTTTAAAATGACTTTTATGAGTTTCTTTAAGTACTATTTCAAGAATGCAGTGAAAAATTCTGATGTCCATACCAAGTCGTTCACAGGAACCATTTCTGAATGCGATGTTATCTATGGCTACGTCACTTGAATAGGAAATGCCCGTTACTCCTTCCACTACAATCTATAAAAGGTAAACCCTTAAAGTTACAATAGAAGAGAAGACAAATCATCATTACGTTAAAGTCCGCTTTGTTGCTTCTTCAGTCAGATGGATTACCTGAAAGGGAGCCGAAGAATTGAGGAATATAACAGCTTCGAGCCATTGATTGGGGTGATTGCCTGTTTTAATCCATTCCACCGTTTCATTGCCGTTTGTTTTCATGTAGATTATCAAGCTTCCCATGGAACTTCCATACATATGATACATGAATGACATACACTTTGCACCTTGCATTACAGGACTTAAAAGCCTAACGCTGTCACCATGTTGCCGCGGAAACGATGCTTCAAGATATGCGTACTTTCCATTTCCTATAGATTTCAAATAAAAAAGAAAGAAAACTTAGTTAGCACTTTCGTTTTCTTCAAATCAATTGCGCTTAGTTATTTTTTAGAATACCAAGGAATCGCAATACAACAGTTCTTGATTTTTAAAGTGTGCAAGCGAACTGAAATCATGAGAGAGTAAAGTACAGCTCCTAAAAACCTCTAATTTCATTGGTTCTCCATAACACGTAGCTCCATTGTTTTAGGGATAGAGGCATTGTCACTCATTAGAGTCATCAATCCTGTGAGACCTTGTAAAGATCAGCTGCGTGGCGCCCAGGAAAACACTGACGGGTTGCTTTTAAGTTACGGTAGTGAAAGGTATGGTGATTTGGTTTTATTTCTTTCAACATAATAGTAAAAGCTGCACGCTTTGTTGTTAAATTTTGCTGTAGAAAATGGTTCTTAATTACTATAGTCCAATGAAATTAGACACTGTTTAAAAAAACTATCTTAAATACACTGACAGCACCTGAAAATTCAAATAAACGTTAGGTGCGACTAAGGAGTCCATATAAAATAAAGAGTTAATACCTGAAACATCAGAAATAGGCCCTGTTCCCCAGCTTGGTGTTTGCCCTGACTTTAAAGTCCAGTTAAACTTCGATTTTCCAGAGTTTTCATTAGCCCATTGGCAAAACGTAGAGTCGTCAAAATCGCAGTCTAGCACTTGACACAACGCAAATCATAACGAAATTAGACCCACTTTAAACAAGCTGATGTAAACTGATTTATGTTTATTCGAAATAAAGGAAGATCGTGCAACGTCCCTACTCGTCGTAGTTTTCAACGTCAGTAATTTTTTTACCTGTTTTATCCAATTTTGAGGGATAAGAAGCCGAGTTCCACATATTCCCAACGAAAGTGAAAAATGTTTGTAAGGCAGAATCATGCAGTTGGTGTTTAAACAGCACCTTTTAAGGTGCTGTTTAAACTTAACTTAACTTAACTTAAACTTAAAAGTTTCAAAAACACGATTTCGCTTTTGATTGGTCCTGCATTTATCAGACCAATCAAAGTTTAAACAAAATGGTGGAAACCATGTCAAAAAACAAGTCAAAAAAATTGTCGCGTCGTAATGGCAGCGCGATCTTTAATGAAGTACTACCAATTGGCTCATTATGATTCTTAACATGCTTAAAAGACTCTCGACTGTACTATGGCTATATTTTTTCCGAAAAAAAAATCAGAAGTCAAGATTATAGTTGGTTTACGACTGGAGGAAAGGGATAAGAAATAAAAATATCTTTATCGTCTTCCTTATAGCCATTGAATCAACCTTCTCTGCCAAAATTATTTTTTTAAGTTTCCCTCTTCATAAGTGAGTATTACTACCACAATAGAAATAACAGTGAAAACAATCGTGATAAATAATAATTGTAGGTAATATCTTTAAGGATGAGGAAAAAACAGAAACTATAACAAATTTTGGGTCATGTAAAAAAAACACTCCCTGATTTTCTAAAAAAAATACACAGACGAAACGAAGGAAAAAGTCATACACGTAAAACACATTGGATCCTGAGAGAAACTCCTTCGACGTTTTTATCGGAAAAATTACAGAGGTAAGAGAGTGCATTTTAAATAGCTTTGGCAAGTGCATACACGGCAAAATGCTAATTTCAGCTTTATTTGAAGAGTTCCCTTTAAATGCTTGAAAACTGAAGCAAGGCTTTTAAGCTTTTAGGCTGCCACGATAAATCAGTAAAAAATATCTGCAAAATATACCTTAAGGCCAGGAAAGTAAAATTTTGTTTTCTCTTGTGTATATGCCATAATTATACAGTCTAAACTAAATAGGATATACTTTATCGTTCATGTTCATTTTGAAAGATAACTTTGACACTGAAATTTTTATACGTCTCAAAATGCGCTTGCCATTCAGGGAAAACGAAACACTGCCCGCCGTCTTCTATAGTCACGCGTGAATGTAAAATTACCTGGTGTAAAAACTCACCTAAGTGTGGATAACTTGAACTGCATCGTGCGAAGGGTTGGTAAAGCAACACTTTAAAAAGTGTAATAATAAAAATAAGCAAGCTGTTGAACGAAGACATGCTGCCAACTTTTTCTCTTCTTTCTCTGCAGAATGAATAGGATATGAAACGTCCGTTTAGTGCTTTGCATTGATTAATGGCTTAACAAAATGTTGAAACGAATGCAATTTTTGCTTACACACAGAGACAGTCTTTATTGCATTTCGCCATGATTAGTAATGCAAATGAGGAAGCTTCTGTGTGAAATTTTTATCAAAAATGTAAAAATAATTTCGATTACACGCTGTTAGACTTCCGCCGCCAAAATTGTCTAAACAAATTATAGGGCTTGGCTAGAATTAAAGATCGCATGCAAACTACACTTGTTCATGCCTGTCTAAAGGAGGAAAAAATAATCAAACCCAAGTTTAAGCATAATCATTCTGAATGTAATCAATAGAGCATCTTAGACCAAAATAAATGGTACAGTTTATCGAACATAGGATTCAGTTCTGTCTCTATAAATCAGTAACAAATATGTTCTAATACAAAAATAAAACAAAAAGATATTACGGCCGGAATGGTGCATCAATAGTAGATATTACTGTCGTGTGGCATTTGAGATGATTTGCTCTGCAAAATTTTGCTGGATCACCTTTTGATAAGGTTCACTTTGGCTGTAATATTTTTTATTAGAGATTAGAATATAAAGGTAAAGCAAGCTAGGGTCTAGTTACCTTTCACATCTCGTTGTTAAGCTTTGTTTCTGACACAAGAACCACCACCTAGGATGTCAGCAATGATACTTCACAGTTTAGTTGCTTCACTGTTGGTGGTCTATCTGGTTGAGCTTTTTTTTAATTCACTGAAAAACGTTCAGTTCTTCTTTACTATTTCTATATACATAGGTCATGAGAAAAAGCAGCAATTTTGTATGCGGACTGATAATATCACCGATCAAACCGTCGGAAATATGCCAACCTACATTTGTCAAATTATAAACTTAATTCCGAATGGTCCAAACAGAACCCCAGAACGTCAAAAACGGATTCACTGACTTGATATTTTCTGCTGAGCAAACTGATGGAATATCAAGCTGATTCTAATTCTACAAGCATTTCTTATCTTCTTTCAGGGACTTGTGGTGTCAAAGTTGTCATTTTCCTCGATAATGTTAGTTTTTGTTTTTCAAATAAAACTGAATAAAAACTTGAATTCGCAGCTGCTCTCTCATCACAGCATTTTAAGAGCGAATGCACAGAAAAATCGAGCAAACCGTGGCCACAGCTCAAAACCTAACCTACCCTCATTTTAAGTCTGTAATAAGGTTTTAATGAATTTATAACACTGCTGAGGTTTAATTTTCAAAATGCGGCCGAGTTTGGGAATTATTTGAGATTTTCGATTTCAACGGTCTGCGGGCCTAAAATTAGCCCCCGAACACGGCAATATAGCCTAGCGACAGAAATGAGCTGACTTTCATAAACGAGCGAATATATTGCCAATCTTCCACTTAAATCTCAAAAAGCAGATATCTAACAATTTCTGAATGGCTTATTTTTTAGATTTAGAGTATAAAATATCGACGAACCAGCAGAATTTTGAAACGTAATTTGCATAATGCTTATAAATACAACAATTTACCGCTAAAACCAAAATCGAATTTTCTATATGGGGGAATTCTCCAAATCACCCCAAATCCCGCTTACTACCTAATGAGATACAGTACTTCAACATTATCTGAAAGTTAGTCTGGTGTTCTTGCGAACGCTTGTAAAATAGATTGATTATTTTGAAGTTATTTTGCCCCAAACAACTGCTAATTGACCCCAGGGTCAATTGACACGTGCACGTCACCTTAGTTTTATGCATCGATTTGAGCTGGTTAAAAGGGAGAAACTAACAAGATTCTTTTAATATGTACCTGTTTTAATGAAATACACGCAATCTTCAAAAGGAGAGGCCGTTCAATGGGTAATTTCTGTTCTTGAGATCTTGTAGATTGTACCATGGCGTCTGCGAGTAGACCTGAGTCTAGGTCTGTTTCCCCGTGACTGCGAAATCAGAATAACATCATGAAATAATTCTCTCTCGAACCTTCGTAAATGAATCAGCTTTGCAGTGCCTTACCTGAGATAAAAAGTGGGCAGCATAGGAAAACATTCTAGCGCAATTTGGATCCTTTGCAGCACGCAATGTATTTGCTAAGCGGGTACGGTATCAGTTACTCACCTCCGATTGCGTGACCACGCAATTATAGATTGTCTCCAGCGAAAAATAAGTGCATGTGAAACCAAAGCTTTCGGGATACAGTAAATTCATTTTCCTGTATGACCAGGTGTACTTTTGTCCTATTTTAAAAGCGGTTAACTAAGATGATTAGCAAACATACTGTCCCACTTTTAAAAATGGTACAGTAACTGAATGTTCTGTTCTTCTGATTTTACCCCTAACCCCGGATTGTTCAGAAGATATATTTGCACTACGCATGACAGGCAAATGGATTAAATTTTAAGGTTCAAGGCGGTTTTCAGGCATGGGTTACCAGTGGATTAGTCAGACTTGTCATAAGGTACATTGAACAGAAAATTACAGGCATGATATCTCTGCTATTGTATGTCCATTAAGTGATTTTCCATCAAACATTATTTTTTTACTTTTTTACCCCAAAAGTTTTTTTCGTTCAATTCTTATCTATGAGATGTAAACTTAGTCAAATTTCTGTAATTTGTTGTTAAATGCAAATCTGCAAACAACTAAGTATTTAATTTTGCGTAAAAGCTACATGAAATTGTACTGTTTGGTCGTAAATCATTAAAAAGAGAAAGCATCATGCTTTCTCTTTTCAAGTCTAGTAGGACTTAAGCAATGGCATTGCGTGAGTCCTAGTAGTTCTTCTCCATGTCTGCTAAGGGGGAAATAGTTTGCTCTTTTCAAGAAATTGTTCTTGCCCATTGCGGTTTCAAACCAAGGATAGCAGCAAGTGTGTCGTGGTCATATACTGCTACTTCAGTGCAAACGAAGCATAGGCGCACAAGTCAGCGCTTGCGTTTAGTCAGGTGCCGAAAATGAAGTGGAAACTTAACCCTAAGGGCGTCCATGTTCGCTCCGGCTCGAAAAGGTAGAATCAGTTGTGCAGTAAAAAGTAATGCGAAAAACCTGCGGGGGCTGGGGAAAGAAAGGCGTCTTATTTTTCTTTGGCGTGTTCTATTTTCGCGACGTGCTACAGGTTACCAAATACTGACAAGCTCAGTATATGTCTTCACCACCGAGAGTCACTTGCCCTTAGCCAGACACGCCCCTCGCGTATCATGTTTCGTTCCTAAAGTTATTTCAAAGCACAGAACCAAACCTAATCAGCGGCCGAAGGCAGAAAGGGGGATGAGCAAACGGATGTCACAGCATATTTTGCAAGAAACCGGTATCCTTGTGCCTATCGGCTCAGGAACGATTGATTACTACTAGAATTAATATCAGGGTCAGAATTTGAGTGCTACAATGGGAGGGAAGGAAGAAAAGAAAACCGCCGCGCGCACCTGTTAAGTCTTTTATAAACTTTCTCGTCCTGACGGTCTCAAAGAAGGGCGTTGTGGCTGTTATTTAATTTACAGTGTCGGTTGCAGGAGTCGAATTAATCCTACAGCAACTGGAAACGTGGCCACGCCTACTGAAACTGAGATTGCTTGTAGGATATTCGGCTATAGTTTGGTATATTCACGAGCGCGTTTTGTCCAGTGAACTGAGCGCGTAGTTTTTCTTAACGAAGGGATGGGGTGGGTCAAGTGAATAGTTCGGGGAACGTTTGCTCTCTTTAGGGGGCGGGGGGGGTATATTTGTTGATATCAGGAGTTCTGGCCTCGATGGAGTCGTTGTAAAGCTATTTTTGCTTCGGGGTATCGGTTTACCGGAAGCTGAGCAAGGAAAATTCAATGGTGCATTTATGGAATAATAATAGAGATTCTCATGGTCTAACAGTGCGAAGATTAGACTTCTGGTAAGGTGGCAACGATCAAGGCCCGCTTTATAATTCATGATAATTGAAGGTCATGATGTGGAAAAAGCGACTGAAATGGTGGATGCCATGCAATCCTCTCGGGTGGGGGCGGCGCACCTGGTCTTAACGGTTGCCCCTTCGACAGAAGGCAAGCATGCCCAGATTGTCCACGGGTTGCTAAATGAGACCGTCCCTTTCTTAGTACCCGTTCCCTGTCTTTTTATTAGACCCGGGCAAATTTCTCGAGATTGCACCATTATTTTGGGCTTTTAAGCTTCCAAAGTCCAACAATAATAGCCCATGTTCGCGACGGTTTTTTAAGTCAGTCAAGTTCTGAAACCAGGCCTTAAACGGCCAGTTTTAAGTGTCGATAACAGTTAAAAAGGCATACAAGCCCCATGCAAAAAACAGTGGGAAGGAAGTGCACATAGGCGATGGGGAAAAAGGACTAGCCCACAGTTATTTCGGGGTGGATCTTTCGAAACATTCTTATACTCTTGGACAGATATGCATTGTTTAAAGTTTTAGACAAACCAGGTGTAAATTTATAGTAACAAACTGTTAAATATACATCAGCAAGATTTTTGCGTATCCTATTTTTCGCTGGAGACTATCGTTTACTGGCTGGTCACGCAATCAAAGGTAACGTACTTTCCCACGTTTGTTTACTGACCTTTCGCTCGGCAATACACTGCGTTCCACAAAGGATCCAAATTGCGCTAGAAATGTTTTGCTATTTGGCCCACGTTTTATCTCAGGTAAGGCACTGCAAAGCTGATTCGCTTACGAAGATTCGAGGGAGAATTATTTCTTGATGTTATTCTGATTTCGCAGTCACGGGAAAACAGACCTAAACTCAGGTCCACTCGCAGACGCCATGTTGCAATCTTCAAGATCTCAAGAACAGAAATTACCCATTGAACGTCCTCTCCTTTGAAGATTGCGTGTATTTCATTAAAACAGGTACATATTAAAAGAATCTTGTTAGTTTCTCCCTTTTAACCAGCTCAAATCGATGCATAAAACTAAGGTGACGTGCACGTGTCAATTGACCCTGGGGTCAATTAGCAGTTGTTTGGGGCAAAATAACTTCAAAATAATCAATCTATTTTACAAGCGTTCGCAAGAACACCAGGCTAACTTTCAGATAATGTTGAAGTACTGTATCTCATTAGGTAGTAAGCGGGATTTGGGGTGATTTGGAGAATTCCCCCATATAGAAAATTCGATTTTGGTTTTAGCGGTAAATTGTTGTATTTATAAGCATTATGCAAATTACCTTTCAAAATTCTGCTGGTTCGTCGATATTTTATACTCTAAATCTAAAAAATAAGCCATTCAGAAATTGTTAGATATCTGCTTTTTGAGATTTAAGTGGAATATTGGCAATATATTCGCTCGTTTATGAAAGTCAGCTCATTTCTGTCGCTAGTCTATATTGCCGTGTTCGGGGGCTAATTTTAGGCCCGCAGACCGTTGAAATCGAAAATCTCAAATAATTCCCAAACTCGGCCGCATTTTGAAAATTAAACCTCAGCAGTGTTATAAATTCATTAAAACCTTATTACAGACTGAAAATGAGAGTAAGTTAGGTTTTGAGCTGTGGCCACGATTTCCCGATTTTGCTCGATTTTTCTGTGCATTCGCTCTTAAGTCACACATTTGAACTTTAAGTCACGCCTTTACGTTATTACACAGTACACTATAAGGATTTATTATATACCAAAAATACGAGTTGAAACGCTTTGATTATCCTATTCCTATTCGCAATGGGTCTCTTTAGGGAAAAATGAATATTGTAAGAACATAAACATGTTTTACCGACGTTCTCAAAAGTTATTTAAACCTCATGCCGACAGCCACCCGCAGTGTCCAAACGACTTATTGACAGATGATTAAATTGAATGAATGCTGGATAAAATAACAACGGAACGGCTAAAATTTACGTGAGAACATCCTGCCTTGCTATTAATACATCAAATTGCCTCAAACAGTTCATATATATACACGTATGTAAGCAACCGGAAGCGTTTGGTTCAGTGTAATTTGTATACTTATTAACAGATTAAGACTGCGATTGGCCAAATAATGATCACGTGACTATCTTCGAGTTCACTTTTTCTGTTACTTAAAAAATATATAAAATTGGCATTCTGGCAAAAAGATTGTATTCGAACCTTTCAGCCTTGGGCCTTTTCCGAACTGCCCTATCAACAGAGGACATTTTCTACATACGGTGCGAACGTCGGATTAAAAACGATTTAATACTTACATTTTAATTACCAAAGGATTTAGCAGTGAAAATTAAATGGAAAACTTGTTTCTTAGTATTACTAACCTTGATTAGGATTGCCAATATGCTTTCCTTTAGGTGACTAAGTTTACATACTCTTTCATGGCATAGTTCGAGGGATCTCGGTCAGAGCAGAGACTTGTGTTACTCATATTCTGGTAGGGCCGAGTGAAATCACTTGTACGAAATTGAAGAAGAACAAAGGTTCTCTCCTGTTTACTTGGCAACAGCCGGTCCGTATTGATGGTAAAAGTCTCGTTTGCTTGTCAAACAACATGACTTGGGTTGCAATTGTAGTTGATTCAGTTTTATCAGTGTAAGGGTGTTGTCAACACTTTCAATTTGCACTACCTTTCGCTTTTAAAATGGAATTTTTCTACGGTGCAAACACAGGTGAAAAAACAGGCTTCAAAGCCAATCAACTGTATATCCTCTCTTTGTTTTGGATTTCAGGTGATGTGAAATAACATTCTAGAATAATTGAAAGTGTTGTTACACAAGAAAGCATTTCCTATCCTACTAAAGAATTGGATGGCCCACACCTGTCCAAACAAGCGTCGACGAGGAAATATACAATCCTTAATTCAATTCGCATTCAAATGGATCCATATGACTGCAAGAAATTCACATTTAGAATGCGTTTTTTTTTTTTTTTTTTTTTTTTTTTGGCGTGCTAATTGTTGCATTTTTCATTTCGTCTGTTTCTTTAAATTGGTTTTTATTTTCTTTCTAGCCAAGACGTTGGTAAATGGACGTCAGAATTGCCGAAAGTGGTGCTCTTTCAAACCAAATGTAAACTTTTGAGAGGCGATTTTTAAAACTCTTTCACCACCAACCTACTTTTCCCTGGACGATTAGTTCCTCGCTGAATATATATCATACTCAAGCTAAGTGGTTAAAGGTTATGTTACTGATGACGTCAAATCTCAACACAATAAAACCAAATTTTGCTAAAAATTCTCTTAATAGATAAATGAGTAAACAAATGAGGAAGAGCTTTTGGCTCAAATTGTGATGATAAAAATCGAAAAAGAAACTCTCACCGTAGGGGGCTGTAGCATCACCCCATGTCTTCGAAGGATGACGGAGGCTGGAACTAAATTGGTCCCTGTTCATTGATTGATGCCGGTGATATGGGGTCTTCTATTATATTATGACTCAAGGGAGATACAATCTGCAAAGTTAAATGATTCAGCGTATGACCCATCTAAAATGGAGCCACATTGTCTCTAGCTTTAGATAACTGGCCTTATTCTGGCTCTTCCTTTAATGGCGGATAACTATTAAACTTCTGCTGTTACACTGAGGAATAAAACGTCACTGACCACGTGATGGTAAACACAGATTTCCAGAGATCCTCTCTTAACTGCCCTCAACAAAAACTTTCTTCCTAATAAAGCTTTGAAATACTGTTTTGTGAATTGTTATGAAAAATAGCTTCCCAAATGCCCGAAAAAGGAAAGCGGAATTCGCAGTTGAGACATTACAGACAACTTCATGTCGAAAGTAATATAAAGTCTTGTCTCAGTCAAGTATGTGCCATGTGAAGTTTATCAAATAATAAATCTACAGAATTATGCTCCCTTAGTTCAGAAATTAGATTGCGAAGGCCCACCGTTTAATAACCCAAGTAAATGAACTTTTTCTTACAGAGAAATGAGGCTAAGTGTGAAAAGGAACTCTCACGCTAACAGGCTAAGTGCACTCTTCAAAGGCAGAAGAGCATCTGCAACTGACAAACAAACAACGGATGATGACGCGAAAAGAACCGCGGATACGTTCAGTATGCAGAAAGAATCTACTTGTTTCACAAGCGAAGAATTGAGTCTTTTTCATAATTCAAACAAAGTAAAGGAGACAGAGTATCTCACTGTTCTTAATCGTATTCTACAGGAACAAATAATCAACACGACAGAAGTTTACAACATCGCTGGAAAGATGATAAGGGTTGAGGTGCTTGAAGACACCGAATTATAGTATCGCAGTCTAGTACTCAGTGGATATAAAAACATTGTCTTTTTCTGCCGAACTACAACTTAAGGAAAATGGAAACAATAAAGATATGTCGGCCAGACTTGAAATCGGTCGAGTTTTTGCCCGTTTCTTTTAAATTCAGACGAAAAGCGTGGAGGTTACGTAATGCATTTCAACAAATGTGTATTGTCCTCAAAAGGGATTGAAAGGAAGCCATGCAAGAATTAATTTCCCTCATGCCTTCTGAATGCGGACAGCCGAGACGGAGTAATGAACCAACTCACTTTAGTACATGCTGCTTCAGAAATTTTCTAGGAAAAAGACCATTTGTCATAGCCCTCTTGTGACTGTTTACGACAGTTTGTGACCGTGTTACTTGCATTTTGGTGTTGTTGCTTACAGGAGGTTCGACTGTAATTTGATTAGAAATAGTTATTCAATAACATGAATGTTACAGTTACTTAAAGAGTATGCTTTTTTTTTACTGTACTCATGTTTTAGCCCAAAAAGTGCACTGAGCCTCGCAGTATTGTATTACAACGGCTTATCATGTGTATTATCATGCCATTTCTCGTAACTATAGCACCCGTACCAAAATCAGTCGAGTGAAGACACAAACCAAAGTACAGTATGTACAGAATGGTCTTAAATAAATTCAGGCATCTATCTACCCTGGGTACCAGGGGTTAGGGTTTTCTCGCGTGCAGAGGAAATCTTTGGTGTTGGCCGAAGGCCAACACATCTTCGGCCGTAGGCTGAAGCCACGTAGCATCTATCCCTCCGGAATCCAAAAAGAAACTTTTTTTTAGGGTGGCGGGGGGTTCCAGATTTTCCATCTATTTTGGCTAAGATTGTAGGTTTGTTTGGTAGCACCATGCTTCCTCGAACTTGACAACGATAAGTAGAATTCCAGCAGAGTTCTCTTCACACCACTTATCGCCATCGAGGAAAGCAGTTATTTGGTGATTCCTCCTCTATTCGCGTTTACACTTGATACAAGTATCTACCTGGGACGCCTGGGGTTACGGTTAGACGTGTCAGTACCTTAGCCTGTGTGCAACAAACGTCTCGTTTTTTATTTCTTTCACGTGAAGCAAAGGAAACAGATGACACGTTTGCATACAAACTACAGGCTGTCATTTACAGACAAAAAAAAGGCAGTTGGCATAACAAGGGATCGAGGTTTTTAAATTCGTTTCTCTTTTTCTTTTAAGTTATTTTTCTCGAGATTGGACGTTGAAACAGGCAGTGAGTTGAGCGCGCAAGCTCTCCTTTTGGGAAGTCGCGAGAAGTCACCCGAGAGCCGCACGCGAAAGGAGACGCGACTAGCGGCTCGCTTCCCTCGCCACTCGAAATGGAGTGCTTGCACTTTACATACTAGGGGGTGCACGTGAGCGGTGCTCAATATCACTCGTTGAGTCGAGCATGACTCATCACCAATTCAGACCCCAAGCGTTGACCCTGATTTATTTCGTTTCGCATACAGAATTAAATTTTTTACAACTAACATGATGGAAAAAAAGTTGTTGCATTCACAGATGTAGACAGCTCCTCGCCAACTTTAACATTCATGTGGTCGTCGTTTAAGACGGTTAATAGTGAAATAGACCTTTTCACGGTTTATGACGCCATCTTGGCTGGCGGACAAACTCGGAAAAAATTACAGTGAATGTACGGGATTTTGGCCCACTTAAAAAACCGCTATAACGCCCATGCAAACAGGCGGATTTCCAAAATTTGCCACTACCTCAAATATTTTTATTGATATCATTCATTCAACAGAAAATAAGACTACTAAAGAAGGTACGACGTCTGTAAATTCGAATTATAAATCTTCTCATGTGGCTTCTAATTTCATGGTAATTTGCATAATGTTGATTCGAAGGGTTTGTATGAAATTTTAGAAATTCGTTTACGGTTGTTATAACCTGAATCTTTCCTTTATACTTCATGAAAATAATCTCAACACAAATTTCTTTTAAAATACATTTTCGCTGCGGAAATCCGACTCTTTGTAGTGGCGTTATAGCGGTTCCAAGTGGACCAAAATCCCATACATTCACTGTAATTTTAGCCGTGTTTGCCCCCCAGCCAAGATGGCGTCATAAACCGTGAAAAGATCTATTGTATACCCTGTAAAGCAGCACTTATTCATTTAGGCCAAATAAGGGAGTAACCCCGCTCCCCATCGATCCGCGTTTTCGAGAGATGCAAAGTAGGGAGCGGGACAATTCTGAACGCCTGGAACGGACAGATAACAATTGATTGATTGAAGACCTCTTATACTGAATAACTGGAAAACAACTAATTTCTTGAAGTAATGTATCTTGGTTTGGACTCCTGGTTTGGACTATTTCTCCTAACCTTCATACAGGCTAGTTGTTTGGTGCGTGATTGCGTGAGGTCGGCTCTAAGCGTTGACAGGACCTATGCAACTTACTTTTTAAAATAGTGTGTGCCTATTTTCCCCGCTCCGGGGGTACTCCCTATAACGACTCCCCCCGAAAGAGGTACCTTTTTCAACCTTTCAAGGTACAGTATAGGAAAGGGTAAAGATTACACTAGTTGAAGTATATAAAAGGGTAGGGAAATCTGTCATTTCGGTCTGTAAAATGACCCAAAAGAACTGACAGAAGCATTTTATGGCTGTGAAAAAGTCGAGAAAACTTCCTAGTTCTGGGATTTACTCACTTTCTGACAGTGCACTGGCAGCAGTTGGAAGGGACACAAAGTTCTATTCAGTAGGTATGAAAAAGGGGTACTATTAGACTTGCTACAAGTCGACCTCTTGGCGAGCGGAGCGAGCCTTGTTTGGCCGCGAAGCGGCCGACCGCGAGCGACGAAGTCCCACGCCATATGAAATCCGACGAAGGACTTTTGGAAAGTCTAGGGTACCATTTGTCAAGGAAGGTATACGAAAGGGATAGCTTTTCTGTCAAAAATGGTATTTGAAAGGGTAAGGGGTTGGACCTCGGGGCGGAGTTAGTATTAAACTTTGTTGAGTACCCCCCCCTCCTCCCCCCTGCCCCTTGCTTGTTCCAAACGAGAAGTGGTGCGAAATTGCGGGGAGAGATTAACAATGAAAATGTTGACAGCAAGAATTAACCTGTATTTACTCCCACTAGGAGAAAATCCCCACCAGCATTTGTCAGTTTATGATTAATGGCGCTAGGATACAGTAAATATGGCACAAAAGTAGGCGACAGGTTATGATGAAAAGTTTGTTGATTAAACCTAAAATTGCAGTGTTTATTTGTTGAAAATAAACACAACCTAGACCTCCACTGAATATAGATATACTGATAACAGATTGCCAAGTCAATCAGTCTAGAGAATTCTTAATTGTTTAGGCTTTAGCGTTATCTGCATTGCCATTAAAGCCAGTTGAGTGCTCTGTTTATATATAGCACCGGAAAAATGCCAAACAGTATCAAGTTAGCAGGAAGGAACAAAAACCGATGAAATGCCATCAAAGAGGGAGAAAAACAGAAGGGCACAAAGATTTGCTCAGACGATATCCGCTGATTAAACGATCAGCATCCTGACTTTTCATTGTTGACATAAGGATTCATTTACTTGAATATTAATGCGAGAAACATTTAGTTAAACGTAGCAGTCATCACACTAAAATACACCGAGTCTTTAAAAGATACTTCTTCAAAAGACGACGCTTTATACAGAAAGGAAAAGCTTGGCTGGATATCATTTCAAGAATTGTTGTTGCCGAGCTTAAGTTCGAACTGAAAATGTGGAAATCATCCGGACGCCGCACCGCAGCTTTCCCCTTTGCTAAACGTGAAGTTCACGAAAATGATCAAAGTTCCCGCACAGCTACGCAAGAAACATCGTTTGTTCGGAGAAATAAACCAAGTCCGTGTCACTTATCTCCAGTGGATGACAACAGATTGAAATGCAAGTTCGAAGCCATTGATGTTCTGTTGCAGATTCTACTGCATCAAGATGAACTGACTCTTAAAGAGTACACCATCAATGATAGAAGAATAAAAGTCCTTGTTATTGAAGACACCGAGTTCTAATAGTAGCGCGATTCGATTCCATCAGATGCTATGTGTTTCTATTGAGCAAAATAGCGGAATTCACTGAAAAGTTTTACTTGGCGAGATGTAGACTCGTTAGATGCCGGAGTTCTAAAGGCCCTGAACAGTAGTTATATCTTATGGCCGAGTTTACCTATTTAGAGCAGAACTACCTACTGAAAATCCACCCGTCACCATGACTAAGCAGAGATTATATACTTTTGCGTGTGCATCCGGCTCTACCAACTGGTTTGATGTTGCTGCACTAGGATTTTCCGCAAAGTATGTGCAGTTCTTGAGTCGACGTCGCATAACACTACATACTTTCTTCCATTTCAATTCGACGGTGCACACGTTAACTTCGCCGGTTCTCCTTCATGGACTTCATGGATCATGCTTACGTGTCTTTTTTTGTTTCAGCGAAGTGCATGAAAAAAGTTAGAATAAACATATACTGTATGTTGCCACACGATAGACTACCATTTTATCTATTGGAAACTAAGAAATTTAATAAAGCGAACGGCCGGCCGTAGGCTCCTCTGACCTCACGCTTCGTTGAAGATTAACTGCAACGAACTTATTGTCTGCTCTAAACCTGTCTTGCATTCTTTTCCTGAACACACGCAGTATCTATGATTTTTTTTTCTTAATTTGCTAAAGGAATGGTGTTTCTTAGTGGTCCTATAAATAGCAGGCGAACTGTAAATTTAGACAGCGTTTACAACCAATTCCATCTTTTATAGTGATGATTTTTATTTTTTTTTAAACTCATATGGCTCGAGTAAAAAAAAAATGATTAAAGATACAAAGCATAGTTTCTACTTACGGTCACTATACTACAATTCTTGTGTAATCGTGGCTGTTATATTTCGAGCCACCTGGCAACTTTTTTAAAAAAAGCGAAGCATCATACACCAAATAGGAAACGCTTCATTGTTTGTAATAATAACATTTATTTATACCGCGCAAGAGATGGGACAATCGACTGTGTTTGTTGTTGCTGTTGATTTTTTTAGTATCACTTGGCAAAAAAGAACTCGATCACCCGCTGGCCGCTGTTCGGGAAATGAGCCTAAGCTTCCCCCCACCACTCCTCTTCTCGGAAAGCAGAAAGACGGAATCTGAGAAAGCGGGAGTGGGGGGAGGGGAATCGAACCTAGCCCAGAAAGTGTAAAAAATATTAAGTGAATTTTCCTCCCTCTAAAGTCAAAATGGCAGAAATGAATTTAAAACGGTGTGATTTATGTCGGTAAGGAGGCGTCACAGTGACACTCCTTAATCTATGCACCCATCTTTCACTGGCAAAAAAAGACATACCTTTAGTCTCATTATTTACTCCCAAATCCTAACAAAAAGGACGATTGATGATTCAATTTTTTTATGGGTAACTCTTAACAAATGCAAAGTTAACGTAACAGCCTTCAATGGACAAGCTGAAACGAAGTAAAGCCGTAACAGGGTAGCGGATATTAAATGAAGAATAAAAAATAACGGCATTATAGCTCTCGAATCTCTCCTCCCTCATCCTCACGTACAAACCTGGGCATCACCAAGATGGCCGTTTGAAAATTCTAAATAGCCGGATTGTGACGTCATTTGTCTTCAGATTACTTTCCGTTCACGCATCATTTGGCACTTAGAAATATGAGCTCTACTTATAATTTACACCAAATGTTTTAGCAAAAACAACTATTAAAATGTCACATCCTTGTGAGGTAAACTGGCGAAAATGTTTCTTTCAATAGTAAGGCCCAGGTACCAATGAGGCATGGCGATAGCGTAGGGGCACCCAACGTCAATTTTCGGAAAATATCTGTTCGGAAGACGATTTGAAATCTGGAATTTTCGGAACACTTGTTGTGAAATTTCTTGCTTGCCTACCTCTCCTAGGATTTTCGAACATCTAAAAAGTAACGGCAACAAGATATTGGATTTTGATCACTATGAAAAATGTCGTATTAAAAACAAACAAATAGAGAGAAAATGCATAACTCATGAAAATATTCAGCAATATACTTCTTGGAAAAACTCAATGAAGCATGCAAATTATGATTATCTTCGGGTAAAACTGACCGCTCAAGTTTTTAAGTTACTCTCTAAGCTAAGACTCAAGACTTTTCAGTACTAACAAGAAATATGAAAAGACAGGAAAAAATACAGAGAAAACTTCAGTGCTTATCCCCGCTTGTCACCTTAGCTTTTATTGTAAACTTAATTTTCACTAAAAAGCTTTTTTACTGAAGTTACTGAATGAATTTATCATCAAATCCTTCTACCTGATGTTTCTACGAAATGCCTCAGCTTTCATTATTTGAACAGGCTTAACAGCTAAAATAATGTCGATTGACAATAGTTGAGAATTTGATAAATTAAACTCTTTACAGAATACATAAAAGCACAGTTTTTACTTTAATTATTTCATGTCAGTTCAGGGTGTGGTTTCACTATTTGCATAATTACATAATAAGTCCTACTACCGCATACGTTGGTGACATGTTGCCTGCGAATCCTCAAAATGTTTCATCCACATCCTTGGCTTAGAAAATTTCTCAAAACTTATTTAATATTTACTTTTTCCATGCCCCAAGTCATTTGAGACATACATGTTAAAGTAAATGGTACTGAATCTTAAAAATCCAACACGAATCACCGATTGTATATAATTTAACAAAAAACGAATGGAGTTTTGTTATGTCTACATAGGGGATTAAAGAGGAGCAAATATTTTCTTAGCAAATATCAGTGGGCAAAACCTTGTTGTGCGACCCACGAAAAATCTTCTCGGACTATTATAAAATACATAGTCTAAGAAAATAGAAGTTCAACGATTTGAAAACCATTAACCAAAAGTGGCACTGAAAAACATAGGGTATCCGAAACTGTTCCACTAACTTCATTCGGCAGTCAATGAGCCCTATTGGTGCTAATACGCCACAAAATTGTCATCATTTCAAAATTCTGTATCTTCGACTACGTGAACCTTGAATGTGTTTCCATTGACTGTGTATTCTTTAACTGATTGTACTTCTTGAAGTTGCAATATTTGTACCAACACATTTGCCATTTGTCTTCTGTGTGTGCGTTGTTCATAATCGTAGTATAACTTTTCCAGTTGGCTAAACCTTGAACTTTGAAGTAATTTGTGAAAGTCATCTTGTTTATCGTGCGACCTGCAAGCAGTTCCAATAATTCTTGAAAGTCCAAAACATCCCTTTGTCATGTTTTCTGGCGAGGCTTTCAGCCTTGGTGGATGAGAAGCGTTCTTTCCTTCGAGTTTATCGTGCTCCATACAATGCAAGGAGAATCGTAATTCAATCACGCAGACGGACGCATTCTAAGGCAGCTTTTCCCAGACTGAGGTGCAAACATTTCGGACTTTCCAGAAGCTTAATGAGGTCCTTAAGTTTAATTAAGGAAGTGACGTTAAAGCTTTTACACGATCAACGTCCATTGGTTTGTTTTACAGGCGATGCTACAGCGGTGTCTCAAAGGTGAATGACAAACTGTTAAACGTCTCTTACACGATGTATAAAGTCATTCAAAATCTTATCTTAAGAAACTAAGAAACATTAACAAACAGTGCCATGGAACTGTTTACTTAGCTTCAGAGAAAAATAGACGAGCTTTCTCACTAAACAAAAAAACATGGGTGTGGAAATTTGAACGTCAAGCTAAACGGAAGGTACACATTTGAAACGCGTGGCCCGGCCAGTTAAGCTTATAACTTAGGGATAGCATCAATTGTGTACGCCTGTAGTTTGATCTCAGTACATATAAGTGCGCCAGAAAGAAGCAAATTGTACAGCTTTCTTTAGAAATGTCACCACTTGGCTGAGAGAAAAGTGTCAATGGAGTATCAGGAAGAAATGGTATGTTTCGCGCGTTGTTTCGTATTTCTTAATAAAATACGAAAGCGGAGAGCTAATTGGAAAGTTTTGTTAGTAGAGAATACGCGATGAAAAGCCAATACGAGTCGCACAGAGCCTACGTTTAGAAATGAAGATCTAAGCACTGAGACCAGTCACTAGGTTAACTGTAAAGACCACTGATGTATCGAGGGAGTGCGTAGATTCGATTTTGATGGTGTCATAATCATGAATGTCATTGACGCTGATAACATGCCATGAGGCCTTTCTCAGGGCTAGTGGTTTGCAGAGAGGTTCATATCACGCTAAAGATGTCGTCTGTATGGACTAAAGATCGGGTATCATCAGACCATTCTTATACAAAAGCTCATGCATGGTGGTCATTCTTATACCTAATATTACTGACAAGAATCAGTTTCTTGTCACGAAAGTTTCCTTCTTCCTGTCCAGAGGTCGGCTCCAAGAATTCCTTCCACCTTTGTGACATTTTAAAATTAAGGGGCCTTTACTATTATAATGATTATTTATTATTTGTTAATTTATTTATTCGTTTAGTTATTTCCTTGCTTATCTGTTTATTTATCTAATGTATCTATTTATTTCTTTATTCATTCATTCATTCAGAATGTTTGTATGTATGTATGTATGTATGTATATGTATTTATTTATTTATTTATTTATTAACTGTGGATTTAATGCAGTTGGTCTTCTTCTAAGGTGAAAGGTTCACAAGGCCTGGTTTTCTAACTAGTTTGTTGCATTTATTTCTGCCGAAACGGCAGAACATTTGAAGGGAGCTGACTGGTGACTCTCCTGTAGTTATTCACTCTTTGTTTGGAAAAATTAGGTGGAAGGGCTTACGCTCCCCAACAGCACCTACTCCGCCTTCCCTGTTTGCAGATACAAGATGTAAAGGCAAACAGGAATTCCAGTTATTTACAGTGAGAGTAATTATACACATATGCTTCATTGTTGTGTGTTCAATATTGAATAACTCGATGAAAGAAAATTGTCATGAATCCCATTTCAACCACCGCACGTTATCACATCAAAGGGATTGCGTGGACCGGCCTAGATAGAGAATACAATCTTAAAGTAGGAAAATTGATTCCTGTTTCACTTACGATTTGAATATTAAGCCTATTTTCAGCGATTTAAATCTTCTTGCAGATCATAGCAATACAGAACGACGATGAATATTGAAAACCCCACTTACGTGTGGCATTTTGGAATCTGAACTATGTCAATTGGAAGCCTGGAACTTCGAACTAATACTTGAGGATTAAACATCAATGCGGCGACAGTAATTCCACCAATGACCAATATACATGTCTCTTTTGTTGCAGGATTTATACCGCAGAAGATACAAACACTAGAAACTAGATTAAGAGTGGAAACAAAGAATTCGATCATTTTGTCCAGACTTGATAAGCGAGAGTCGGTTAAATAACTGACTTTCCTGAATCGCTATTTTGCATCTTCAGAGGGATCTCAAGCGGCCTATATACCAAGGGAAATTACCTTTTCGTAAGCAAAGCCGCAGTTCGACGACCATTCTATTTACCATGAAGAAGTTATCTCCGACTCGAACCCCTTCACTGAGTGATATTCTTAAAGAGGCTGTGGGGTCGAAATTAAGCGACAGGAGAGGGGACTATAAGGTGTTGGAATTTAAACCAGTTACTCGATCGGTGACCGGTGCGAAAGCAAGACAAGCTCGCCTCCATGAGGCATCCAGCGAAAATAGGAATCGCGGTTTACCCGAAGCGACAAAGGTGTTACTTCAGATACTGTTAGACCAAGAACGCTCTACATTGGCAGAATACACGGTAAACAGTGTCACTTTCAAGGTGTTTGTGGTAGAAGATACCGAACTTTAACACAGTAACATTATGGTAGTGAGATGGAGGTTTTATAAGACCCCAATAACCTACACATGGATTCCGTCTAACGTTCGCCGAAGTGTTTAATAATTTCAAGACCAAGCACTGATTATACACCTTAACTAACAGCAGAGAACTTCCGTGACGACTTAACGAAGTGACGTTAATCGGATTTTTGTTGTAAGTTTACAAAGCTGTTTGTATCGGGAAAAAAACAATCATTGTTTTCATAAAGACGAAACTTAAAGGCACAATATTTTCGTTTCTCATGGTGAATTGCTTATTTATATTCAGACACATTTAAAACAACATATTGTATACGGACATAACATCGCCGTGCAAAGTGCTGCCCGGCTGTGATCATCAAATTAAATCTATATTTTGTTAATAGTTCATATCTAGTGGCAATTAAGAAATCTAAGCGAATCTCATCAGTGATTTATGAACGTGGCTAATGTATAGCTGAGTAGCTCCATTCTATAACGAAGAAAGAAAGAACTAACTTTTTATATAAATACTCAGCAAACAAATAAAACAAATCAAGTGATTGTTTCCTTTAAAAAAAGCTTCCGCTGAGCTTTTGTTCATGAAGTGAAAGGAGGATTAAAGACAGATAATAAGAGTTTATCTAGATCACGGACGGAGTGGCTGTTGTGGCGTTTAAAATCAATTCATAACATGCCAATTGATATCTTTGAGCAACAAACTTGGTGCTCTATGTTCTCTTTCGGTCAAACCCTAATATGCGCGTTATTTGATATAAGATGATGGGGAAAGAGGAATTATATCTGTAAATGAACGATTAAAAAGTGAAACACCTATCATGTACCTGTAATTAAGTATTTTTTTTTTTATTTGTACCCTAATAAAACGTGGCACGCGCTCTTGAGGTTAAAATGGTGTCACCGCCGTCTCTTCCGTGGGATTCAGTGCAAGATCAGATAAATCGCGTGTAAGTGAAATTTAACACATAACATATTATTTGTTATTTGAAGTAAAGCACGCTTCGTTGCATGTACATGTATAAGAACGTGACCACTCGCGGAGAACCGCATACATCCCGCACAATACGTACGGTTTCCTTGAATCATGATATCACGTATCCGCAGTGAGAGGAGAGAAGTGGCATCAAGTACTTACTTTAAAATAAAGAAGAAAAAGTGAAATATTGGAAAAACTCAAGTCATTTTGTCTTTGCTGTTTTAGAGTTACAATGGTTCCTGACGGCATTGCCATCTACATCTGTACTTACAGCATAACGGAAGCCGGATATTTTGCCTCATTGAGTTGCGATACAGTGGTTCTTCACATCTGATGAGGAAGTTTAACGCAAGTTCGTGGTGATTTCAGAGGCGATTAGTTACGATTCATTGCGTTTTTCCAAATCTCGTAAAATCTGTAACAACTAATTATAACTTGTCTACCAAAGCGTGATTTTTGGTATTTTTAACACACCCCCAAAAAAATCAAAATTCTAGCATACAGCTTCATAACGAGTCTAACAAGGGCGATCTCGTGGCAATATATCGCCTATAGTTTATGCGCGCCAGTTGAAATCGCGCCCAATTGCTTTTCTCAACAGGCCAGTGCAGCCTGACAGGGGCACCCAACGAGGATATAGTTCAAAACCACTTAACATAGCATTGTTGAACGTATTTTAGTATTTAAACGGTAGATATAGGCATATTTTTATCCCCTAAAAACTTTTCATCTGTTCGGATTTCCTAGCTGAAAGTCTAGTGATCCGAGAATTATAGGGATCAAAACTTACCTTTTCGAAAATTTCAGCCAGGAAAAGGCTCCCGAAAATTCTAGGTGGCCTTTTTTAGGGTAAATATCCGTTTAAAATCGGTAATTATACCATTTTGTAGATGTTCGAAAATCCTAGGAGAGGCAGGCAAGCAAGAAATTTTACAACAAATGTTCCGAAAATTCTAGTTCTCAAATCGTCGTCCGAACAGATATTTAGTTCTATTGGCTAGGCCAGGTTCTTTTGATCATTTTTACCATCATCATCATTTTAACAACAAGTCACTTATGGCTAGTCTTTCGGTGAGGACCTAAAAAAAAGCACCGGATGCTGTTTGACGAAAATTAGGATTATTTTAGTAAAAATCTGAAGCTGAGAAAAAATGATACACTACCAGTAACTGATACTTGGAGAGAATTCCAAATTATAGAACCGGGGTAGAGAATTGAAAACTGGCGCTTTACATTTGTAAAAGAAAAAAAATCATTCAATATTTGATGGCTCTTCTAGTGCCCTAGTTTAAACTGGGCAAAGCAAGCAAGGCTAGCTATGTTCGTACGCTTTGCATGCACCTGCACCACTCATTCTGAATTGCTGGGTTAATTCTTTGAGCCTTAATATCCACATATAAATTCTCCTAACTAGTCTCTATACATTTCCATAAAGAATAAGTTGAGAGGATTTGATAAAAGATCAACGCATTTTCTCTCAGATGATTATTTAATTAATTCTCCTAACCTTTTCTCTTGATTGAGTATTGATATTGTTTGGAGAAAATTGATGTTTGTCACTCTTGGGGGCTTAATGCAGAGGATTAACATGTGTTAATCTTTGATCCTCCAACCATTAAAAGAAAATTCGCCAGGGTTGCTCTTAGACACATGTAACCAAAGAGCATTTCTTTTAAACAGGCATTTATTAATTTACCTGAAAAGGAACGGATTTGTCAGCTTCTGAAGTCTCATTTTCAATATAACAACAAAATTTTACTGAAGAGATGCTGACATGAGAAATTTAAATTAACCAGGTTGATCGATATTCCGACCATCTTATTAAAAGCTCAGAATTAAAGAAAAGAAACAAATAAAAGTTCACCATAAAATGTAACCAAGTTGTAAAGAATCTGAGAAAATAATCCACTAGCGAAATAACCCCCCCCTCCCCGCCTACCGTCCCCCGCCCCCCAAAAAACACAATATCGAAAAAGCGAAAAATACAGATACGCCATATTATATTCCCGCCTTGCCCAAACACGTGACGGTAACGCTTGACAGTAACGTGTACTTTAGAAATCGTATCTATTTAGTACTATAACCGTGGCGCGAGCTGAAGAAATACCGCTATCTCCAAAATCTTCCCCCCTTCATTCAAGGAAAAAGAGGAATTTGTGATTTTGAGCACCAAGAATCAGGCAAAAGGCAAGGCGGCAAAAACTTAAACGACATTCAGTACATCACGCATTGCGAAAATCTGTCACAAACACTAACTTAGTTTTCGCTTACCATTTAGTTGCTGCATCATTCGCTCGCTAGAAATATAAGGCTTGGAAGTTCTATTTTCCTTTGACTCTGCGTTAGATTTGCGAAATTTTCCGTTTTTCCAGAACTGGATTCTGTTGTGTCATTTGGTAAACGGCCAGTGCCATGTTTTCTATCCTGTTTGTAACTGTGTCGTTGACAGATTTCTAAACAAGTAGTGGGATGTTTCTTCAAATCTGTTAAAAATCTGGTGCTTTTTGCAGTTCACCGAGATTAAAAGCGCCTTTATCTCTTCTTCGTCATGACGAAAAAGCCTAGCATGACCCAAAACAAAACTCGAAGCCAACGTGACCTTGCCTCCAAAGAGTGGTTTTCTTTAGCCGATAGGCGTATTGGGAAGATAATCTTGTAGGTTTAGTCACGCAACTCTTGTAACGCAAGCTAAGTAACGGAGAGCGATCTATGCCAGAACTATCCTATTTGGTAGTGATATTCACAAGATATTGAGGAGATGTTTAAAGCTTTTTATTATTATTATTAAATAATAATAATAATAACAATAAATATAAAACTTGTGTTGCGCATTAGAAAAATTTTAATATGCGAAGTTTTCGCTGAAGTATTCACTTGTTCCAAAGGAATCATGCTTTCAAGCGATAGACTTCGTGGACCGACCCGCAAGCAAGGCGCTGTGACACATCTCGATTCTTATCCCCAGTTTCCACGATCTCCGCTTGCTAGGGACGCCTGGGACCTCAACCCTCCACCCCTTTTGGCACGCAAACTCGAAAAAAAAAAACGCTTGCATTTTTAGAGTGTCGCTGCTAAAGCAAGCGAGACTGAAAATGATTATATATGCCCTTATTGCATCGCCGCAATCTTTTAATTGGAAACGTTTTTTAAAGTAAATTCAAGTGCTGAGTGATATTGGATCTAAAGGTGTTTCAAATACACACCCTACGCTATACAATGTATTTTAAAAAATATTTAAGCGTTGCGATGCCCTTTTTAAAATGCTATAAGGACCGCTGCTTAACAGGTGAAACCGTAAGCGTTAAGTGTTTAAACATCATGCGATCACGGGAAAGATTATCTAACTTTTTTTCTCTTTTCAGAATACAAAGCTCTTTCAGGAGAATATTGAAAGTTGTCAGTAATAGCTTAGTAGTGCCAAATTTTTAAAAAGACGCCAGCGTTGGCTTAACTAATATGTTAAATTTGATAATGGCGCACGCTAAGTATTCCAAACTGAATGTGAATGGAGATGGCTTGATGACTATTAAGTACTTGTTTACCAACAGTTTAATATTCATCATTATAAATGGCGCATTTCTTTGACTATAAGAGGTAAAGTACTAAGTAACCCTGCGCTGTGAATCAAGAGGGTTCTTCTTCTTGCCCTCCGAGTACGAGGTAAAGAATTCAAAGTCTTGTATTGTTCGTTTTTTTATGTTATTTACTAGGTTTTTAAAGAATGTCTCTACTCAAAGACACTCAGGCGATTTTTCTCACACATTTATGTATGTTCTGTTTTTATATGTCATTTTTGTCCAATTGTGTTTCAAACTTCCGCAACGTGTACCTGAAAACATGCAGTTTCATCTATTTGCGCATAAGCCTAGGGCAGTAATACAGTTGCTTTGATAAACGAACTCGTATTTACGGTGTATTACTGAGTAAGTTTGGAATCCCATTTTGGAAGTAAAACGAAAACCATTAATTCATTAAACTTACTTTTGTCGATTTCACACCGCGAATTTTGCCTTTGCTAATCCCGTTTCTACTCTTTCATTTTCCTCCAACAGGTGTTTTGTAGAGATCCTAGTTATAGAAATGTTTTCAAATTACCGTATAATCTTCTTCTTTTTACTTTCTTCATTGGCTTTTATGGCAAGCAATTTTCCTCACCACGGGACTCTCCTCTCCTCAAAACCATTGGGAAGGAAATCAACACTCCAAGGTGTATTATCTTATGATCGTAAATTATCTTTCGGGATAAAATGATAATAGCAAATAATAATAACGAAAGAAACATTACACTCGTGAGTTAAGAATTAATGATGTCAGACAGAGTGTCACCTTAATAATTCTTTTCTGTTATGAGCAAGATATCATCAGGTGACATGTGGCTTGGATATTTGAAATTTGTATCTTAAATTTGGGGAGATATTGCTAAAATTTATCAACAGTTTAGAAAAAAACATAACGTTCGACTTAAGCAAGTCAGAGTTAATGACAAAGAGAGTCAAATTTGAAGAAGTTTTAAACTGAATCGCATTAGGAATTAACGAACAGCTTCTATTTACTAAAAAAGAGTTTTTTAAACGATTACAATGCGGAGCTGGTGGTAAATCGGCCAGGTTCTTAGCAGGGGTATCGCATGCTGAATACAGTGTAAGTATTTGAGGGAAAGCGAACACTCATTAAAGAAATCCAAATTTTGCCATTAAGGCTTATTGATCATTAACCAACAGCTTAAACAGTACCTTTCATTCTCTGTTGAACGAAGCTATATAGTGGTCCTAGATTTATATTGTGGTGTTTTTATGTTTTTCAAACAATAAACGACTTTGCTCTGCTTTGACTCTTTCGATTAAACGCACTTTTTTTAACGGACTAAAAGAAAATAATTTAGCTATAATTTTGAAGATATTAAGCGTCGAATTTAAGAGAGGAATTTTATTCCAAAATCGATAAAGTCCAAAATAGACTTTTCAGTGATCTTTTTCTTATTAATATATTCTTTTCTCCTTCTTAGACTTCGCTGGAGATTCTGGCTGTCCCGATGCAAGAGATATATCTTATTGCATGTTTGAAGTCATCTACAACAACGCCTTTGACATTCATCAAACTCCGGAGAAGGATTTTCAATTATATTGTAGAGATTACTGCTTTTCTCTTTGTTACTAGAGGTAGTTTAATAACGAAAATAATCATTTCATTGCGATCGATAACTATCCAGCTGTCCCAACATTAGCACAAGGACAATTAGCATGTACTGTGAAATGAAGTAAAAATCACCTGCAAATAAAACAAAATGCGCTGAAAGTAAGCCTTGGCTAATATCTCATGAATTCAGAAGATGTCCATTAAAACGTCCATGTTGTGGGTCAATTCTATGTTTATATTTTAAATTTTGTTTTTCTTTGTTTGAAATGCATTATAATACATTACCATACTCAAAACAAAGAAATTAAAACTAAAGTTTAAAGCAAGGATAAAATTGATACCTAGCCCTATACTTTTAACCAGAAAAGCGAGTGCATTTGCGTGATCTGCAATGAAAAGAAAAAACGGCGATAATGTTAAAGTAGATCACATTTATATTTTGATCAACCACAACTTCACCAATACAGAACGTTAAAGATAACTTACTACCACTGCGGGAAATTATAGGAATATGAATTCAAACATGATTGCTCATCGACAAACTTTGGCTGTCAACGGAATCAAAAGTGAACCTATGATGCTTACAAAATGTTTCAGTGTCGACATTATACACTTAATGTCAGATCCCGAGGGAAACAGTAAGTTTTGTTTTCCCGAGAGTCCTTATGTTTCCCTGGACGAAGTCGAGGGAAACATCAGGACTCGAGGAAAACAAAACTAACTGGTTTCCCGAGGGACTTGACATTAAGTGTTTTGTTATATTTCTAGACAGCAACAAAAGAATAACCGGAGCGAACCAAAACAGTCGACTCGGTATACAACAACAGAAATCTAATTCTCAAAACCTCGTCAAAACCACTGAAAGAATGATTTACAAAGTGCTTTCCTTATATTATCTGCATCTTTTTCCTCCACTAGTTGCTGTTTCTCTTCTGGGATAACTTAAAAATCGTTGCTTTTTAGCTTGAGGCTTCATGTTTGTGAAATTGACTGTGTTTTCCCGCCTTCTGTCACGCCACTTTCCACCATGCTTTGATCACGTGCTGTAATGTATCCCGAACGGGTTACATTGCTTAATGTATCACGATCGGGATACATTTGATTTTGGTCAAGGCCACATGACCAAGAATCAACCAATGGCAGACCCTGTTAAGTAGAGTGAAAGTCTAGGAATATAACAAAACGAGATATACAATACTAAAAACTTGAGGTTATTTTAAATCCTACTTACAGAGATACGTGTGGTGGTTACCTCATAGCTATTTTTCAACCGTCCAATCACGTTGCTTCGCCTAATGATAACCTAAGAGCGTTTGGTTTCGAGAAACCGTTCACTGCTTTATAAAAATCGAAGAAAGTGTAACAACATCGATCTATACCTAAACACAACCGAAGGTAGCATACATATACGTAAATGCGAAAAATCCTGTATTTACTCGTGCACGCGTATGTTTAGCTGTACTCAATAAATCATAATTATAATCACTGAAATGTCGTAGTTTTTGTTGTTGTCGGCGCTGGGACTTATCTCGGTTTTACGCTGGCTTTTCAAATTACTTGAAGGAACAAACAATTTTTATGGTTTATGCGGCTTAATTTTGCTTTTGTTAGTGGGTTTACTGGGGATCTTGGTCACGATTCCTATTCCTCATTTCATTTTTATCCGATTGATAAACTATTGCAATTTGATCACAAATTTGAAGTTTTTCATGACACCTCACTGAGTCAGAGGAAATATTACTATTGTCATTTAATGACACCGGGTGCTAAAAGTACAATATTGGAGTGGCAAGATAATAAATGAAAGCAACAAAATTGTAAAACCGCGATTATTCAGTGCTTCCTCATTCAAAAGATTAGTTCTGCTTAAAAAGCTGCTGTGAACACCATGTGGTCCAAAGCAATTCTGTCCGAAACCGTTCTCTTCATTTTGCTTGCTTCAGTGGTGGTTATTGCGAGCAGTTTGCCTTATTACAGAACATTGCCATCTTCACGGCTTAACGCTGACAAATCAACAAAAGAAGAAGGTAGCTATAGGGTGTAATTCGCCATTCTTTTCACTTTAATTATTAAATTTAAAAAGGCTTGCAAGGGACAACTCAGTATTATGAACGTATTATAAACTGTAAGTTTCATTTATTCAAAACGTTGTGAATTATTAGCTTTAGCATTAGGGAATATTTTTATTTTGCTTTAATTTTTTTCGAAGTTATTAGGAAATGTGAATGTGAATATGAATTTAGTGGTTATTAGGGCTTCTAAACATAAAGTATATAGAGGCAATGTTGGGATTATGGGGACATTCTGGTTCACAATATCTTAGACATTTTGTTACAAAATGTGGAAAATCTGAGAGTGAAGAAAAAAGATAGAGAAAGCTGCACATATTGAAACAAACGTCATAAAACTGATCATGAAAACAAGCAGGTTGAATGTTATCAGCGGAAGCAGAAGGCTAGAGGATGAATATAACACCTTCCAAGATATGTACTATAATCAGCCTTTGACTGTCGAAGGAAATGGACATCTGTCTACCTCCTCATTGAAACCGTTCGCCATTTCCTCGCCTTTTTTCCGATTATGAACGGTTAATTAACTTTGTTGAAGCTATTCCTCTTGCTATATGTCAGATTTTTGGCTACTTATTTCCTTTCTTGGTAATAGTTCATATTGAAATTTTCCGCTTAACTATGTTCTCAATATTTACAGTAACAAAGGTGATGTTCATGCTATTGTTGTTGTTTTTATTGTTGCTTCTTGTTGCGATTGCTACAGTTCTCATTGTAAGACAAAATCTTAAATAAAAAGATTAGACTGTAAATAAGAAAGATCTGTTTAGCCCTAAAAATGGGGCCCTTTCAGTAAGTAAAATACAGTTCTATTTTTGATTCTCATTTGGCTCCCTTAAATCAGGGCCAATGCAATCCAATTACCTAGGGCTGATTTGGACCCAAGGGCTGAAAGGGCCCCAGCTTGGGCTGGAATAACCTTTTGATTGGGATGTTTTGGTATAAATTGTGCTCAAAGGCTCCAGGAGGGGCTAAATGAGATTTTGGCCTGACGAGCTGAATTGGTACTTTAGGGCTGAAACAGATCATTTTCATTTTCAGTGTAAATGGAAATTATTTTATAGACAAGTGACCAACATAATTTGGGATAAGTCCTGAAGAGGTGCTTATCTATACGCCCTAAAAGTGCATATAACTGTTCCAATTAATCAACTTTCCGTTTAGGCCTTCAATTATAATAATACTAGTCCCCATACCTCTCTCTTAGGTTGTCCAGATCCAAGAGACTTGTCTTACTGCATGTTTGAAGCCTTGTTTAAAGGTGCCTGTCTAGCGGAGAAGCCTGGGAAAACGTTTACATCAATATGTAGAAAATACTGCGAAACATTTTGCTAACTTGGGAAATTCTTCCTAATTTGGGATTCGAAATGGTCCAAATTTAGGTCTTGTATTTAGCCACAATCATAACGTGTATCAAAAATTCGTGTGACAAAAATTAAATTTATAAATCATTAATTATTCAAGTTCGATCAGATAGTCTCAAGTTATTACTTTTTTTAAGCGAATGATTTGAACATGACAACGGTTGTTTTATTCATCCAACGGTTGAATGGCCATAAAATAAGTCGATTGACCCTTGACTTTTCCAATATTTGAGCGGGAGTCGATCCTATAAAACTTCTCAACATGCGCTGCTTATAGAGGAATTAGTGAGAGTCTTCATTCGCCCCTCACGATTGACAGACTGGCCCGACTAAGACAGCTCGCTCGCAAAGAACTCACGCATGCATACAGCCATACCAAATTAAGGAAAATGCATGCCCTCGGGGGTAAAAAGTGTTAACTATGTCTGATTCGAAACAATTATGTCTTGGAGCAAAAAAGCAAAGACATGGTTTATTAATGATTCAATGAATTTAAATGCTATTTCCCTGTCGAAACGTGGTCGATCAGCTGCTGTTAATTTTGATTATTTCATATCATTATTATGTGGTATTGGTCCATCAACAAGCAACAAGCCATCGGTCGTATCGTTTGTGCTTTAATTAAACCTATTCCTTAACGAATATCTTTGCAGCTGGTCTGTATTGACATTATTCTCACAGAGGGCTTCTGTGATGAGTGAGCAAAAATTATTTATATTTTTTTCATTGGCCCCTTGATACGAATGACACGTGCCATTTCAAAGCACTAACAAGACCCGACCCCATGCATGAAGCCCACCAGCCATTTGTGGCGCATGCGCAGTGCAACTATCTTCAAACGCAACTATTGTTAATTTTGCATGACTATCTTTTCATGGAAATTGAGAAGAGCAGTATTACCCGTACGCCTCCAAAACTACCTAGAATCCAACACCAAAATCTTGCACCGCAACGAATTTATTCTTAAAATATGTCACATTTTAAAAGAATTTAAGTAGCAAAGAACTTTCAACGACCAACTGATTAATTTTGTATTTATTTTTTAATTACATCTTTTTACCACTCGAAAAGTTAAAAAATCAAATCATCCCACTCAACATTAACCACTGAATTCATTTTTAAATAACATCTCAAACTTTCCTTGAATATAATCAGCATATAGTCGAATAGTTTTAGTTTCAAGTGGATTGTGATTCTAAATTCCAATGGAAGGTTTTTTCAAAAACCCCTTAAACTCATCCCTTCGCGATGTTTCGCAGACATTCGTTTTGTCTAATAGGTGAAAGTTCGAGTCTTAAAGGAACGTATGGATATTGCTATCTTTCAAATCAATTGAAACTAAATATTACGAAAGTAATATATAATGTATTTACAGATGGTTTTTTTCTCCGCTTGAACAAAATACTCCACGAATAAGGTAATTTGATTGATCCGGGCGCCGTTCCCGATCCTTGTCTTTCCTTTGACAAGTTTATGTAACCTCATTTTCATCGGTGAGGATTGGTCGCTTTTTTATAGTTTAATTACCGGTTCGATTATCAATTGATCGTCAGTACCGTCGACGAGAAAGGCTTCAAACAGTTCAACTTACTGTCACTGCGTAGAAAGTGTTTTAGAAAGGTAAGGAAAAGATTCTCTACTTATTGTTGTTGTTTTCTTATTATTTTCTTATTATTTTTTTGTCTTTGTGTTAACAGCCCATTGACGTAATTTGATTACTTTTATTAGAAGCTTTTGCAGTATAACGTCATCGTCATTCGGTGAGATTGCAGGCTAAAGACACCTTCTAATCCACTAAAGCCTCGCTAATATTTCATCCAATTTTACTAATGCATTCAACGAGAAGGCGCTAAAAAATAAGCCATTGTTATTTACATCTTTTTGAAAGACACTTGATGAAACGCCAAAGGTGCTTAAGGCGATCAAATGAAGGTGAATTTGAATTTCAGTTGAACTGAGTAAAAAAGAATTGATAACTTAAGTTTATATTAGGTGTTAATTCGTCCGTTCGCATGAAACCAACATCTATTGTAGCTGGTGTTGATCTATGAAGTAAGACATGACGGCACCGCCGTAGCCAGTATGAGGCGAACCGAGGCACTCGCCTCGGTAAAATTTTACCAAATACTGTCGATTTTTATTTTTTTTTATCAGACTGATAATATTAGAAGATTTCATACGGCTGATTTCGTACAACGGACCGTGTGTTCGCCTCGGTTGTAGTTTCTTCCTGGCTACGGCCCTGGACGGTTAGCCCTTTCAACGGGAAACAAAGGACGAAATGAAGATAAAATGAGTTCAACAGATCTAATATTTTTTCCTTCTCTTTAATCAGGACATTAAAAATTTCATCACAGCAATGGCTCTCACAAATATAATCAACCTTCTGATTCTTGTCCTTCTCACTGCATTTGCCACAATGGTAACTTCTAAAGTTTATTCCGACGATCTTGATCTAGAACAGTTTTCCGAACTGTTTAGTAAAAGAGATGCTGTTGAGGGTAAGTGTAATACAAACATTAAACACTTAATGACTGCTCCCATGCCAAGGGAAACAGTTCATTTTGTTTCCCGAGAATCTTAATGTTTCCAGAGGCAGAGCTAAGGAAAACATTGAGATTCGAGGGAAACAAAATGAACTGTTCCCAGAGGGACCAGTCTTTAAGTGATCTGTTATATAGCTAGCAATTTTGAAGCTGGAAAATCATTACTGAAACCTCTCTGAAACGGCAGTCAACATTCGCGGGTAACAATGCACTGTTACCCCCTCACGTCCTAGATTTTGCAATACTTCACGCTCAGAGATTTTGACGGGAAACACTTTCATTTTTGGATTTCATGTGACCTCGGAGAAACCAATGAGAGCCCGAGCTATTGGGAAAAAATTTCCAACTATATAGCAATTATGATTATGACTTACCTAGTTGGCTCGGGGATATTAGCACTTGAGTGCTACACCGTAAATTCAAAGGTAAAGAAAGTTTATTGATTGATTGATTGATTGATTGATATGTTTTCAAATATGCACGTTTGAATAATCAGAGGTTATGGCAGCAAGAAACCGAGAGAGAGAATACAGGACCTTTATCCTCTCTAGAAAAAACGTATTATACCAGCACATGAGAGGATAAGATGATCAGTGAGTTTAAGCTGAGTTTAACCGCATATTGGCCCTATCCCCATCGTATTCCCTCTCCTCCAAAAAACTACTGTTTCAACAATTTATCAGTCATAGCAAAAGGAACCGAATTTACCCGGATGTTTTGCAGACAAATGAGAAACCTGATGCAACAGAGTATAGAAATAAACGCTTATTTGATATTCATGAATTTGTTTTCTGCTCCCATTTGGACAGATGTGTTTTCAATGTTGAATGACGGCAATAGGCAAAGTTGTGAGAACTTGAAGCCTCGAAGCTGGTGTCAGATACGTAGAATGTTTTTGAGCTGCAAGACTAAACGCTTCAGAAAGAACTGCAAAGCAATGTGCAACCGAAAATGCCGTAAGTTAAAAATTATTATGGAGCTTTTCATCATGTTATTGTCCATTTTAGTCCACTGTGTGCACGGAAAGACATGTTAAGGGTTGTGTAAAAATGATATTTGACATCACTTTAAAACAATAGAAAACGCCCTTTCATCGAAGAAAACACTAATGGCCTAATTTTGTTTGAAATTACTTTTAATTACTATAATTCTACGTAAGCCTTGAGTGTGTGTGTGTGTGTGTGTCTTTTAGCTTTCAGTATCCTCCGCTAAGCATTTTAAAAGATCTATTGTGCTCGAATTGCCCGGGGTACTCCCTATAATGGCCTAAACAGAGAAGCCTGACCCAAAAGGGGTTCCCCTTTTTTTCAGGCTTCATGTATACGAAAGAGAAGGGATCGAAAGGGTAGGGAAATCTGTCATTTCGGTCTGTAAAAGGACCAAAAGGGCCCAACACACGCATTATATGGAAGTGAAAGATTCATTTAAAAAAAAGACGATACATTGACAGCAGTTAAAAGGATGCAGTGTTCTAAACTAGTTACTTGAAAGGGGTACCATTTTTCATGCAGTAGAAAGTATACGAACGGGGTACCTTTTCTTTCAAAAATGGTTTATAAAAATGTAAGCAGTTTAATAGGCCTCGGGGAGGAGCCTCCCCGTATAAAAGTTCGTTGAGTACCCCCTCTCCACGGTCAAATTGGCGTTATTCTGTTGTATTTTACCTTTTTTTCAAAGCGGTGCCATAGTTATAATGTGAATGTAATCATTTCATGCTAGAGTTTGTATGGTTATACCACAATAACTTTGTGTATTATTTTCATTGTAGGTGGCTAATCATAAGAAGAATGTAAGACAGAACTGTTTGAAATTTGTGAAAGCTGCTAAATAATGAAAGAGAGGAAAGTGTTGACTAAAACGTGCAATAAAAATGATAAGCTGATGACTCCTGGCTGCTTCGTATATTACTACAGTATTTTAATTGACCATCTTTAAAACTTATCTGATAATGACCATTCTTGCTCCCGTAATTACCTATATCACCCTAACCCAGAGGAATGAGCACGACTGGCTCATGAACTTCGAGTTTTAAGGCGCCTAATAATGCGCCACAAAGTTAAACCAGGGGTCCAAGAATTATGGGATGGCAAAACGGTTAGCCTTAGATAATATCGAGTGAAGCCAGATTGGACACCTTATGAATTTTACAAAACGCATTATTTCCATAATGGAACGAGACTGGAATGTAGAATGAGGCTAGAATAGCTGAAGAAACCAAAATAGCGCCTGGAAAGACCTAAAAAACGAAGCACAGAGCGTTCTGGACCCCCAACGGACTCAACGAATTTATGAATTCCCCCTTCAACCTGATTGGCGAGACAAACAAAACAAAGCCTTTTGAAGCCAATCGTGGCGCGTTCAAATCGGGGGCTGGAAGTCCTGATTTCTGTTTGCAGACGGATTAGGTTTAATTTCGTCTGCGCGAAATGAAAACACTGATCTGCAGTGATTAGGGTTAAGCACTGAAATGAAAACGGTTAGCTTTCAAATATTGTAATGGGGTACGGCATAAGAACATGTATATTGTAAAAATTATTGGATTTGGCAGCTAGTCCTCGATGGTGTAGTGGATATGGATGTAGGCTATAAAGCAACTGATCCGGGTTGAAAGCATACAGTGGATTTTTTCTATTTCATTTTATATTACACAGTAAAGTTGCACTTAAGTTGTTCTTCATGTAATTTTACTGAAAGCAACAATCTGACTTCAGCCGATGTTTCCTAATGCTAACCTGGTAAAAACGCAAAACGCCAGAGTTTCATACCACTTCTCCGCTGGAGAGCCTTAACGCAGGCTCAAGGGAAGAAAAGGAAAGGAATGGTGGTTCAGGAAGGAAGCAGATCAAAAAAACAGATCTTACTTACCTTGAAAAATGGGTGGAAGTTCGATTGTTTTAAGTGGGTCTAAATTAGTCAGATTGGCAGTTCAGCCTAACCCAGACAGTTCAAAACAGTTAATTGTACACTGTTACAATTCTACCTTTATTTAATACTGATCATCAAAATTTTACTCCATAATTCTTTCACCTAGACATCCAATACTCATATGAAAAAAATGAAAATAAAAATAGCTCGCTGGGTGAAGAGTTCGTGTTGCCTAAAAATATGCAAAGTGTAAATGAGTTATGCATTAGTTGTTCAAAACATAGCGCGCATAACCATGGCCAGAGCGACCGCTACAAACAGGTACCCACTCCTTCCAGTCTGCAGAGTGACGTCATTAGCACTGCTCTTCGTCATCAAACATTGATCTACCGGCTTATACCGAGATGTAATGCTTGGCTTCTTAGCCTTGTCGACACCCTGCAGGCAAAGAACAAACAAAAGTCAAGGACAAAGACAAACCGGAGGACGGACAGGGAGCAGTATACAAGATCAAATGCTGCGAATGCCAGGCCACTCACATTGGTGAAACCGGCAGAAACCTTAGTACGCGACTGACTGAACACAAACGAGCGGCGAGAAATGATGACATCAACAATCACATTGCCGAGCACCATTTACAGACGAAACATCAAATCGACTGGGACTCTGCGACACGTTTTACGTGTTCTACTATCAACGACTCGCTTTAGAAAGCTGGTTTACTAACTTAGAAAAAAACGCCACTGATTCGCAGTCAACAGTTACCGGCACCGTACAAACGACTCATTGACGGACTCAAGCAAAACTGACCACAAGAGAATGACTCGACAACCGACAATTTGACTAACGAACAACGACACTTTTAACTGTGACAATAGACGGATCAAAACGCACCAACGAGATTATGAGTCTTTATAGCCAATAACATCACGGCTTAACTGACAGACGACCGATAACCCATAATCATCGGTATCCAATCATATATGTACAATGTATATCTGTCTGATTTCGTTAAAACGTGGCCACTGGGTTTTCGCCTGGCGCCGGGCGCAGCCCGGCTCCAGGCCAGTCCGGTGCCCAAAAATGTAGGGGGCTTGACGTCTTGGTCGGTACAGCTGGATAGCCCAGAGACTGCCCTAAAAGTGGGTGGGTGGATGAGGCCTTGGGGTCAAAACTAGTGGGGTAGGGAGGAGGCTGTTTTGACACAACCTCTTCAGTAAGCGACTGTGTTCAGTGCAGGCTTTGACAGGCGAGTACCTTGGTCTTAATTTGCCCTAGCCAGCTGAATCTGGCCTCTGCTGAGAATGATTATCATGATAATTGCAGAGCTCAGTGGGAGGTGCCGACAGTCACCCATTGTCCTGGGTGGGGAGGGTCAAAGTCTTGGTACCAAGGACGCACTTAGCATAGGACCCTTAGACACTCACTGAAGCCATGTTTTCGTAAATCCAGTCAGATATATGTATGGAGATAAAATACACAAAAAGCTTGAATTATGTCTTGAATCAAAATGTATTTTAGTTACACTCACAAACCTGTATGTTTCGGGCACCAGTGGCCTTGCAACTCACATCAAGTTCAAGATCCGCGTCATAAGCTGCTCGCAGATCTTGTGTCATTTCACTGGTCCATATTTTTGGCGGGAAAGGGATCTGATGTGTTCCATTCCTGTGGTAAGGGAAAGGAAGCAACTTAATAAATACAACTATGTAAAAAAAAAAACACATTTAGTTTATTTAGCAACGCTCCTTAAACAGCTGGTGTATGGGATTTCATTGAGGTTGGATTCTTACCCCCAACAGCGCGCGTTTTTATTGGTTACTTTGAAGTAGCGTGACATCTACCAATAAAACTGTTGTCCGCCAAAAGTGTCGAAGCGAGCAACACTTCAAGATCTGTGACATCAGAGGGTAACGTTGACCGAGAATGCAAACCACTCGCTGAGATTTGCTTTGATAAATTTGTAGAAATATTTTTTTTTCTTCATGGGCTGTCTGACAAAGTACTTAATGAATAGGCTCAACAAACCGGTGCTATAGTTACGAGAATATACGAGAAATTGGCCTAAGCCCGAGAAAGGGAGTTTCAGTGGACTGAAACTGAGAAATTAAGAGGGCAGTCAAAACTTTAAGACGTTTTACGCCGGCGGTTATTACCTTCTATGGTACCTGAATTAAAGACCAAAGAGGGGGTTTGTGCGAACAATAAAAATGCCAGACGCCTTCTTCTTTTCGTTGTCTTTGAGAAAAATGTAACTCTTACCGTGAATATTTGGAAAACAGTCCCGTTGCGGCAGCTCGAGCAAAAATGGCACATTTCGTAAAATTAGCGCTTGGGTAATACATCAGAAAAGCAACGCACATCTCGTCCGTCGTCTGAAAACCTCCCTAAAGAATAATTAGTTAAAACGTAATTAGTTGTATTGGCTAACTTATTTGCTGGCCTAGACGAGTTAATGAAAAGCAAAACACCGTGCTTTGGGCAAAGCTTTGTGCTCTTGGTGCTTATCACTGTCGACAAAAGGTCTTTTTTTTAGGTTTCTACATTCTGCATTGATTGGCTTGATGACTGGTGGAGTTTGTCTAGGTCTAATGAAGACGAACTATGACGACTAGCCTGCTACTCAAAAAGCACAAGAAACGTCATTATCTTTCGATGCGAATTTTTCTTCCTTTTCATTAGTCGAGAGCCCACAACGTGATCAGCAAATAACTGCCCACAAATAATGGTCTTTTCGTGCACACTGTCGTTCAACTGTGTTCGCCACTGACAAAACACGATATTTTGCTCAACCTCGTCCAATAACTGTTAATTCATTTTGTAAGTTATTGCATGTGATCTGTTTTTTCTAGGAGCATCAATCAGTGATCATGATGTTTTTTACTGTAAGGCTTTGTCGTGTTGAGACTGAGGGTGTCAAGACTTTACGCAAGTGAGTGTAGTCTCTTAAGTTCCTTCCATACTTTTTGATTTGAAACTTACAAAAGTCAAGCTATCTCTGTCCGACGAATCGTAAGTGCACGTAACCATGAATTCATCACCCTGGGAATAGAACATAAGAGATTAGGAAAAGATATATGCAACGCAACCTTAAGCGATCCCTGCATTCTTATTCTTATCAAAACGCTTTTGTTCATTTTGCCTGAGAAAACCACCCGGGGCACATTTAGTTGTGTTAAACAGGTTCAAAGATATCTTAAAGTCTTTTATTAGTATTTTTGCGGTTTCCCTATGAACTTTTGAGGATTCGTTCCTTTTTTATTTGTCCGTCCGCTTTGATATTGTATGTGTTGAGGCTCCTGTATTTCTTAATTATAAGATGAAATAGTCAAATCAGTAATTTGTCACTTACCGGAAAAACCTCTACCTCTTCTTTTAGCATCTGGTATTCCTAAAATTTAAAAAGGAAGCCATGAGGTCAATATCATAAACCTAAAATGTAACCCAGGCTCAACCATTCTTCTATCTCGACCATCTTCAATAGCTTGAATATAGCCGTACCCTCTCCTCCCTCCTACCGCATTTCTTTCTCAGGGGGAGGGTGCGGCTACACCGATGTAGGCTATGACGATAATTAACGGAGCCAGTTTTTCTTTTCCTATTTTTTTTCCACAACCACAAAGTACATACTTGGAAGTTGAAGTCGTAATGGTTGTCATAAACAATTCGCTTGAGCTCTTTTCCATTCCTAAGATGATGGACTCGTACCTTTCTACCTGTAATAAAAACACATTTTATGCATACAGATTATTCATAGTCGGCGGGCACGACGAAAGTATAGCAACATTTATTGATATCAACCCAGTTCCATTATTTACTTGGAATATGAATATAAAAATATTAAAATGACGTTACGTCGTCAGTTGCTGATACAAAAAAGCAAGTGTATGAAGTAGCTCGTTCAATGAATGACTATCAGTAAGTCTTACAAGCGATCCTTTTGAAAGAAAAATATTTCTAGAGAGAGATTCAGAGAGATGGTTTGTTTCTGGATTCACATATATGGACGTTCACACATTGATTAAACTCTTAAACTTGATTTTCATACAGATTTTACCAGGACTGCCAGGAGCCCTGATTTTACCTGCTAAATGTGTATGAAGCAAGGCTGCAAAAATTTTAATTTTATATCCTGGCAGTGGAGACTTTTCCAGGCCCTAAAACATCGAAAGTCAAGTTGTTAATCTGACATATTGATGATTATCGACGACCAGACCTACGATACTCAAGTAATGCTCACGTGAATTCGCGCGTGATACATCATACCTTATTAACATACCGGCCACAGTTGTTCAATAGCTGGATAGCACCATTCAATATATATATAATTTATATATCTATCACTATCCAGCGGATAATCATCACGGAAACCAATTGCGCTATTTAATGGATAGAGATCTATCCAGTGGATAGCCGGAGTGGACCGAGCGTAATATCCATCTTTTGAACAACTGGGACCACTGGGGCAATAACATATACAAGGTATAAAATAATGTATGTGATTATGATGAATGGTGAATCATCATTATCCTTATCACCCAGTCATTATCTCGTTATCGTTATCATTATAAGAATTATTTTTATGAGTATTATTACTACTACTATTACTACTACTACTACTACTACTACTACTACTACTACTACTACTACTACTACTACTACTACTACTACTACTACTACTACTACTACTACTACTACTACTACTACTACTACTACTACTACTACTACTACTACTACTACTACTACTACTACTACTACTACTACTACTACTACTACTACTACTACTACTACTACTACTACTGCTACTACTGCTGCTGCTGCTGCTACTACTGCTACTACTACTACTACTGCTACTACTACTACTACTACTACTACTACTACTACTACTACTACTACTTGTTATCTTGTTATCTTGTATCTAAAATGCATGGATTATATCATCAAATTACGTGCACAGAGTTCGCAAAGAATAAGTAACCAACTTTCTATTTCTCTTTGAGCAATGGATGTTTTTCTTTGTTTGCTTGTTTGTTCTATTTTTTGGTGGTTCTCGTTTTAGATGCACTCATAATTAAACGTTGAATTTGTCCGGTAAACTAACCTTCTTTGTGCAGGCTGATGGACAGTACCCTCTGATTTTCCACTCTTTCTGTTTTGGTGGTATCATCATAAAATATGAGACATCCCAGCCGCTGAATATTACGGCTGAATCATACATCCGAGTTTGCTCCGTGTACCAGAAACGAAGTCCTGAACTATCCACGAAGTCTAAAGTTTAGAAGAAACAAAAATTTAAAAAAAGACAGGCACTTGCTGTCTGTCTAAGAGAAGGACCCGTTGAAAGTAGAACAAAATGACTGTATGAAGAATATCCGCGGGGCAACAAAACTATAGCTGTCCTCTTTAGGGAAGTGCAAGTGACAGTTGAGTGAAATCGCTTTTTTCCTACTTTTTAACGAATGAATTGCTTAGGCATTGATGTCTGTAAAACGCTAAAAGGCAAGCTTAATGAATTACCAGTCATCTGCTATCAAGGGTATTATTATCATCGTTTCACCGCCAATACACGATTTTCTATTGGACCGGATTGATTTAATACTACTAGTGAATCGGCTCAAGTACAACTACTCTTATTGTACTCTGCCCAGGCTCCGAAATTTTTGCAATCGTTTTTATGGTTAAAGAGGCTCTCACCAGTTCTTTGCAGAGGGTTATCGTAATGTGTTTCCATGACAACATATCTTGGTGTATCATCTGTGCCGATTTTCAACCCCACGTGGTCAGGGTAGTAGAAACTCTGTAAAACCAAAGTTGAGGATTACATTTTAGTGATTTAAGGATACCTTGGTGTCTTCCTATCACGAATCGAATACTAATAATTCTGAGTCCATTTTCTCATGGCTGTAGAGTGCCAGTGAGTTAGTGTTTACTCGTGTGTGACGAAATAAAATTAGCGTGCAAAGCTTCAAATCTATCTGTATAATTAAATGGTTAGTAACTACCGTAATATCTATGGCAATATAGTAATATCGACTCGCCTCTGTGATGGTGGTGGTGATGATAATGATGATGATGATGATAATAATGGTAGGGGTGGGGATGATGATGTTTTTTTGGGGGGGTATACCATTCTTACCCCTCCTCCTATGGCCCAAGCAGCCACAGTTGACTGACCAGCACACCTCATGATCGCCCGTGGGGTTGATCTGCCATAGCAGTGTCCAGAGTGATTTAGAAAGGCTGTAGGGAAGTCATAGGAACATTCGTAGACCAAAATATGGTGAACTAGTCCTTCATGACCTTTCTGAACAACAGGCTCTACCTGGAAAAATAATTTACCAAGTAAATTATTAAAAGTAAATTAACAATACACCCTTGTGTTTTTCGACTACTTTAAAAATATAGCCCTTTACCGCATTTCTGTAAAACAGAGACACGTTTGAAGTTTTCCTAACCAGAGCGCAGCCGGCCACGTTTCGTTGCGTTTGGTCACTGGAGTGGAATGAGGAAAAGGTAAAACGCATTTACTCCAATAGAATGTTATAAAAACACGAAATGTAGTTCTAACTTGATTGTCTATAGACCTCATCTTAAGAAATGACCATTTTAACCAGATGAAACTGTCAAGCCTTGTTAACAATATCCGCATTTAGTATCTATTACTATCACTTTGTCGGGTATGGTGGCCCATTTTGCGGGCTAAAAGCCCACTGAGATAAACCAGTGAAAAGTGAGAATCAAGGCAATCCTACGATGTAAGCAGCCAATCAAAATTGAGAAACCAGTGCAATGTTCGCGCCAATTTCTCATGTTTACTTGGGGCGTAAAGTTTTTCTTTCGTTGTTGTCTGAATTTTCTAGATTTTCGACCTTTAGGACTAGACAAGGGAAACGGTTAAGGAATTTTAATGAACATTTTTTCACAGGATCACCATAAACACTGTACGAAAAAAACTGGATTTTAGAATAACTGAGCGATTTCTCGCACGCTGCAGTGATGGTGGCGCAATTGGTTTTTTCTTTCTTGCTCACGCGATTTTTTCGAGAAACGTCAACGGAAATGGACGTCAAAAACTGTTAAAGTTCTTGTAAAAACAAATCGACAACAATTTTCCATGGTCTGTACTCTTTATCGACCACAGAAATGACGTCAAAACGCTCCACACGTTGCAATGAAACCACTCGCCTGCGACTCGTGGTTCCACTTTAGTTTTGAACAATTTGACTTCATTTCTATGGTCGATAAGAAAACAGACCATAGAAATTGCTGATTTGTTGATTTGCACAAATTTTCTCATGGTAAATACGTTTCAAAAATGCAAAAACTGAGGAGTAAATCTGGGACAAATATGGTAAATGCGAATTTGCCCCAGATTTACTCTCCAGTTTTTGAATTGTTGCTACGTATTGCTAAGAGCATTTGTGCAAGTTCATTTTCTTTGTCCGGTGCAAGTTAACAGGAGTCAAATTTGTTTGCACATGAAACTTGTTATCACGCCACTAAATAAGGAATACGAGATCGAGAAGATAAAGACAAATACCTTGATTACATGATGTGCTTTTTCCATCCTGGGGATTTCAAAAACGTTGCACCAGTACACTGTTTTGTTTCCTGGAACTTTGGTCTAATGATAAAAGAGAACCTTTTAGTGTTTTGACAACTATAAATAGTTATTCGCTTAAAAGGCACCATTTCAATTTATTCTTTACTCTCTCTACTCTTTAAGCCCCAATATATCCATTTATAAATTCTGATCTTCATACATTTCTTTAAAGAATAAGTTGAGAGAGCTTGATAACAGAACAATGCATTTTCCCTTTAGTGATCATTTTATTAACTCTCAGAACCATTTCTCTTGGCAACATATGGATATTGTTAGGAGAAAATTAGTGTTGGTCACTATTGGGACTTACTTAGGGTTAAGCTGAAAGCGGGTCTAAGACAACCTTGTTCCCAGGGGCTTCTCGGCTGCCTTATTAGACAACGAGACTACTGTGGGGACGAGGCTGAGTCCACTACGACGGGCGGAATACTACATGAAACTATCGTTTTCTGCCTTTGGGGTATAGCTGTGCACTGCTTTGCAATAATAAACAAGACTGATTTTAAAAGTTATAAAAGCGGTTATTTAATCTACACGACTCATACTTTATGAATAAACAAGAGTGAATACAGAAAAGAGTATCTTTTATATATCCGATATGCTGTAATTCTTGCATGGTTCTGTCCATGTTTTAGAGGTTGATTTTGGCCTCCCCTTTATTTTCTCTGCGAGACATCAACTTGACACTTGGACTCCTGCCCCCAGAAGACACGTAGTATGGCGTGATTCTGTGGTTGTTGAGAGTTCTAGGTCAGGGCTTAAATCAGAATGCGCGGATATTTTTCATCATAGCTTTCTCTGGTTGTTGCGCCATACTGACGAGCCCCAAAAAGGGCGAAACAGCTTCCTATGACTACAATTCCGCTCTGTTTTGAGTTCTTTCGGTGTCGTGTTGATGTCTTTCAGAGTTAATTTTCACTTAGTACGATCAGCATTACAGTATTCTGCTTGCAGAATTTGATATGTCTACAGAAAAGAGTACTATTAGCTCTTACCTCATTGTTGAGTATATCAAGGTATTTTATGTTTGGAGGTAGTTTAGGTGTTTTGCCTCCAGTGTTCAGTAACATCACGCTTCGGGACCCTTTATACGTATGCTTTAGAAAAGCACCTGATGACGTCGGGTCTGCGTCATTATAAGCAAAAATGACCTTGGATGTTCCCTCCTAAAGAGTAAAAAGGCAAGTTTAGCATTTTTTCAAACAGTTTGAGAAATTGACAGAGGTCCTCTTCACGTTGGATCCTTGTGGTTGATGCTAAGAAGCCGTACCTCAATTTTGTTGTCCTTGTCGTCGCAGGTATCAAATTTGCGTTCAAACTTCATGGTTGTTTTGCCGCCAGTTTCTGTCAGGGAAATAAGCTTGTAATCCTGGGACGAGTCTAATTCCGGAGTACTGTAAGAAGACGCAAATCGGTCCTATTGAAAAAAAGAAAAGAAAAGAAAAAGAAAGAAAAACATACAATGTTGGAGTTTTCGATCTACGGATAGCTGGCCAATGCTTAGAGCAAGTATCCAAAATTAAATACTTAGGTAACGATATATGACATCCACCTATCCTGGCATGACCATATCGACTATGTTTGTGATAATGTCAGTAAGAGTATTAATATTATGACAAAGATAAACAGTTATCTAGGAAATCAATGTTTAACTAGTATTTACTATTCTCTTGATTACCCATATCTCATATATGGTTGCTTATTGTGGGGAAATAATTATGATAATCCATTATCACAGCTCATACTTCTACAAAATAAAGCAGTTAGAATAATCAATGACGTTCCTTTACAAGATCATATCACTCCTCATTATGTTCCTCTAGGTTTATTAAAATTTCGTGATATTGTTAAAATTTACAATTGTTTGTTTTTATATGATTATGTCTCTGATAATAAGCCATGTAATTTTCCATTATTTCTTGTATATGAGCAACATAGTTATTTTACACGAAGTGCATCTGCTCAGCAATTACACATTCCCCATTCAATAATTAATATTCGAAAGTTTTGCCCTGCCGTTATTGGAAAATACTATTGGAACGATCTCCCCCTTTCTATTCGCAATAAATCATCGAAATTCCTGTTCAAAAAGGACCTTAAAAAATATTATCTTGCTCAATATTGACTTGTGTGCGTGCGTGCGTGCGTGCGTGCGTGCGTGCGTGTTTGTGTTTTAATGAACAACAAAGCTACATTAGAATAAAGTCAATCCCGTTTAAGGGCCATAATTAGTTTTCTATTATGTGCCCTTCTCCATTCTAACTTTCCTTTTTTTTATTATGTACACGTAGTTTAATCAACCTTGTACTAATTGATATTGTACAACTAAGATATTATCAATAGGATGGAGTAAAAATAAAATAGAAATACAAATATTTAGTTACACACGATATCTCTATTGACTCATCTTGAATCACTCCACTCATTTATTAGGGGTTCATTCATGAATTCTGTATCAGGTTTAAATACGGTTTCATCCCTTCTGTGTGTTCTCGATCATTGGTCGCTTGTTGCGTCGTGTTTGTGGTAACGATACCTCTTCTTTACCTGACTGAACACCAAGCTCACGTGTGCGAGTCGCTATTGCATAACACTTTCCGGGAAATGATATATTGATACTGAATAATCGTAATGGCAGGTCTGAAACTGACCAAAAATCACCTTGAAACGGCCCCAAATACCAATAATGTATAACATACATATAACGAGGAAACAAGTAGTCTAAAATGTCAGCTGTCTCTACCCTCTAACCCGTGGAGACAATGTCAGCAGTTCTGATGTATTCTTCAGTTACTCTTTCGTAGTTGTAAAGAGCGATCGCTAAAATTCTCATAAACTTATAATTTGTCGTCCAATAAGGATTTTCACTTGTGAACTTGGGCTACCTGTGGTGAACCACAAAGGTACCAAGAGATAAGCCCGAAGCTTGCGTCTGTACAGGAACCCCCAAGGGATCCTACGTTGTTGAGGTCTTAGGAGCTTGTATTTCTGGCAAGGAATAAGTGAAAAGCGGGCTCGCAAGTCCTATATATCCTACCGTAAAATATTGATTTCCATCATCTGTAACTCCTCCAATTACGATGTCCGCTCCTATCATTTGCCCTCGGCCGCTTGAAATCCCAAAGCCAACCCATCCAGTGGTTTGTGCTTCCACTGCAAAGGAAATTGATCTAGCCTTCCAGTCCACACTCCAGTACAATGTTACTTTCTGAACTTCGTCCAAGGCGGCTGAGTTCGTAAACTCTGAGGAAAGATCTTTCTTTGCATTAGCCGCGTGGAAAGATTCTAAAGAAGCGTAAAGCAGGATAACAAAGTAGAACTTCATGTTGATGACTGTTATCGTTGAGATGTGGTTCTGAAAGTGTATCTATTAGAGTGAATCTACACGCCTTTTGAGAGTTATCAATTCAATGAACGCTTTTTATTCTTATTTACGATGCAATTTATAATTCATTCATAACATTTTGCTATTTTCAGTAACCTCAATTGTTCAGAAACGAAATCAGTAAAATATCACTTTAGTGAGATTCGATATTATACCAAGTGTATTTCGCAGAGTCAGAATCTTTTGCTCTTAATTAATATCCAAATATTGTCTTTCAGATCCTTTAACATCTAAAACGGTAAACTGAGAAAAAAGAAAGAAAGAAGAACGTAATAACAGAACGAAGAAATACTCAAAACATCGACACACGACTATTTCCTGACAAGAATCAACAACTAAATTTAAGGGAAAAAATTAGAAGTTGAGCCTGAACATGAAAAATCTGCTCTAATCAAGTCAGAGTGAAGGGTGCGTGGGTCCGTTGCAATTTCCTTAGTTACTGGTCCAATCTTGCGTAGGTATCGGACGCCAAACCATTTGTAAAAAAGCAAAAATTTATAACGTTATTTTCTTCATTTGAACGGAAGGCCGATTCGTGTAAAAATATCTGCAGTTTCAAAAGATTAGGATTCACGCGGACTGGGCCTCATTTATCATCAATTTAGTTATGAATTTTTGCTGTAACATCAGCAATATGTTGATTCACGCTCAATTTGTTAACAGGATCTTGAAGACGGGGCCTGGATCACGAATCACGTGATTAGGTGACGAACTTATCAAGCCCATCAACGATTCTTAGCGGTTTCTGGACTACTATAGGCAAGAGTCTGTCTTACTGCGCTTTTCACAAACATGCGAATTCTGAAGTTCAAAAGCCAACGGCTTTTGAACGTTTTTCGCTGCCGTCAATAATCTTAACGGACCTCTTAAGAAACAAAACTTTACTTGAACGGGTTCAAAAGGTAACTTGTGATTGGTGGATTTCGATCCGTTTTGTGTCTTTCTGTGTTTCAAGGTTCGTTGCTTGAGATTGTAATTAGGATTGACGGCAGCGAAAAACGCAATTGTGAAGGCGGCTTTTGAACTTTAGAATCCGCATGTTTGGGAAAAGCGCAGTGAATGACCCAGTGATGGGAAGGAAACAAAAAGTATGGTGCGGATCAAACTGACGTTTCTCTGCTTTTGGTTTGACGACTACAAAGTTGACTGGCAATGAATTTTACTGCTATAAAATCGAAGCTCTACAATTTTTCACTTTAACATGAACCCTCGTCACGACACTTACATCTGTTTTATTGGTAGAAATCTCGATTCACGGACTTCTATGTTAGAGGATCACGCGTCACAGTGAATATATAATTCACGAATAACGACTTTATTTGATGAGTTTTCCTGATTCACACTCTGCTGTCTGCCCCTGTTTACCGGTCAGTCCACGGATCACGCGAAACCCCTTCCAGATCCTGTGTTAATAACCAAAACAACACAAACAGTCTAGCGACTCTGACGCTTACACCTTTATTTAAGCAACAGTGATCATACAAATATGGCATACTCTTTCATCTTGACAACTGATACAAAGAGATACGGGAGATATGACAAAAGAAAATAAAACCAATCGCCAGTAGCGCATGCATCGCCTAAGGAATTTACCTTATTACATGAAATTTTCGCGACATGTCTATTTCGCGATTTTGTTGTGCGCATATTTCGCGAGACTTAAAGAAATTTCGCCTTTTTGAGTACAACGGTTTACATTTCAAAGGCAATGTTATTTACCATCATGTAACATGTCTTTGAATTAAATAAAACGTCTTTATCGAAGGAACAATAACGTCAAAATTAAGAAAAACCAAGCAGTTCTCACAAAGTACACATGCAGTTCATACTTGTACGTGAATTATTGTTCTTGAGTCAATTGACCACAACATCCATTTACACTGAAAATTCATCAGAATAGTAAAAAAAGTGATTTGTAAACGATTCAGTGGTAATAGACTCGTTCTTTCTTGATTATGGATGACGGACAAAATATAATGTCAGTCGATTAATTTTCGCGTCACTTTAATTTCGCCAGTTTTTTTGTATCGCGAAATTAAATTTCATGTAATGAGGTAGTTTCGGTGCTTTAGAAGCCTTCTCAAATTACTTTATCCGTTAAGGAAATGGGCATACTACAAAGTATTTTCACAATTACAAGCCGGAGCTCTGATGGCTTGCCGAGCAGGCGTAGTTTATTGGGTGAGCGATGGGTAGTAATCAATTTACATTCGCGTCAAAGCTATCGTATGGCTAATGCTAAAAAAAGTTTGCATAAGGCGGAGTGAGCTGATAGAGAAAATCTGCCAGCGCCGCTGAAGGAGGGAGGAGGGTGGTAAAAATTGTTTGAACCTTTGTTGAGTAGACTTGTAAAAAGAAAGCGAATTTGTTTGCAAGGACGTATAAAAGACCTAGGGAGATTCCCTGGGGACATCTATACCCCATAGAGTGACTTAGGGCTTGTTTACATGGAGTGGGGAACCCCGGTCTAGTGGGGTTGGTTTCTTTTGTTTTCACACTCTGGGGAACACAAAACAAAAGAAACCTACCCCACTAGACCGGGGTCCCCCACTCCATGTAAACAGGGTCTTATACGGGAGCAAATCCAGTTGATTAATCGTCACTCGATGGCTTTTACGCGAAAGATAAGAGCTGGAGCGAGCCACTTTAAACGATTTCAAAGGGAGTCACGAGGGTTTACTTTCAAAATGGTGGTCTCGCGCGATCAAAGTGTTTGTGGAAAAAGGGTTATAAAAAGGGCAAGCTCACCAAGACAAGTTTTAAAAAAGATATCTGCAAAGTGTAAATAAGTTGTACATGAGCTGCTCAAAACACTATACGCATGATTATGGCCAAAGCGACCGCCACAAACAGGTACCCAGTCCTTCCAGTCCTCAGGGTGACGTCATTAGCACTGTTCTTCGTGATCGAACAAGACTCTACCGGTTTATACGGAGATGTTATTCTCGGCTTCCTTGCCTTGTCAACACCCTGCAGACACAAAACAACAAATAAGAGGTTGTTTACGCATTTATTACCCCTTTACTACAATAAACAAAAATCAGAATCAATTACAAGAAACCGCAGTCTACTTCAAGTAGCAGGCATGTGGAAGTGTATCGCTTTTTAGGTACATCCTTGCCCTTCCATTTCTTTTGCCACACCCTCGCCTCTGTACTTCACAGGACATTTATTTTCCTAAATGCCAATTCAAATGGAAGACGCTCGACGACGAATCTTTATCTTTCTTTTAAAATTTCAATGGTGTCATCCTAATCTGAGTTCCGGAAACTATGACTACATTTCACTTTGTACTTGGCGAGTTTAAAAGATAGCGAGTTTTCTTTTCTATCACTGCGTCGGTGAAACGTTCAACAAAAAGTTTGAAATGGTTCGTGAAGGCAAAATTGTTCCTTTGGAAAGGAATAGGCGAGGGACCTTACGCGCCCAACATCCCGGAAATAAAAGAGCTTGTTACGCCGCAGACCGGCTTTATTGAACTTCGCACCTACCTGTATACCGCGGTTACCAGCGGCTGTGCATCTCAGTTTAAGTTCAAGATCCGCGTCATAAGCTGCTCGCAGATCTTGTGTCATTTCACTGGTCCATATATTTGGCGGGAAAGGGATCTGATGTGTTCCATTCCTGTAGTGCAGAGAGAGCAATATAAATGCAACTACCGATCGCCCTATGTAAGAGCATATGGATTCCGGAATGCGGGAAACTTTTGCCTTTGGAATCCCGAATAGATCGCTAGGGTTCAGGGAATCCGGAATCCCACTAACGATTGGAGTTCCACTAACAAAAAATCCGGAATCCCGTAAATGGAATCGGGAATTCACTTTGTGGAACCCTAATCCGAGACAGTCTTGGATTTCCTTACATGGAGCAGTACCTAACTAAACATTTAATCGATAAAACCTCTACATCGGCTAGTATATCGGATTTGTTATATGGCTGGAATTATTCCAAACAGTTCAAGAGCACATTAGTTACTTCGAGATCACATGACATCTAGCAATAAAATGTTTCCGGCCAAACGTCTATGAGCGATCAACATTACAACATCTCACGCTGCACCCTAATGTTTAATGCTGGCTGAAATTTACTTTGATAAAATTATACACGTAGAAGTTTTCTTCTTGGGTTATGTAACAAAAAAGTCACTTAATGACTTATTACCTCGGGAAACTAGAGCTACAGTTACGAGATTGTAGATTCTTACCAAGCGTATTTCAAAAAGAATCTATTTGCAGCATCCTTAGAAACGCTGGCACATTGGGTAAAATCAGCGCTGGGGTAGTACATTAGAAAAGCCAGACACATCTCGTCCAACGTCTGAAGACCGCCCTAATGAATAATTCGTGAGAACTAATTAAAAATTATTTATATCAAACACGTTTGCTGGCCAATAGAAGAAAACCAGTTTGCTTTTGAGAAAAAGTTGCTTCTTTGTTCGTCATTCTCGATTAAAAGGTTGTATTTTTAAGGTTTTTTAAAAATTGGGTGCATCGGAACATCTTTGATAGAGTTGATTTAGCTTTAATGAACTCTATTGGTAAATGGCGACTAACGGTTTAACCAGCACCATAAAGGACATTTGATATGTCTATGTTTTTTTTCTCTGAGTATGACTAGGAGTGTAATCAATTAAATATAAGCGATCGAGTTGTTTTAATTGCGAGTCGATGTCGTATCTGGATTGTGACTGTCCATAACAGGACTATTCGCAAATTTTAGGGGGTCCTTATAACTTTTAAGCTTTAACACCTAATTGTAACAACGTTTTTATAGAAAGTAAAAAAAGAGAACTGAAAAACGCTAAATAGGAATAAATTAGGCATGCTCACTGCATTCAGGGATCTGGTCTGTTGGGAGACTGAAGCAGACAAATTAACATCTTTGCAGTGGCCAATCCACCTGCTTTCAACTCAATTGATAACAGTAAGTGTTATACCGCCGGTACTGCTAAAGCTTTTTCAGAATTATCAAAATATCGAAACGTTATTTACATTTCTATTTGACTTTTTCATTCTTTTTTTTTCTTTTTGCTTTTTTGTATGAAAAAAAAAATACAGGACAATGAGCTCCCTATATACTTCTGGTTTTCACTTACAAAAGTCACTTGATTCCTGTCCTCAGTGTCGTACGTACAGGCAACAATGAATTCATCTCCCTGAGAATAAAATGTTACTTTTAGAATTGATTTCTATATTCTTTCCCTTATCATTAGGGTTTGGGCAACTTCGATAACTTCGCCGGAGAAAATCAGCTGAGGTGAAATTCAGCTGTACTTAGGAGGTTCAAAGATATCCTCTTCAGAATATTCTTTTCTTCGTGGTCTGTTTTAAAGGATTCCAGCTGCCATTTTTTTCTACTAAGATGAAATATATAAATAGTAATTGTGACTTACCGGAAAAACCTCAACCTCCTCCTTTAGCATTTGATATTCCTAGAATTGAAAAAAAAAAAAAAAAAAAGAAAAAGAGACCAGGGGATCAATGCCATAAAACTATCGGGACAGCCCTGGAGCGTCTTCTAGCTGCACCCTACCCTCTCTCCCCTCCCCTTCCCCCACCTCCTCTCTTGACGGTAAAGCTTCTTAGGGGAGGGTGCCAAGTCTTCATTTCATTAAAATCACAACTCGATCCAGTTCAATCCAGGTTAATTCACGCTCATTAGGAAAAATAAAGGGGTGAAAATTTAATATGGTACGCTTTTCACAGCTGCTAGAGAATACGTACTTGGAAATTGAAGTCGTAATGGTTATCGTAAACAATTTCTTTGAGCTCTTTTCCATTCCTAAGATGGTGGACATGTACTTTTCTACCTATAACAGAGATACATTACAGGCGTGGTGAGTAGTCAGACACAATGGAAGTATAAGTCAATATTCATTCATTTTAGTCCTGTCTAAGAAGATACTTGGAATGAGAATATAAAATGATCGGCAACGTTACCTCAGTTGCTGAAGAATTAAATAGTAGGTATTCTAAGTTTCTCGGTCCCCTCTGTCTGCAAATGTGATTTTAACTAAGAGAGAATGATCTCTCTTGTCTCAGTCCAATACAACTTTCTCATTCCTGAATGTCCGACAATGTTTTAGAAGAGGTTGTTTTAAAAGAAAAAAAAAATAAGGGACGTAAAAAGATACTTTTCTTCCAAACTTTACGTTACCTGCATAATGAGTGTGAAGCAAAGCCGCAAAAATTTTAATTTTATGTCCTTGAAGTGGAGATTTTTCCAAAGCCTAAAACATCGAATATCACGTTGTTAGCTAGTCGAAATGTAAATTAAATGCAAACTAGAATAACGATTTTCAATTATGATTCGCGTGAATAGTTTTTCAGCATTCATCTCATTATCGTGATACGGCTATATCGTAAAATAGGGCAATATCTTGTACAAAGGAAGACAATGATACAACAACGATGTTGGTGGTGATGATCACGATCATGACGATGATGATGATGATGACGACCAACATGATAAATGTTGAATTATAATTATCATCATCATAATTATAACTATAACAAATTCTCAAATCTGATTCGCTATTAGCTTTTCTGATTTCAGCATTAGTAGAACAGAGCCAAAGCGCTCGCCCACTTGAAAGATTATTTTTTCTTTTCTAGCAAAAACCTCGCGTAGTTTAGTTATTTGTGGTTAATGTCTCCTCCAGCATTCGCTGATTTGGGCAGTCCTCGTTTTGGACACACTCATAATAATAATTTTTAAAAAAAGCTGAACGGTAACCTAGTTACTAACCTTCTCTGTGCATGGCGCTGCACAGTATCCAGTGGTTTTCCACTCTTTCTGTTTTGGTGGTATCATCATATGATGTTGTACTCCCCAGCCAGCGTATATTACCCCAGTATCATACATCCGAGTTTGCTCCGTGTACCAGAAACGAAGTCCTGAACTGTCCACGAAGTCTGAGATTTAAAGGACAAGGCATTACCACAGGCATTATATATTGGAAACTGAAGTCAATATCATGGCTACGGTTTCGTAAGTAAGTTAATAAGTAAGTATAAGTAACATAAGTAGGTTGAGTATGATCATCCTGGTGAAAACCTTTCACAGTTTTAAGTATAAGTAAGTAAGTAGGTAAGTAATTAGGTCAGTGAGTAAGTAAGTAAAAGGTCAATTTATTCCGTTTATTGCTTTCTAGACAAAGGAAATTTTGAAAAAAAGGATATCTGTGGTCATTGGCGTGCCATATGACATGAAGCATGACCTTTTGGTATGTTTATTTTTTTAGAGTAGAAGTGAAAACTGTCAACGTTTTCCAAGGTGGTACGTACAGTCACTAAAGATTTGTCTAAGAGAGGCGTGATCCTTACACAAAGTAGAAGAAAATGGCTGCGAGGGGAAAGGCCGGCAGGGGATCTGAGGTGCCTGTTTCAATTAGCTGTTATCGCTTTTTACAAACATTTCAACGAGTGAATTAAGCATTTATAAAAGTGAAGCACTATCCGAAAAAATATGACAATGAATTTCTTCCATCTGCTATCAAGTTCCACGGCCTGAATACATGATTCTCCATTGGACCTAGTTTTAAAATACTTTATATAAGTAATAAGCTAAGGTGTAGCTGTTGTTACTTTACTCTTTCCATGGTCCGAATTAAAGGTGCTCTCACCAGTTCTTTTATCAGGGTTGTCATAATGTGTTTCCATGACAATATATCTTGGTGTATCATCAGTACCAATTTTCATCCCCACGTGTTCAGGGTAGTAAAAACTCTGTAAAAGTTAAATTTGAGGAATAAATTTTGGTTGTTTAAGGATGTCTTGGTGTCGTCCACTTACTAAGAAGTATGAAGGTTTTAATGGTGTAGACAGTGCCCGGATTTTCCTTTTTTCCTCATTTGTTGTGTCGAGATAAAGTTGCTGGCTACAAACTTTAAAACCTTGCCGGATATGGACAAACAAACTTCAAGCTGTTTAAGGCAAAGATGGTGATAAACATGATGATGATGATGATGATGATGATGATAGTGACGATGAAGAAGACGAAAACAATGGCGATGATTATGATGATAATGATGATGATGGCGGTGGTGATGATAGTGATGATGATGATAACGAAGATGATGATTATGTTAATAATGGAGATGGTGAATATGACGTTTTTGATGGTAAACACTGCTTACCCCTCCTCCTATGGCCCAAGCAGCCACAGTTGACTGTCCAGCACACCTCATGATCGCCTGTGGGGTTGATCTGTCATAGCAGTGTCCAGAGTGATTTAGAAAGGCTGTAGGGAAGTCATACGAACATTCGTACACCAAGATATGGTGAACCAGTCCTTCATGACCTTTCTGAACAATAGGCTCCACCTAAATAAATATTACCAAGTTAAGGGAGGGGAATTCTATTGTGTTGCTAAATCACCTAATTTTAAGAATGCCTTTTACTGTACTCCTTCACTTTTTGAACAACGGCACCAACTGCAGGCTTGAGTTAAATAATAAAGTGATTGTATGGAATTGTCCACGCTTGCACCAGAGATTTTTCTCGGGCGCGGCGACATGCTTTAGTGTCGGCCAACAGATCTTCAGCACGCGAAAGCCGAAGCCATAAACTTGACTGAAACTGGAAACCGCGCATGAAAAGTCTCTGGCACCCAAGGTAACCCAAGCCTCGTGTTCACTGGCATTGAATACGGAAAAGATTTATCATACAAGTGTAACCACGCAGTCCGAGTAACGGTCATATGAATATGACATGTAGCGCTAACTTTATTTTCCGTCATAAACTATTTCTCACTGACCATTTTAACTAGCTGAAAACCTTTTCGCATTATTGGCAATATTCGTATAATCTAATGTTTGGGCAAGTTTCGGCGTTTTGGGTGGAAAAGAAAGAAGAATTAGGAAATTTAAGTAACATTTTTGCGCATGATGGATGGCCCTACCATCTCCTGCTGGTTTCACGTAACACTAGTATGATAATGATGTAATTATAACTCCGAGTAAGTGATTGAGACTGAATTACACAACAGATGCAAATACCTTGACAACATGATGCTTTTTTTCCATCCTGGGGATTTCAAACACGTTGCACCAGTACACTGTTTTGTTCCCTGGAACTTTGGTCTGATTAGAACAAATGTTTTGTTGTTTGTATACAACCATATAAAGCCTATCCGCACATAGTTAGACACCACTTCAGTTTATTACTCTGTTGGGTGCGAATGTCATTAGCTTATATTACAAAAGTTATTTGCAGAGCGCAAAGTGGGACTCTACAGTCCAGGACGCTTCAAGTTATGTCTGTTTAATTGATTTGCATTCAAAAATATACCTGATGTAATAAAAAGTGGTCATTGCAGTTTTTTCTTAAAAATGAACTCAAGAAAATCAGGATTATGTATGCAGGCACGGTTGGCAGAAAGGACATCTTTGCACTTGCCGTTGTGCGATTGTTATCATGAAGAGCTCACACACGCAATTTACTTTCAATCTGAAACGTACTAACAAAGCCAGTTAGCACTGTCACATTGTGATCTCTACTGGCTGTCACTTTATGACAGAACAACAAATAAAATAAAACATGAATACATAAAAGAACAGTTTTACCTTATTATTAAGTATATCAAGGTAACTCATGTTTGCAGGTAGTTTAGGTGCTTTGCCTCCAGTGTTCAGTAACATCACGCTTCGGGACCCTTTATACGTATGCTTTAGAAAAGCACCTGATGACGTCGGGTCTGCGTCATTATAAGCAAAAATGACCTTGGATGTTCCCTCCTAAAGAGTAAAGAGCCAAGTTTAGCATTTTCTCAAACAGTTGAGAAACGGAGGTCCTCTTCACGATGGATTCTTGAGGTTAACGCTAAGAACCCATACCTCAATTTTGTTGTCTTTGTCGTCGCAGGTATCAAATTTCCGTTCAAATTTCATGGTTGTTTTACCGTCTGTTTCTGTCAAGGAAATAAGCTTATAATCCTGGGATGAGTCTGATTCCGGAGTGCTGTAAGAAGACGCATATCGATCCTATTGACGAACAACAAAGGAAATTACGGAGCATCAGGATAAGTTAGTCCTGGGAAGAACCCCTTAAAATAGCTTATATACGGGGAGGTTCCGTTCGAAAGAACGCAGTATTTCAGGCTTGAGGTATGTGAAAGGGTATGGACTTTACTAGCTGAAGCCAGGAGCTGAAGTATATGAAAAAGTATGGAAATCTGTCATTGTGGTCTTTGAAAAGACCTTAAAGGGCAAACAGGTGCATTTTATAGCTGTGAAAGACAGGAAAACTGCCTGCGTTAGTGATTTAATTCAGATTCACAAGAAAGTGTATTCACAGCAGTTAAAAGGGCTTACATTGTAAAAGGGGCATTTGTCAATAAAAGGCATGCGAAAGGGGTTTGAGCACCCCCCGGGCCTCAGTATCGAGGTTTCACTTCACCCCTTCGCGTTTTCCATCACGGAACGCGATCTTTTTTTTAAATATCTAATTTGGTCTTGCCTGCGAGCAAGCTCTCCGGGACGCTCTGAAAGAAGGGCTGGAAAAGGAAGGAGAGCTTGCAACTACGTCTTTAGAATTTGAATATTTGCATCGAAAAGTCGATGCAAGATGCTGATTGGCGGAGATGACATTAGTAATGACGTCATTACCCTTTGCACGTTGTTTTCAATGTTTGTTTACATTCGCGCTCGTTTCTACTTCGGGCTGATTAGCTGAAATCTGACAGCTCTGTCGACGAGGAGTCACAGGGGAATTGGAGTTCAAATTCCAGAGGCGTAGTGTGTGAGCTCTCCTTCCTTTTCTTCAGGGTTTAAAACCGAGGGCGGCACAAACCTCTCCTGGGAGCTTGCCCGCAGGCTAAATTTGGTCACGCTCGTTCAACACAAATCTGATGAGAATCATTGTTGCATAACAATACTTGGAGAAATGAGAAACCAACTGCACTTCACACACCCAAAATGCCGATAGGACACGTTAAATAAAACAGGGGGAAAGGTTAGGAATTCTGCTGTATTCTTCAGTTACTACTTTGGACTAATAAATAGCGATCGCCGCTAAAATTTCAATGCTATCACATGTAATTAGTTTGTTACGCAATGACAGTTCCACGAAACAGCCGTGAAAAAACCAAGGGAAACAAATATATATATAAAATTTGGGAAAATTCCAAAGCTTGCTTGGAGATGCCTCTAATGATTGACAGACTCTTAGGAGCATCCTTTTTTACCCAAAATAAGTGAGAAACGGGCTCGTAAGTCCTCAATATCCTACCGAAAAATATTGATTTCCATTATCTGTAACTCCTCCGATTACGATGTCCGCTCCAATCATTTGCCCTCGGCCGGTTGAAATCCCAAAACCAACCCATCCAGTAGTTTGTGCTTCCACTGCGAAAGAAATTGATCTTGCATTCCAGTCCACACTCCAGTACAATGTTAGTTTCTCAGCTTCGTCCAAAGCCGCTGAGTTCGTAAACTCTGAGGAAAGATCTCCCTTTGCAATCGCCGCCTGGAAAGATGCCAAAGAAGCATACACTAGGATAGCAAAGTAGAACTTCATGTTTATGACTGTTATAGTTGGGATGTGGTTCTTGAACTTTCCAGATCTGTCAATGTAATGAGCGCTCAGCAGCCCGGGGGGGGCACTTTAGGAATTTCTGGGTGGGGATGTGCCGCTGGGAGCCTGGAACCCTTAACCTTTACCAGAGCTAGTTCAGCTGAATTTTGCTACCCTATACTAGAGTAAACTCCCCAAATCCCCCTATCCTAGAGTAGCTGTGTACCTAGTCTAGATAAAATCTTCAACCAACTGATCAGTTTCCTGAAAAATGATACCCTATACTAGAGTAAACTCCCCATATCCCCCTATCCTAGAGTAGCTGTGTACCTAGTCTAGATAAAATCTTCAACCAACTGATCAGTTTCCTGAAAAATGATACCCTATTCTAGAGCCAAACGCTCTGATTTATATACCCTATCCTAGAGTAAACTGCTTGAAAACCATACCCTTCACAGCGGCACATACCTATATAGCCCATATATGGCAGTACCCCCCCCGGGCTCAGCAGTTATAATCACTCTAGAGTTATAATCAATTCTAGAGATCTATAACACGTAATTGCCAAAAATAGCTCTGTCGTTAAAGAATACCGGTGAGGCTCGACTTGTTTTCTACTCCTTGTCTACTCAAAATTTCATACCTTTTCATTTTAGTGAAGTATTGTGGTGTATTTGTGTGTGCCCTTTTTGTTTTTCTTGACTTTTAAGCCGCGGGGGCGCTCTGTTCTCGATGTGGGAAAACTTGCCAGCTGCTTCGGCGGTGTGCGACAAACGCAGACTGCAGACTTGCAGACCGCAGACCTGCAGACTTGCAGACCTGCAGACCTGCAGACCTGCAGACTTGCAGACTTGCAGACTTGCAGAGACGTTCGGAACTCACGGGGGGGGGGATAATTGCCCCCGCAGGTTCAATCCCGAGGAGGCACTCTAGTAACTCGCGCGTATATTAAGGAAAGTACTTACAGTTGTAATATACAGTCAGTATGGCAGAAAAAAATCTCGATTTGCTTGAACAGGGGCCGCGAGGAATCGGTAGGTAATGATGACGTGATGAAGACAGAAAATTTCGAAGGGACCGGTCAGGTAGATTTTGTGACATTTATTGTGCACTCATACTTCGATACTCTTTTGCGTTACTTGTTATCAGTGACATTCTGTGGAGCAGTTGGTTCAGTGAAAGTTATGGACCAAAAGACACTCGTTAAGCGCAGATGAAGTTATAAGGTGCGTACAACCGTGTGTATAGAAACACTTGGAGATTTTACCAGACACGAGTTCACAAATCTTTGATTGGAAACCTTGCCAGACACTCTTTCTCTCTCTTTGACCGGAATAAGACTCAGCCCGAAACAAGCAAGACGAGTGAACAACGGCTAGCTTATCACTAGCAGAACGATGGACGATTACAGAAATTCGCCGACAATCAAATTCTGTGCTGACTTATTTCCTGCTCACAGATGTCCTTCCGTTTTAAAGCCGCTCGATGATCCCACCCGTCTTCTTCTTCGCTGCTCTCGCTGAAGTTTAGGTCACCGTTCTTCCGATGTTAAGTCTTCCACGGCAAGGATTTCCAGTCACCTGTCGAATCGGGCACTGTTGTGTTTGCAGCCCGTTAGCGCTGTTGTTTGCCTCAGACATACTTTGCGATTCGCCAACAGTAAACAGAGGATGAATAAAATTAGTCCAAAGCCCTGTCACAAAAAAATGTAGGTCTGCAAATCTTCGAGTCTGCAAGTCTGCTAGTCTGCAAGTCTGCAGGTCTGCAGGTCTGCAGGTCTGCAAGTCTGCAGTCTGCGTTTGTCGCACACCGGAAAAGATAATCCTTTATAAGTTTTCTAAAGCTCTGTCCCTTTAATAGGGCATGGATAATAGAAAGACTGGCTATTATCCATGCTTAGCGATTATATTTTCATGCTTGAAGAACGACATACAAGTTGGGTAGCCTGTGCCACAGCCTCTACCCAACAACATTATAACCCAGTCCACTTTCGGTCTAGTTCGCAGTTGTGAAATCATGGAGAGTCTCGAAGAATTAGGAAAGAGCATTGAGGAAAAGAAATTTTGCAAACCAACTTCGTGGCTGGTGTGCAATTCAAATGGATGTTTTCGGCCTGGTTGCGTGTAAGTTTCCTAGGTGACTGCTTACGGATTTCAGTGTTTTGCATTTTCTGCGTGCTCGGAAGCGGACAACTGTAACCTTAAAGCTAAGTTTTGCTAAACGCTGTTTTTCTTAACTTCTTTGTTTTGAATAATGATTCCATCATTTACGTCCAAATTTTGAACAACAAGTACTGGGAATTTTGTACCCTTTACTTGCTGCTCATAAGCTCCTTTTACTTTTGATTCGGTTTTTACAGTGTATTGCATGTTGTAAACATGCTCTGAGCCGGCCTCTGTAGCCTCCAGGCTTTGGAGTTAATTAAATCAGTTGGCTACAAGAAGCTCCGAATCTTTCAATTCACCTTGCAATTTTCACAGTACTCTATTACTATTAGAACAACCAAAGTTATTGTATATTATCTGCATTAAAACATGTGAATCAAGCAAGTCCTACAGAGTATACGTACATGTTGGCCTGGCACTCAATGAATTATTTATCAAATTCCTTTATTAATCCAGAAGAAGGTAATACACAGATCTAAACATTGTGTGATCTTTCTTGACAAAACGCGGCAAATAAGGTTCTGATAACTCCGATCCTTCGTTTGATTTTACAAGTGCACATTCTGTTATTAAACTAAGTTCTAATAGGTACTACGATAAGTTTTTGCACAAAATACAAAAATGACATAATTAATCTAACTTGTAATTCATATTTTTAAGGCCAGGAGGAATGCGGAAAAGATCACTGAATGCACCTCACCCGGTTCCAATCTTTGGGAGAAAAGGCCACTTGTTGGGAGATGAAACATATTCCAGGTTGGTAATTTACAACAAACTTAATGGCATACTCGATTGATTGTATTCTGGAACTAGAATAATGAATATTGAAATTAACTCTAGAAATCACTTGTTTTGGTATTAATTGCATTGCAATATCTAGAAATCTGCTTGAAAGAAAATATTCTGATGAATGTAGTGTTCCAGTGGTCCTAAGAACACAGTAGAAGAGATTTGTCAAAGAACTTTTCCTTATTCTTATTCCAGAATACGATATACACTGTATTGAAGGTGTCCTTAATAAGCACGGGTTCAGATCAAGATCTTGAGCATACAATAATATTGTTTGTTCTAAATATACGTACATGTACATGTGACCGGCCAGTTTACACAAGCAATCCTATCCTGTGATAAGTTTCAATTCCAAGATTCATCTAGGTATCTGCATGGTTACTTTCCTTTTTCTTCTCTTTCTGGAAATCTCATTGTACAGATTCGTACATGGTTTTTCATAAAATAAATATGTGCACAAATTTCACTCACAGCAAGTCAAAATTTAATGTAGTGAGGCACAGAAAATTGTCAACTGCTTCAGGAAGGCAAGATATATTGTGTTTTCATGGGTTTTTCATCCCTGGATGAACTGTCATCACATGCTGCAGATAGCGATGAAATCATGTATAGCTGTAGAGACCAAATCGCTTTAGTCAAGGATCATGTAATTAAGAAGCAAATAACCTGTAGACATTGAAACCAAACCTATCAAAGAATGGGATTGCTCACACAAACAGGTCCTTAAAAGAAGGTGTTAGAAGGTTCTTCGGAAAGTGACAGTACAGTTTGCAATTGCAGCACAAAATAAGCCTCATGCATGGCAAGCACATACAAAATACAGGGCATGAGATAAATGAAGCACCTGAAAGGTGACAGGTTGTATGCCTTAGAGCTATATGAAACAATACTGAAACCTACTGCAGTGTTCTTACTAGGATTTCGTACACTAGGGTCCACAGTACCCATAGGGAAGCTAACAGGAGGTCATGAGGGAGAAAAGTTGGTCACAATTTTCTAGACACAGTTAACTCAACGTTTTCACAGGTCTGAGTCTTAGATAATGATGGATGTTTTCTAAACGAGCCATAACCAATTAATTTTTAAGGAAATGTACGTTATGTATGCATACATTTTGTAACAGGTTTTTAGCTGCAATTCCGCGGTCTGGTAAGAACACTATTATTGTGACCCTAACCTTAAGCCAACAGTTTCATTTGATTGAGAAATATCCCTGCAGCCTTTAGAACCCTTCTTCCTTCCTCTATACAGCATCTTCCTTCATTAGTACCTTAAGTTGTCGTGATAAATGCATGAGTTAAAAGCAGTTTTGCAACTTTGATGGGAAAAAAGTTTTTATGAAAAAAGATAATCCATCTCCAGTATCAGTTATAATATTTTTTCCAGAGAGATTATTAAGGTACTTGTCGTGTACTTTGCATAGATGTCCTCCTATTGATTGTAAATTTTAGGGAGCCTAATATTGGCAAAAAAAGCACATTTAAATGGCACAGCTTCTGCAGTGGTACTAATCAGATAATGAAAACGTGGTTTCATAAAATTGACAATTTTGTCTACTTTTTTTCTTGATGGTTTGATGAATAGTCTGTAATAACTTACTAACTAAAGGAATTTTATTAAAATACTAGTGTGTTTTCATCAATACCATTTTTTTAAAATTTAGTTTGATACTACAGCAATTTGACTTTAAGCTACTGTATATCTAAAACAAGAAACATGTTTGACTAAGACTTTATTAATATGTAATTATTATTGGTAAATCATCTTCATTATGCAAGTATCTGTACATATGTTAAATTATCCTTTCAATGGTGAAGATTATTATTTTTAGTTTCATAGTGAAATTCAATCACCTCACATTTTCTTACATGGCAAAGACATAAACTTTGTAATATTCATTTAATCCATGTCAAAGGATTTTTTTGCAACTCTTTTCTATCAATTATCAGATTTTACATTGTAAATTCAAATTAGTTTTGAAAAAGGTAGGTCGTTATTTGTTGTGATGTATAACTCTTGATCCAATTCCCTTTTGCTAAGAGATTGGTCGGAGAGAAGTGAATTGTTGTACTTGTAGTCCTTCCCTTGTAATATATAACTGTTGTAACTGTAGTTGTTTGAATTCTATAAGGCAGTGATTTGGCTTGATGAAACTGTAAATATTGACAACTTAAGTCTTGCGGATCACATGATTTGTTTTGATCCAATTTCCACGGAACAGAAAATGATACCAACAACAAGCAATAGACCCTGTGTTATGGTGAGGTATGCGGCTTGACATAATTTTTCAGCAAATTGAGACAATATATTACTGTTGCATGATTGATTGTAATAGTTATTGTTTTTAGTTGCTTGTTTGTTTGTTTGTGGAAGGACTGGAAGGAAGTTTGGAATTGTTAAATTCCTTGCCCTTCCAGTATTACTTACTACATCAGCATTGTTGAGCGTGAAAGACTTGAGTACAAGTTTAGAAAAACGAGTACATTGTAATAATTTCTAAGCTAAGCTGCAAACGGACGCAACAACTCCCAACATTGATGGCCCAACAATGTTGGGAGTGTTGGGTGGGTTTGCACGTAGCTAAAAGTTTGACCGGTTTCAAACTTTGTGCAACAACTCTCAACAACAAGGAGCAATATGCAACAACATGCAACAGGGTGTGCAAACGGACGGAACATCTAACATCTAACAATGCTGGGAGTTGTTGACCAACAATGTAGCGTCCGTTTGCACGGGGCTTTAAAATACTTTACGCATCATCCAAACTACTAAAATCTTCAGTTTGCGGTGTTGACTTCAACTTGTGTTGGTTAAAGGCAAAGAAAGATGTGTACAGTATATCGCTTTCTTGGTTGGTACTATCTTTAGTATTTTCACATGTTTACCATGACTCGGTGATTAAGCCAAATGATTTGGGGTTTGGTTTCAATTAAGACAAAATAACTGTGTTGAGAAACGAGCTTACTACAGGTGTATTTATCTTGCATAGTGAACAAATTATACAAATAACGTCTCTCAATGTTAAACGTGGAGAATTTGCAACACAGGTTTTTCCAGTCCTTAATTTTAAAAAGATGTCTGTATAGCTGAAATACTCCTTGATCTGTTCTTTGCGCAAATTTAAATCAAATTGCTGTACTGCAAGGTTGAGAGCTTTTACAGATTACGAGCAAATGGGATAGGATCCGTGGTGATTCGCAAGAACCAGTATTCGAGCTACTAGAGTAAATTCTGATCAAGGGAAACAAGATTTAGTTCGAATTAGCAGGTGATTCGACTTATCCGAGTTCTAGTTAGCCGAGTAAAAATGACTGAAAAGTGGAGTCAATTCCAAGTACAGTCTAACCTCTCCTTACGGACACCTCTCTATTACGGACAGTTCGTTTGGTCCCAGAAATGCCAAAAATCATACATTCCCTACCTCTATAATACGGACACCTCTGTAAAGCGGACACTTGGTTCTGTCCCTTTGGTGTCCGTATTAAGGAGGTTTGACTGTAGTCGTTAGTTTGTGCTTCGGACTGTTGGGAACAGGCTCGCATTATGCCTAATTATGCTACATTGCATAATACAAAACATTATTTGTTTCAATTCTAATTGATTTTGATTTTAAGCTACGAATGGCACGTTTGAAATTTAGATTTTTTATCTTTGTGGCGATCATCTCCTTAATGTTAATCTGCTTTATTTACCTCCACCCTTATAATCACAGGAGACAACTGGTATATACACAGAAAATGATAGCCTAAACCATGTAACAAAAAAGAGGTTTTCCTTCTTTGGGGGGAGGGAGGGAGGGAGGGTGTGGCTACACCTAGGCTAATTAATAAAATGAGTCATTCATTCGTTCGTTCTTTCGTTTCCTCGTTCAATCATTCAGTCAGTCAGTCAGTCGGTCAGTTTTTGGCTTTCACTTGTCCTTTACAATTCCTCAAGCTTACCTCTTAAGTATGAAATATTTATCGGGTACAAAATTTATTGTGGTCCAGTTACATTGTAAGTAATGGCTTTGGAGCGCCTGACATTCACTCTCTTCAGTATGAGGCGAATTTGATTTGGCACGTTAAATAAATCTTAAGGAATTCAAGATCGTTACTCATTTTTTTAGTTGTATTGTTAATTCACTGATTGTCGGCTTTTGAGTACTGACAATGAGCTCGCTCAACCGAAGAGCCATTTTCACGTACTGCCACTCGGCTCACAGGGGGCGCTCACGTCAATCGTACGGACACGAAAAAGTTGGTCATCACGTCGACCTTAGCGAGTCCGTTACCACTGTCAGGGAGTCCGACGGGCAGAACGCCCTACGTCAATTTGTTCTTTGCATGAGAAAAGTTTGTTTAATGTTGGTTGTTTTGAAGAAAGAGACATTTTGTAAACAACATTAACAATATTGATGTCATTATATGTTACGTGTAAGTGAACCAGTGATATCGGCCTCGCCCTGTGGGACCTCATGGTTCATATTCATTAAGATCGCATCACTCTGTTGTTTTAGATCCGAAGGAGCGTATGTTGGCAACTTAAGGCGCTAGATCGTTTTCCGCTTCCGCCCATACATTTACACTGTAGAAGAGCTTTCTGGCGCATATCCGTGATATCGTATCACTGTGTGCTTCTAAGAGACAAGTCAAGACATAACTTTTTAGATTAGCTTTTACGTAGTTTTAACTACATTTTATTTTATATTATTTATGTATTTTTATCAGCATTTTTACTTTTTGTCGGTTTTATGTATCATAGATTGATTTTAAATTTTAATTAGTATGACTGTAAAGCGCTGTTGATCATTTATATGTTAAAAGGCGCTATAGTAAATTTATAAATTATTAGTATTAGTATTAGTATTAGTATTAGCAACAATACGAACAACAACAACAAATGTAGATCAGAAAACCTGATGAAGCCGCTTCTCACTTATTATCTGCGAAATTCTTCTACCTGGAGTGTTGAGCTGTGAACTGACTAAACCCCCCCCTGCCATTTCGACACCTGTGAATTCCGTTGTTTTTTTTTACCCGTATATAGGCATCTGTCTTGAGCCAGCCAATTAAAGACAAGATTGAGAATCCTTTCCATGAACAGAGGCAAAAGCGGCTACGATCACATAGCCTGTCCACATTTAATACTCATAAAAAAATGTTCTCTTGTATACAAGGTGACAATCAACGTTTCTTTGAGGATGCCTGTGGATCAGCGTCAATCAAATTTAAAATAGACTCTTTGGATCGATGTTCTATTGTTAGACTAAAAACAGTTTTTATTACCTGTGGTTAATATTGATTTTTTGAGGGCATGAATCTCTCCAGTGGACTTCTCGCAACAAAAGTGATCAGGAATCAAGGCAGAGAATCTCTCAAGTTAGTTTTTGTCCAGAAATTCCTATGCCAACTGTGCGTCCGCAAGATGAATTTAATTATGCAGACGTCATCAGAACTTGCCCAAGTTGTCTAATTTGTATTTTTTTCAATTGAAATCAATGAAGATCACAAAGTTATTCTCAATTTGCATGATTAACGTGCATACCTCAGTTCAAGTAGAGATTTTTTTTATATAATATAATCTAGTGGTAAGAAGTAACTGTGAAAATAAACTGATACTGACGAATTTCGGTCCACTTGAAACGCGGAAGGAAAGAAAATGAAAGTAGTCCGGAGAAACTTCCTATTAGATGTTCACTCAACTTCACAGTTGGATGATCATTTGAAAATAATGCGTGCGGTTAATGTTTGTATATGTTAAGGTTTGTTTCGAGTTAGTCATGCAATTCTGACCGAGCAGGCTAAACAATTCTTGAATTTAAAGGTAATGCCGGTAGGAGAAATGTCTGCTGGAATCTTATCATCCCAAAACTGATCGAGATTGGGGGAAGGCACCTGGCCTCCGTCATATCCGCCATCATTTTGGCCCTCTTATGCAACCGATTTTTTTTTAACCTTTGTCAAAGCGAGGCAAGCGGAATTCGAGCTTTTGTCGTGAGCAGTTGAGTCTCCCTTAGTGCAAAAGTGTTATGCATCGCACTGCTAATCTGATCCCACTGATCTCGCCGTGAACGTTTAATTCTCATTTATGGGTTCACCTTCGAACTTTTGCTGTCTGCTGCCTTCTTTTCGCAAGAAAAATTCTGGAATCAGGTGTTGGAGGAGACACGTTAATTCCGACTTTAAATCATGGAACTGTGAGCATTCTGGTATTAAATCCAATGGATTTTTAGAGTTAAGCTCACGAGATATGAAACATCAAAGGTCTGAGGAGACACGCACTCATTGGTAAATACATTTTTATTATTTCATGATTTATAGTTGTACAGTCGAATCCCGCTTTATAGACACCCGCTTAATACGGACACCTTATTATTACGGGCAGTTTGCTTTGTCCCTGGGGGAAAGAAACTCCATACATATTCTCTTACCACGGACACCCCCTTAATATGGACACTTTCTATCTCCGGGCCTCCTTAGTGTCCGTATTAACGGAGTTTGACTGTAGTTAACATCAACTCAAGCACTACTATAATTATGACAGAAAATAATGGAAGTGGAGTTATGTGCAATATACGCTTGTAGCCATCGCGTTTGTTCCGACTGAAATTTATTGATTTTAAGCTTAAAAGCAATAAAATATACCAACGGGCAAATACGAAGGCTTTATACGCATGTTCATCTGAATTTACCCTTACATTTCTTGCTTAAGTTGAGGCTTGCTCAGAAGTCACTGTTCCAGTTTCTGATTCGCACTAATTGAAATACTCAAAGTTAATAAATTAAGGGATATCGTGACAGAAAAATAAATAAATAAATAAATAATAATTATGATAATAGTAATAAAATAAACGACAGTCAACTTTTTTATTTCGTCTTGCGCCGGCCGTAAGACATGTATGCCAGAGCTTTTTAATTATGTTAGATTTAATGTGTATTTAGTGCTACGAGAAACTTTGTGCGATTTTTTTTATAGACTGCTGCCACTATTGTTTTGTTGTCGACTATTTATTAACAACCAAGCCTGAGTGCCCAATATTATCCTTTGTTCTCTTTTCAGTTGGTTCAAACGTAATTTCAAGTATCACGCAAAAGACAGTATAGTTTAGTCAAGTTCTCAATATAGCCTATCAATCATGTCTACGTACGTCAATTGCTGCTTCCTTGTCCGCGCAAACTAACTAATTATACAAAAAAAAAACACAGATACTTCTCCCCGCAGGCTTGTGCATTCGCATGAATTGAAATACGTACAATTATATGTTATGGGAAAAATGAAAAAGCGAGAACATTTTTGTGACATTTTATAGAAAAAGAAAAAAAAAAGAACTAGGACCAACACGAGTTTTGCCTAGAATCAAAATATTTAAAGACTGGTTTAATCACCGAGGTAAACCCGGAAAACAGGGGAAAAGGATATAGTTCTTAACATAGCATTGTTTAGTTTAGTATTCAAAAGGAACTAGGACCATCTGTTCACGAGTGAAAGTCTAGTGATCCGAAAATTATCGATAAAACTTACCGTCTCGAAAACTGCCTAGAATCAAAATATGGCCACAAAACGTTAAAATGGGTAATTATACCATTTTGTCGATGTTCGAAAATCCTAGGAGAGGCAGGTAAGCAAGAAATTTTACAACAAATGCTCCGAAAATTCTAGATCTCAAATCGTCTTCCGAACAGATATTTTCCCGAAAATTTCCGTTGGGTGCCCCTGGGAAAATGGGTTTCTAAATTATTTTCGTGCTGAATATCACCATCCAATAAGCGCTACTTACTTACAGTGAATGCATAATGTCTTTCACAAGGCACTTCTTTTAATCGTTTGAGTTCATTATCCTAACTGTTTGTCAGCATTACAAGTTCTATTTTCTAATCACTTTGGTTGCACTCTTGTCTGCTTTCTCGTTGTTTGATAACTGAAATCAGACTGTTAATCGGAGACTGAGACAGGAGGAGATTATGCTGTCTTCATTTTCACGGAACAAACATTTTGTTTTTATTGTACGTTGTAAACCGCGTAGTAGAAAGAATGAAAACGCATTATAGCAGGGTTATATTCTTTCTGAGGTGAAAATAGCACATGAATTCTTGAACTCGAATAACAGGCGTTCTGTATCAGAACGCGAAACTGAAAACAGCCGTAAACCAGGGGGAACCACACAATCTGTATGTGTATCCGTTAGTAAGTTTATAGTAAATGCATTAGATTTACCGTTTGCTTCATCTTAAGCGTTATATCACTAAATATGTAGGTTGATCAATGCTAAAGAGACGCTGTATTACCTTATATATGGGTAATTGTCGATCTTTTGCCTTAGAAGTGGTATTTTGAGCGAGTTTGAAGGATTTTGAGTTCGCTGTTAACGGCGACAGTTTACCGCAAGTGAGCTAATACAGTGATCTATGTTTTTAGCGATTTTGATCAATGTGCAGACGGTTTAAATCATTTTATAAAATACCATAGTTAATTGAGTGGAATGGTTAGAAACCGTCAAATCCTTTGTTAAATGGACCTGAAATTTCATTTTGATTGTAAAATAAAAACGTTGCATTAATTTATTGGTAACAATTTGCCAAAAGAAAACAAAGGATTGTGCACTTTCACGGGCTTTGAACATAAACTGCAGCACTGTTGTTTTTATCATTGATGACAGCAAGACATGGGCTCCCCTGTGCCGCGACAGCAAGACACGTGGCAGGTGATGACTGACTAAATGACGTCTGTGTTTTATCTTGGTTCCTACGCAGCAGGTGCTTGATGAAGGCGGGAAAATTTGTCGCACGAGAATTTTGAAGGGCTACCTATGCCATCTTGATTCTTGCGTAATGTAAAACAACAACAACAACAGTTTATTCCCGTTACCCACAATTAGCGGAGCTATTCTAGGTGTGCAACAATACAGTAATTGTCTCCTATAAAGTCGGCAAAAGAACGATAAGTAAAGAGAAAGGGAAAAAATAAAATGAATATCCGGTGGCAATTGTTATTAGTTACCATGGGGAAAACAAAATTTAAATTATAAAAAAGTCGCCAATTTGAAAATTCTTAAATAGGCTGTTACCTGACCATTTCAATGCAGCCGGATGCATGAATGGATAATTTTTATGTCCACTGCAAGCCTTCTTTGAGGTGCTTCAGATGGTTAATTTTCTGCCTGCAATTCTAACGATCCGTTGTGATGCGATCTTATTCAAAATGCCGTGGCGGTGGTTTCTTTGGTAGAGAAATTCCGCTATCCATAATGAAGCTGTAAGGGATAATCGAATTCTATTAGCCATAGTTGTGCTACTCAGCGAGTCAAAATGATCCGTAATTTTGTGTTGTTAGGTATCACACTCGGAAAAATTTGGATGCCGGTTTAAACGGTCTTCGCAGCAGGCCGCTTAGCCCGGTGTTGGGAATACATTGAGGATAACACCATTCTTACTATTGTTCATGAAAAGTATGACTTTGTTGCTGCGCTATAAATTCTCTTATTCTCTAATCAGTTGACTTTCTTTCTTCATTAGCTATGCAGATCCCTCAGATCACTATCTGGACTGGGAGAAGCAACCTTTTAATGTGTTAGTAATAAAAAAAGTCATGGACTCTGAAGTAACCAGATGCTTTAAAGAACTCACCAAATGGCTAATTGAGGTAAGTCTATGATCTCCCTCCTCATTGACCTTCAGCATACACGAATATACACTCAGTAATCGTGGTGTTTTAAGCAATCTGATTGGTTTGCTATCTCCAGTAGCCTGTTCACAGACCCTCTTATTTTCTCTTCAAAGTCCGTGGAGCGCGTGTGATAAAATATAAATCGCCTCCCTCTCGCGCTCGCCGATAGCCTGCGCACTGAGGCGCTTGGACGTAGTGGGCACAAGAAAAAACGGGCGCGCGAGAAGGAGACTCGCGTGTCTCCCTCGCGCGCCCGTTCTCTCTTTCGCCCACTACTTTTAAGCGCCTGCTACGGAGGCTAGCTCGCCCATGTTTTCCAAAAGAACGAAAAGAAAAATAAAACAACGTCTGTGTACAGGCTATATCTCCAGATATTGAGCAACCATCTGTGGCTGGAGTTGCAGATGGTGCGATTATCAACTGACATACAGCACAGTTGAACCTCTACACAACGGCCACCTTGGGGCAGAAGAAAGTGGCCGTGGTGGTTTAAACAAGAGTCAGTGTATGGACTGTCCGCCAAAATCAGTGGCCATTGTAGAGAGGCGGCCGTTAGTGGAGGTTCTGCTGTATTAAAAAAAAAGTTTCAATGAACTATAGCCACAGCACGACACTTTCTTTTAACAAACAGTAGAGTTTCCGCAAAACCAAGAAACGACAAGTCATTCAGCAACCACCCGTTGCTGGAGTTGCCAATGGTGCGATCATCATCTGATATGATACAAAAGTTTTAAAAATCCACCGAGCCGCATCACGACACTTTTGTTTACACTAACAATAGACTTTCCAAGAAAAAGAACATGATCCTCGTATTAAAATGAACCACCTAAAGGAACTTGAAAAAGAAACTGAAAAATTTAGGCATTAGGGAATGGAACCCTGGCCTTTGCGATGACTAGGCTAATCAAGCCAACTGGAGAGCAGGCCATTGAAGACATAAAAGTGCACATGATCCTCGCAGTAGAATGAACAACCTCAACGAGGATCATGTTCACTTTCATCTCTTCATCCATAGCTCATCAAAATATAATTTATTTCATACAGACTTTCCGCCAAGGCAGGTTCGGACCGGATCACCTCATTTACATACTTACCTGACAATAGTTCCCAACCTTTTCCCTAAGTGTAAATGAGTCTATCCGGTCCGAGTTTTGTACCTGCCCTCTCCGCCTCACCAAGAATCGACCAGTTATGGCAAAGACTTTAGTAGCAAAGACAACATGGCAATAGTGACGACAACACACCGAACTGACCAACGATAGGGCTGCAAATTCAGCACCGGAAGTCGCGCTCGGTCTTTTCTCTAGCTTTCGCGAACTATATTTCCTCATCATCCTAATTAATGTCCTTTCTGACTTCCTTATATCCCTATTCTTTCCAGTCAGTATTACATGAAAATAGTGTTTCATGAAAAGTGTTTCGTCATGAAAATATTTTGGTCAAATGTGGTTGATCAAATTATTTATGCAGGTATTTATTTATTATTTCTTCATTTATCGCAGGAGAAAAGAATGATGATTTTTGCTGAAGCAACAGCCGTTGAAGACCCCTTAGTTTCACAGGATGAAAAATTTTCAGCTGTCAGATCAAAACTTTGTATTTTCAAAGAAGGTGAATTATAATTACTAGTACTTGTGATAAGGTTGTAATCAAACAGATAACACTGAATCTCAGTTTCCCGGAGTTGGGTTGATCTATTTGGTAGATTCATTATTCTCCAGTGCCATTTTCAGTTAAAAAAAAAAAATCAGCGAGTAAACCAAAATGGCTTTGGGCGCGAAATGAAGGAATATAAAGAACCTAAACCCTGCAATCTTCCATTTGAATAGACGACCCACTAAAAGGTTTTAGGTTCTCATAGCGCAAAGCCAATAGTATTTGCCCAGTACGCTTTTACCGCGTAATAAAGAAAAAGTGTTGTAAAAAAAGATTTTGTTGAGTTATACTGAGAAATGCTTCTGCCTGTTACGCGTGTGTGTAAGTTGTAGTGCTTTTTCTTCCTGAAACTCCTACTCTTTTGATTCCTTCAAGGTGACCAGCTTGATGACAAAATCGACTTCATTATTTGTATGGGAGGTGACGGTACACTTTTACACGCTTCCTCATTATTTCAGGTAAGAAAAGTTAATGATATATAATCAGATTGCGTGGTGTGCACTCCCCTCACTAAAACTAAAAAAATAATAATAAATCATATCTTCAATAGATACCTTTAGATTCAAGCACGAGGACGACAGCGAGTACGAAATTTGACGTTAAGTTTTTTCGCGTATTCTGAAAATATAGACTCCCTGAAAAGCCTCATTTTACCATTTTTTCACTAGAAAAGTTAGCACTGTTACCTTTAGTGAAGGAAGTTACACCCTCTCCCGATCGCAAAATAATAAAACTTCTAACATTTGATAACTTTTTGCCGCCACTTCGACATTCTCGCTAAAACTCGTAGTAGAGTGACGATGGCTACCACGTTTTCCCGCCAAATTGACGCTGGTTCACGCGCGAGCAGTACTTACAACTGAGAAAATCTCGTACTTGTTGTCGTACTCGTCTTATAATCTAAAGGTCTCTATTATTGTGCCTACAGAAACATGGCCTGTTGAATACCTGAGGTGGGAGATGCCAATTCATCTTAGTTCAGTATCACAGTGCATTTTCCTTTCACGAGTATTACTTGGAAATATCGAGATTTGCTGGTTCTAAAATTTGTTAGCAGTTTCTATAAAGCTGTTGGTAGTGTTACTATGCTACGCGGGGGGGTGGGGGAATCAAGGAAAAGCCGATGCGCGTTCATATAAGGGTCGGCAGAGAGGGTCGTTCACTTCTGCAAAATCCATGCTGTTTCCCTTTATTGTAAAGAATGTAGCTGTGACCCGTGTGCAGAAGTCCCATCCTCTACCCAAGGGATTGAGGGCGGCTGTACTCGGGCTAATGTAGCTATCACCTTAGGGTCATGTGGCAGAGTTTTTTTTTTCTGATACACTTGAAAAGAAGTGTATAAGAACACCTCATAGATATTGCTCTTCCTTGACCCGTTTGAGGTAACTCGTCATCCCTCTAATTCTCTTTCTCTCACAACAGTGTAGCTGCCCCCCTGTTATGGCATTTCATCTCGGCTCCTTAGGATTCCTGACATCCTTCAGATTTAGAGATTTCCGCGATAAAATTACCGACGTTTTAACGGGTAAGTTCAATCCATGTAATAAGAATTTCAAAATAATTATATATGAGGTATGCGAAAATTGTGTTCTAGAAACGATACAGAAATTGACGAACCCCTGTTTACCTGCAATTGTTACTGTACTTCCTGACACTAAAAACAGACCTACTGTTGCGTTGTAACAGTATGGAAGTCTTCTTAGAACGCACGCTTATTCCAACTCATTAACTGTATCTTTTTTGAGATTTTTTTACATTTGATTAAGTACAGGATCAAACTATGATTCCAAAGAGAGTGGGTAATAAATAGCCGTAATTCTCCCAAATTGAGAGCTTGCGCACCTGCTAGCCAATAAATAGATCTTGCCTTCCAACAAAAATATGCTTGTTTTTTATGTTTCCACCTGTAGTATTGTGCCGTTATTCGATAGATAAAACCGCACAAAATCCATCCTCGTTCCCAGGGCCCTATCCTGTTCGTCCTCCGGTGGAGGAGAGGGCCTTATGAACGAGGTAGCACACAGCCCACAATCCCTTGATTGGCTGTGATGAAGGACCAGCGCTCGAAATATCAGCTTTTGAATCTTTTTACGGTTTACGTTTTTACGTTTTATCGACTTGGTTGGGAAAATCAAATTTTGTGTCTTATTACTTTTGGGTGCTCTGCCCCATTTGTTTCGTCGTTATAGGCGAATCGCACTCGTTACTATTTGTGAGACTAACATTTCTTGATTAGAGGACTGAGACAAAGGTTTGTGTGTTTGAAGCCTTTGGAGACTTTGAAATTAGCTAGATTTGTCGATCAGCACTACGACGGAGCTCTGCAAATATCCGCTTGTAAAACGCCAACTGCCTTCTGCTAACTACGTGTGTTGCACATTTTGTAGGTCATGCTGGCTTAACGTTGAGAAGTAGACTACAGTGTGACTTTACCAAGCGTGACAAGGAAGATGAGGCCAAAACCGGGAAGTCACGCTACTTGGTGGGTTTTAGTGACGAACAAATTAGTAAGGAACAAGTTGGCATCTTAAATTACCTCCCCTCTTTCCCTAGCCTGCGTTGCAGACGTAATTTAACCTCTGTTAGTACCTTCTGTAAAGCAGCGCCGGTATCCTTGTTCTTGGCCCACAACGGACTCAACGAATTATCGGAAATGCATTTCGAATTTCCTTCCATCTTGATTGACAAATCGACAATGGCGTTTTTAACAGGCCAATCATGACGCGTACTCAAATGCTGGTACACAGGTGGGGGCCCAGAACAAGGATTTCAGCGCTGTTGCGCAGACGGACTTAACAAGAGGTTAATTTCGTCTTCGGCACAGGCTACTCTTCCCCACGCTCAACCTCATACCCAGTTCTTTTCCCTTAGAGAATGGGATTGGTGGGAAAAGACCCTCCCACGTTCTAAGGGAAGAGCCCTGGGAACGAGATTGCCCTATGTTACAGTAGCTTTCCTCGCAGAGTCCTCCCCCCTGCTCTCTTGCGCCTATACCCCTACAAGTTATACCTATTGAAAGGTACTGTATGTGAAGGAATGTGAAACTTAATTCTTGCCATAGGACGTTTCGCACAGGATCACAGAATTACAGGCGCGAATCTAGCGTATGTAAGATTTGTATTGTGGTTCAGGTCAGGTACAAGTTTGTATTTGAGGTAAAGAATAGGTTTTGGTGGTCAGAAGGGGAAAATGTATCTGGGTACTAGGAAGGTGGATGCAGGGGCATGCAAGGGGGAAAACCCCTCCTCCGCCCGCAAGATGTGTCCCTGGATCATACACATTTCAACTGATTATTTTCACCCATGAAACTGTTGGATATCTTGTTCTGTAGGTTTTGAATGAGGTGGTCGTTGACCGGGGTCCTTCGTCCTATCTCACAAACTTGGATATATATTGCAATGATCATCACGTCACATCGGTACAAGGAGACGGTAATTACTGCTATCACATTCATCCCATCTCTTTGGTTCTCGCAAGTGTAACTGAGTTAGAAAGAAAGCATGGTCATGTATACTTTAAAAAAAAATGCAAGACTGTTATTTCAGGCTCGATTTCTTAAATCCGGAGCTCGTTTTGACTCCCAAATGACGGTAACAACTTTCCCCTGTCTTACTATCATTTAAATGACTTTGTGCTCTTTAGTGTCAACCTTGTCCCAAGGACTCTTCCCCCGCCCTGGGAAGAAGGTTGCGTTATTGTTGAATTGGTGCTAAACTGGAAAAAATTTGAATTAAGATCTCTATTACTTTCTGAAACGACACTAAAACTGTCCGAAATCCAAGCCAGTTGTGCAGTATTTTACTGAAACTCGTTGTTGGTCGCCATACGTTGTTGCAACGCCCAAATTAGCGATTTGAATTGAAACTGCTAGGTTAAGAATGAGAAAGATGTATTCATGTGTGAGAGAGGAAGAAAACAATAATTAAACTTCCCAAAGATGACTTAACCCTTTAAGCCCTAAGAGTGATCAGCGTCAAATTTCTCCATGTAATATCACTGCTTTATAAAACACAGTGGTCATGAGAATTAAGGACATGATCACACAAGATGAATCTAATTGATGCTTCAACAAATTCTCCCCACTACTTGTATTGAAAACGCATAGGGATAACAAATGAGAATTTGAATTTTGATGTTAGGGTTTAAAGGGTTAACTGTGAGAAAAATAAAAAGGGTCCTGTCTCAACCAAAGGCGAGCGTTTTTGTTTTCCTACAAATTTTATTTTCTTAAAACCTGATTTACCGATTTGCGTTGCTGCTACCTTCCTGAACCAGTTTATGGCTGCAGTGTGCTGTATTCTTAATCTTCCTAATCTTCCCTGTAGTGGTGTTACCGTAAGTTGCGTGACGTTGCGTTACTATTGTCTTTTCCAGGGTTAATCGTATCCACACCAACTGGTAGCACAGCATATGCGGTAGCTGCTGGAGCATCAATGGTTCATCCCAGTGTGGCCGCTATCCTAGTAACCCCTGTTTGTCCCCATTCTCTCTCATTCAGACCCATCATTCTGCCTGCGGGAGTCGAATTAAAGGTAATGCCGGTTCATTTCAATCCTTCTTTTTTAACTTTTAAGATTGAGGTTAACTTTAGGTCAACGTCATCTACCTGTATCATCAAATTCTTCTTCTACAGCGAAATCCTCGTTCTCCAACGGGTTCTGTCCCGGTGGAAAACGATGGAGGCTAGGGTTGGTTGGTCCCATGCTAAACCCTCAACCTGGAGGGTCAGCGACTGTCCCCAGTCTGGCCTGTCACCCTCGACTAATCCAGCTTAGGTGGACCTCCCAGGGATAACACTCCACTGGCATAGGTCTTCAGATACACAGGCCTCACCAGGGACTGTCCCCAGTATGGCCTGTCACCTTCGACCAATCTGGCTTTGGTGGACCTTCCCGGGGTAACACTCCACTGACATAGGTCTTCAGACACACAGGCTTCACCAGGGACTGACCCCAGTATGGCCTGTCACCCTCGACCAATCCAGCTTGGGTGGACCTGCCAGGAGTAACACTCCACTGGCATAGGTCTTCAGACACACAGGCTTCACCAGGGACTGGCCCCAGTATGGCCTGTCACCCTCGACCAGTCCAGCTTGGGTGGACCTGCCAGGGATAACACTCCACTGGCATAGTTCTTCAGACACACAGGCTTCACCAGGGACTGACCCCAGAATGACCTGTCACCCTCGACCAATCCAGCTTTGGTGGACCGGCCAGGGATAACACTTCACTGGCATAGGTCTTCAGACACACAGGCTCACCAGGGATTGACCCCAGTATGACCTGTCACCCTCGACCAATCCAGCTTGGGTGGACCTGCCCTGAGTAACACTCCGCTGGCATAGATCTTCAGACACACAGGCTCACCAGGGATTGACCCCAGTATGACCTGTCACCCTCGACCAATCCAGCTTGGGTGGACCTGCCAGGAGTAACACTCCAATGGCGTAGGTCTTCAGACACGCAGGTTTCACCAGGGACTGACCCCAGTATGGCCTGTCACCCGCGACCAATCCAGCTTAGTGTTGGACCTGCCAGGGAAAACACTCTACTGGCATAGGTCTTCAGACACACAGGCTTCACCAGGGACTGTCCCCAGTATGGCCTGTCACCCTCGACCAATCTGGCTTTGGTGGACCTTCCAGAGGTGACACTCCATTGACATGGGTCTTCAGTCTCACAGGCTTCACCAGGGACTGACCCCAGTATGGTCTGTCACCCTCGACCAATCCAGCTTGGGTGGACCTGCCAGGAGTAACACTCCATTGGCATAGGTCTTCAGACACACAGGCTTCACCAGGGATTGACCCCATCATGACCTGTCACCCTCAACCAATCCAGCTTGGGTGGATCTTCCAGGAGTAACACTCCAATGGTATAGGTCTTCAGACACACAGGCTTCACCAGGGACTGATCCCAGTATTGCCTGTCACCCTCGACCAATCCAGCTTTTGTGGACCTGCCAGGGATAACACTCCACTGGCATAGGTCTTCACACACCCAGGATTCACCAGGGACTGGGCCCAGTATGGCCTCAACCGATCCGGTATGGGTGGACTTTTAGGGGTAAACCGACCGCCTAACCCCGGCAGGCGTAGATCTTGAAGCACACAAGCTTTACCGCCATGACCAGTCGACTTGCCCAGGGTGGAGAATGAGAATTTTTCATTAACTGTTTCTTACAGATTGTACCGAGTGCTGAGAGCAGAAGTTCAGCCTGGACTTCATTTGATGGTAGAAACCGTCAAGAGCTAAAAGTGGGAGATAGGTAAGACTTTCTTATTGTTTTGGTCAATTTAGGCAGCTGTTAGAAATTAATGGTTGGCGGGCATTTGATAATCCTGCCAGCCAGAATATACTTGCAAGATCAACAAAGTATACGAGTAGATACAGAAGCGAATTTTATGAAGCGCCCAATCTGTCGCCTACGTACCTGGAGGTTTTATTGGCGAACGGGCAAACGAGCGGTGAGGTCGTAAGAGGAATGAATAATTTTGTGAAGCCTAGTTTTCCATCTAAGTTTATCTGATATATCAACCTTCAACTGAAAGACGAAAAACTTTACAACTTTAAACACCCTGATACCTTTGCTTTGAAGGAACGCTGGTTTTGCGAAAATCATGTTATATCGAAGAGTAAGTGGACAGAAAAAAAGCTAAGCATATTGTAATGTTTTTTTGTTGATGCTTATTCTTGTAGTATTCAAATTACAACGTCCATATACCCCGTGCCATGTGTAAATAGCGAGAATCAGATGGCAGATTGGTTTAAGAGTCTTGCTGAATGCCTTCACTGGAATGTTCGTCAACGACAACGCCAACTGTCAATAACAGATTGCCACGTTTAACACAGAAACACACTAAAGAAACTTCGAGCATAGAGGACTGCGGCCGGCCGGTGGCATGGAGAACGCCAGAAAACTAATAGACTAAATTCGGAAATCAACGACCCTGTGTAAACCTAGCTTAAGGTCTGAAGGTTTTGTAGTTACGGGCCACCAAACTAGTTTAACGAAACGGAGTTCTCCTTATTTATTTTTTTTTTTTTTGACCGACGTCTTATGTCACCTCTCTTCTATTTTGTTATTTGCCTTTCTTCTAACCTCCATGTCCGACCACTTATCCCAAATTACTATCTAAACTGTTCACAGTCCTCTATTTTTCCGTCAGATCGTCAAGATCCACGTTTTGCGCTACAGGCTGCCATCTTGCATGAGTGTCAAATCTTCTTAGGAGCGGGGGCGCCCGCCCCCTCGGTACATTTGAAAACCAAGATGGCCGCCATTAACGTTAAGACGCGCTATATCTCAACGATCTCTCGAGAAAATAGGGGACTGTGAACAGTCTAATTACTATCTCGGCATTTTTATTACTATTCGATTAAACTTTTCTATTAGGTTTATACTTTAAATCAAAAGCTACTTTTGAACCTAATGAGATGGCGTTTTTGTCGTTCAGTGCTTTAAATTTATTTTTTTGCACGAAAGCCTCAACATTGAGAATATTTTATAGAAGGATGCATGAGGACTTTCTCTCTTAAGATATCGAACCTTTTCCAAAACAAAGTGTCGAGCACTTCCAGTTTGGAAATTACTCTTCAAAATTTTCTCTCCAATGATGAATACTGTAAGTAATAGGTATATAATAATGTACCCAAAAGTATAATGTTATCGGTAGGGTTATTTAAATAAACATAAATTAAAGGGCTGCCTTTTTTCGTATCTCAGTTTTGTACTTGTACAATACAATACATAGCACTAGCTGTTGATGGTGATATCACCATATCAGGATCTATAATTATTACTTGAGAATAAATTGTGTTTTCGAACATTTACTTAAAGTTGTTTCCATCTTTTAAATTGTTATGACTATGTTTTCACTAGGACAATTTTAACTAGATAAAGCCGGAAAAGTCCGGAAATACAGTGAAAACACCTCGTCTTGGTCTTAGCTACAGTGAAACCTGTATTAAGTGGACACCCTCGGGGAATGCTGTAGTGTCCGCTTAATACAGGGTGTTCGCCTAATACAGGTTTCGATAGATAACGTCATATAAGGTGTCAAATGCCATTCAAATGAACAATGGAAACGTTTACAATACTCCCAGAGACTATGACGATATACGTTTGCATTAATTTCTTTATCAAAGTGAATCAATTTATCATAGAACCGTAAACATAGATTGCAACTCAAATTTGACGAAATCAGATGAGTGAAACAAGCTCTGTACAAACAAAACGAAATAGAATCCCACCGACCCCATTGGATTCTCCATTTCTTCGGCCAGGTCCTTAAACCAGAATTGTGGTCTTGGATAAACCCACAAAGTCTTGCGCTTATCCCAGTTATGGCACTGAATGTTTTTTCGTTTTTGGATTGACAGAATTAAAAGATTTCCTCATTTGTAAGGACATAAGCCTCATTTGCTGAATAAAACTCCTTCTCCCTCGCAAAAATACAGCGCAAATAATCACAAGAGAAATCCGGCATTGCAAGCACTTCGTCCCCTTTCAATTTTTATTGAGGCGCGCTTTTGCAATTTGAATCCTCTGAATTAGTGGCTTAGATTGCCGGTTATAAATTTCACAGTGAAACCAGTTGTCACGTTTAACTAGTAAAAGTCGGTTTGTAAACAAATCCTAGAAAGAATGTTCAGCTAGTTAATCGCCCTAGTGAAAATATAACCTATAATACGTATTCCTTGTTCTCTGATGTTACTAAAATGTTCAATAAGGGTGTAACGGCTGTAATGTTGTAAGGGCTGTAAGGGTGTAAGGGCTGTGAGGCTGTAAGGGCTGTAAGCGTGTAAGGGTGTAAGGGCTGTAAGGCTGTAAGGGCTGTAAGCGTGTAAGGGCCGTAAGGTCTGTAAGGGTGTAGGGCTGTAAGGCTGTAAGTGCTCTATGCTATCCTTTCAACTACAGCCTCTCCAAATCGCTTAAAAGAGCCAATAGTAAATAGGCGAAACTGTGTTTGGTAGGCCAGATGACAGGTGCCTTATGGGCAACGTAAGCGATTTGCATTTTGTATCAAAGCAAGCGCGGAAAAAAAACAAAACCATAAAAGGCTAAAAAAACAACTTGCTTTTTGCACTTAAAAATATAGTGCCGTATGGTTGTTGTGCATTTCGCGCAAAATATCCTGTTCACCCTTCTTGGCTAATAAACCGCCTGGCGAAATCAATGTGATGAAGACAATATTAAACCAAAAATGTTGTTGCCATGACAACAGCCATGAGCCTTCAAGAAGTAATGGGCTCCTTCTACAAACGGGTTACGTACGCCATTTTGTCTATTGTCATTGTTGCGTTGATAAAAAAAGAGTAAAGCGTCACATTATACCTCGCATTATAATCTGAAACTGCTGTACGGGTGTAAGGGCCCTTACACCAAACATCCATTCGTAATTCATGGCTGGTATAGACTGTTCGTTTGCGAGACACTGAGGCACCAGATCATCATGAGCACTGAGCTTTAGCTAGATTTGCGGTCGTGCGCACGATGCTAAAGGTGGCCCCTTTATGCTACTTTAAATGACAGCAACTACCTACAGAAGAATACTGAGATCATAAGAAGCTCTAAGTAGATTTCAAGACTTTCAAGAGGCACGGTCGCTGTGAAGGACCAGAAACTAAAACTGAGTACTCGAGGGTAGGGTGTTTATTCGCCAGTATGCCCTCTGGGTACAAGTCAAGACGTTCTTACATTACTAACATGCCTGAAGATTAAGCTAAATGACTCTGAATGTGTGTGAAGTCTCAAACGATACAAATGGGATTACAACGAAGAAATATGACGAATCATTAAACACGTGTTGTACTTCTACACGCATGCAGGGAAACGGAATGAATGGTATTCGCTTCCGTTGACCATATGTCTAATAATACATGTAATGCCGTGAAATTTGTACGTATTTGTCATCCAGTGAAAACTCGCAGGGAAGAAACGTTTCTTTACAAACCTTACACGCTGAATGCACTGATTATCCCATCATCACATTTTCCAAGTTATAAAAATGGCAACTTTCCAAATTTTTGAAGGATTTTTCTTTAGACTATTTTCTTGAAGTGAGATTTCCGGAAAGCAGAAACTCGATTTGCACTTCTTCAAGAATCGATGATCGATTTATTTGTTCACTGTAAAAGCAAACGAATAATTATTAATAATATATCCTTCTACACTGTGAATTAAATGAATGAAAGAAAACAGTAAATAAAGATACCTATCAAATATAGAAAAGATGAAAGATTTAGGAAGGATAGAAGAGTAAAAGAAATTTGGTACTCCTACCACCTAAACATGACCTAAAATTGCTTTGACTAATCATGATCAACACACTATTAAATGTCCTTTTTCTTTCTCTCTTTTTTTTTATCTATTTCCTTTTTATCAAGCTTAATTGTCTTCGATTATATTAATAGAATTAAATCGGATCAGAAACTGACAATTTTCAATTCTGATGTTTTCGCTTCGCGCTGAATTTCTCAGACGGATGAAATCGATGTGAATTTTTCTACACTTATCGACAGCTTCCATTCACTTCCCCCCAACGCTGAATGTCACCTTCTCGAGACACTCGTTCTGTTTTCGTGACAATCATAAGTATTCGAGTGGAAATCTTTGTAATGCACACAAGATTTGTCACTTGTTATCTATCTCGCCTTCGTAATTTTCCCGATAACACAAGGTCATAATCATAAAAAGAACGTTATCCTATAATTTGAAAACAACATTTTAATTACATGCAGGCCGGCAACAAGCTTTATCCATGATAGAACCCTTAACCTTTTTCCACAGATTTTTTCCGAAGAGGTTTATTTCAAGGAGTAAACGACTTCAAAATTAAAATGTCGTGGAATTTTTTTGAGGCTGCGACAGTCTTGCGGAACGTGACTAAAATCCGCGGATCCCATTTCCTTTCGAGGCGTAGGGTAGTGATTGCGTGTCGGGATGGGAGGGGGAAGGTTACATTCTTGACACATTACTCATGTTAAGAGTCAGTATAGGTTCCTTTTTCATGCTTGTGGTTAGTTTGTCATTTGTAGTATTGTTTGTTCTTATAAAATAAGCCAAACAAAATAAATTCCATTTCATGAAATTTCCTTTTACCGTCGCCTCATCTTTTTTTCACATTTATACTGAAAAATTCAGTGGGTAATTTTTCTCCTTGGGCGCGGCACGTAGTGCATCACACTATCAGGTATTTCTTTCATAAAAGATTGGAATGGCAAAATTCTCTTCGAGGAATCGTGATCGATAACAGAATTGATCTGATTTACCAACTGCAGGATATGTTCAGTTTAGCATAGCTTATCACTGACCGTAAACAAAGCTCTTCTAGTAGTCAGTCATAAGTGTTTACACATTCTTTAACTTTTTGTCTTTGTGGCTGATGAAATGTTTTCATGGAGACAACAGTTTATAACAAGACACGCAATGTTTATGTCAAGCTTCACTATGTTCTTGTTAACAAGGTAATGAGCGAATGATGCCACTGCCCTGCCACTGAGGCCACACACATATTTTTTCTGCTGCACGGTTTTCAACATACTAAGTGACCAAGAAAAATGATTGAACCTTTAGTTGATAATTATAGCCAATTAGATCCGGAAATGTGTTCAAAGACATGAAATTACTGACTCTCAGCTGTTCTGAGGAACGAGCGATTTGACGAAGTCTTTGTTACTTCTTCGCGATCACTGACCTTAAATACTTTCAATTCATAGGACGTGGACAAATTTCGTCTTCAGAAAGATAATCCTCTCACCAAACACGGAAAAACATACAGTATAGCAAAAGGCTTAACGCGTATCAAAACATCTGAACACTTCTTGAAAAACAATTTTATTCCTGTTGAGATCAAACAACTCATCACGGAAACAATCTCAACATAATCGTACACTTGTGAACAGTAGTCAAACTAAACAACTGGTTGGTGTAAATACCATAGACTACGAGTAGTCCTAAGGAAAAATGGGGACCACTCCTGGTCTATAAATACAATGATTGCCTCAAGTCTTCTCTGTCGAGCACCGGAGAACTTCGGGAGCCATAATAATTTGTTTTTTGTATCACTGGTTAAGTTTCCGTGTCAGCTCATTCGGATGTTTATGAAAAGAGGTCGGCTCTCTTTATTGACTTTGAGATAAATAAAGAATTCCACAAATAAACTCTCGGAAGCAAAACACCAGAATATCGACGAAAGCGATTCCTTCACGGGACCGCTGGGAATTTTACTAACTGCCGAAACGTGCGCTCAGGCCTAATCCACATATTTCCTAAACTTAATTAAATTCAGGCATGATATCTTGACCGTTATGAAATAGTATTCCCAAAACAACCTTTTTTCTCCAGTTAAAAGAAAAAAGGACCGTGATGCAGTTTGTTTCAGTCTTAATCAATTTCTAGTGTAGCTACGTTTCGGCGACTTTTTATGGACTAGACTATTAAGAAATTATACTATTGACTACTGAGACACGACACTTCCTGTTTTCACACTTGCTGACCTGCTTTTCAAAGTACAAAAGAATAAAACCCATCGGCAAAGAGAAAAAAAAATACCACACAATATAAATGAAAGGAGAAGAGAAATAGCTTCCTATTGTTTCTCTTGATCCCTTTTGCTGGCTCTTTTTCGACTGAATAAAAAGGTGAATTAAACAGCTAAAAAACTGCACTCTAGGCAAAAGTTGACCCCACACAATGGAAGATTTCTTGCACGTTTGTTACAGGACGTAAACCTACGCTGAAAAGCAAAACGGTAATTTTTTATACCACAAAAACTAATCCTTTGGTTGGAAGTGTAGGAACTGGATCATTTCCATCCTTCACGAAGCCTTGTAAAGTAGCTGTCCTCATAACCAAAAGCTCTAAAAGCCTATGACTTCCCCGACTTAAATGTGCCGAATTTCACAAGTTTTTTTTCCACTGCATTTCTGCGGGCAACCACCATGTCTTCAGCAACGAAATCCTTGGGTTAAAAATGTAGTACCGAGTCCCTCACAGCCACGATTCATTCTTCACTGGGTGTGTAATGACCGATTAGAACTGAAACACTTGAATTGAAACTTGCCGATTTGAAATGAACCTTAATGCAAAACTCAGGGTGGACCCTTTGACAGACTTAGCTGGAATCAAGAGAGAATAAGTTAAAGTTCCCTCATTTTTTCTTGCTGGAATAAAAAGTTTGAAGTGCCTCGAAGAAATTCGACTGAATGGCTGAGCAGCTTGGTAAGCGCATTATAACGGAACTTATTTCAGCCAGACATGACGATATGCCGAAAAACCACACTATAAAAGCCGCTATGGAGTATGCCTACAAGCGGATAGATCAGAGTACACTAATTAAAAAAAACAGACAGAATATTATAACTTTAAAGCATATTTCGAATAATTTTTTAAGATAACAGTGATAATATGTGTACCTTTACGTCAAACAGAGCGCTTTCTTTTCTTCTTTTGAATTAGAGTCCCAGGTGAATAACGCCAGAACAAAAAGATTCAAATCATGCATGAAATGGTGACGTCAAAATACTGCCTTTACCTCTAAAGAATTGTGTTGTCTGTTGCTGTATGCTATCCAAAAGCGAACATACTTTTACAGTCCTACGTTTGCCAGAAAACGCGTGAAGTCGGCAAGTCAGAGGCGTGCGACTGGCTAGCAGCGGATCAGCTACTGTCTTTGTCCCATGTAAGTGATCCTCTCAACACTATTAATCAATGTTATTCTAAAGCGTCATGGCGCTTGAACAATTTGATTTATCTGATAGCTTAGGTTGACTTAGAATGTAAGACAACCGAACAGTGATCGCGTTTTTCATGTTTACGTCGAGACTTTTCTCAGTGCTCCCATTCAACTTGATTTCGTTTACGTAGGTGGGGCAGAAAGGGATAATTCCTTTATTAGCGTCAACGTTTGAGCTTTATAATTAGTTGGGTTCTGTCAACATAGTTATAGCCAGGTATAGTATATACCTCACAAGGCGAGCGTAGCTTGAATGAGCTTTCTTTTTAACGTCTTTTTCATGGCAAAAGAAGAGTCTTAGGTGAAATCAGTCAACAAATATACAGTATAACTGGATCAGAAAAGGGCGCGAAATCCATACAGGTTTTGCATTCACAACTTTTCCAATACTCGGGGTTTGTTTACTCTTTATTATGCTCGAGGTTGTGGCTCGCACAAGGGAACTACTGTTGTACGTAAAAAAAAGTTTACAGAGCCCATGCTTTTGAAGTATCAAATCATCAAGTTTTAAGTCGAACTACGGGACAGTCTGAGTTCAGGGTCAGAGACGTGCACCGCTGCGGATTCGTCAGAGTTGCGCTCAATAATATTGTATTGACTTAGTAACATTGGACAAAGCCCAACCCTGATTCTCACTTCCTCCACAAAAATTACAATATGAAAGAAAAGTAATTCTCGATTTCTTTCAAATAGCGTCACTTGTTTGACTTACGCAAAATGGTTGCAAAATCATCAAGAAACCATATTAGCAAAAAAAGATCCGCGTTTGCTTGTGGACATAGTAATCATTATTTTGCAGTGAAGTTTTATTTACGGCAAAATCGCTTTGAAAGGATTAAGGGGATACCTTATGTACTTTTGGCGGCTTTCCGCACGATTGAGTTATTTGGATTCTAGAGATTTGTCATATCTGTTAATAGACCAGCCCGCGCCGTTTAATTAATAACGCAACTCTGTTGTCCGTGTGTCCAATGAAATGGAAGTCAAATAATCAAGTTAATACAACTAGACATTTCCTTGACAGTTTCATTGTTTATTTTCGTTGCCATGCGCATAACATCACTTTTTGGACATGAGTTTCTGTCCGCGACTCAAGTGTGCAAAATAAAAATTATATTACAAATGTAAGAGACATCTTGGTGCTCCCTTTTTGAGCCCAGTTTTTAGATGTTTATCGAGAGAGGGTCTGGGTCAAAGATAGCGATACGTACGTCCTTAAAGCAATTGATTGAAGGGTCCTTGGGCGCCGAGGATATCCGGTGACTTCGTAGATAGATGGCCAGAGAAGCGAGCTGTCCGTAGTGTGTACATTCCGCAAGCATCTCAAATGTTCAACCTGTGTGGCTCGTATTTCAATTGTGAGCGTGCTGAGGACAGTAATGTTTGCTTCGTGAAGCGGAGAATGAGTAATGTAGCGTGGAGCAAAAACGATGAACGCTGAAGAATTTTATGAGGGACTCTCTGCCCAAGATAAAGTTGCAGGTAGTGTTTGCTAGCGCGGACATATCAGTGTTGCGTATTTTAATATTTTAAACCTGTTGATACAGAACCCGCACGCTTTTGTAGTATCATTCGCGCACCGTATGCAGGTTATTCATCATTCACAGCGAGTCACTGCTGTGTATAAAATATTCTTAGCTTCTTAGCTTTCTTAGCTAGTACATTTAGGGAAAGTCTAATTAGGTTGTTCTACGAAGCGAATCAATTATCACAAGCAATAACTTTAGCGACGCTTTTAATTTCGCAGTGATAAAATTTGCCTTGCCTGGTATCGACACGTTTCTAGAAGACGTTTTAGAGGAAGAAAACCTCAGCGAGAAAGGAGAGAAAATACGGCTCGACTTTGTGAAGATTTTCGACGAACTCGGGTCAACTGCACACGTGAGAGAAATTGTTACTTCACAGAATAGCGAGCAAAAACAATCGCCAGGAGCTTGTAGGAGGCGGTCAAGGGATGACGACCTTTATACAACACACAGTTATGAAATACAAACGCATTGGGATGAGCGAGAAACAGCTGTTGTAGAAGACAAGGTATTTATTTATCTAAATATTTAATTTTTTTCGATATGCTTGTTTCGAGTTAACACAAACTCTGGTATACCGTGAGTAATCGCGCGCTTTAACGCACTACAAATCCCTAAACAAAAAACGCAAATCAAGTTCAGATGTACGAGGTTACTTCCCAACCCTCACATGAACTCTGCCTTGCACATGTTTTTATCCTCCCCGACAATCGCTGTAGTTGGTTGTTTTTTTCCCTGAAGGTATTTTTTAAGCTCTTTGCGGAGCGATTGCTGTTTTGAGTGACATTGACCTGTTTGACAATATCAAGAACCGCAATTCCGATAGGACAATTATCTTATTCGGTCGTTGATCGGATAGGAAACCAACTAACCTTTGCTAATAGTTTCCCACCGTCGAAAAACAAGCCTGGGAAAATTAGCAGATCGTTGTAAGATGACAAATTCCTAAACTTGTATGTAAGCGATTCGCTTAGCTTGTTTCCCTTTGGTAATGCGTTAAAAGGAAGTGGGCCAATTATCGAAATTGTTCGCAGGAAACATAAAATTTACAAATTTATTTGGGTTTCCCTCCTTGTTGTTATTTCTTCATTCTTTACTCAGGGAAAATACCTTTAACGTGGAGGTTATTTTTGTACCGTATTGATCAAATTTTGTAGTGTTCAACTTTAATATAGGAGTACATTAAAAATTAATACCAAGTACTAAAAAACGTGTTCCAGAGGAATGCATTTCAGATCGAATATTGCGTTGGTTGTGGACCGCGAATGGAATATTTCCGCTTTAGAATATTTCGAGCAAATTATTTCAAATTTTGTGCACGTAGCAGCCCTTTGTTCAGTATAACTGAGAAACATTCATTCATTCATTTCATATCGGTTGGATCGATTTCTGTTTGTATTAGTATTGTGTTTATCTCCGATAGACGCAGCTTGTGTGGTTCACGCAACCCTGACCTTTGCGAGAACAATAAAAAGGGATTTATTTATAATTAATTTTCAATCAAAAGATTTACTTCAATGGAAGTTCAAGGAAAGTTGTTTGTGGTTAAGGTGGAAGAAAATTGATTGTTGAATGTGCTCGTGATTGCTCGGTAGGAGTTTTTGTTTAGAACATATATTTTTTCGCTTGAGAAACTTTGCACTGTCGCTTGGCCCAAAGGCTCCGGCCCAGTGCTGAGACAGAAAGATTAACCCAATTAATCATCCTGTTAATCGTGGTTTTCGGCGCTTTTTGATTTTTTCTTTTTAAGAAAGGGAAGCCCGAGATGTGATTACTGTTTTTTTCGCGGGCCTCCTTTTTTTGAATCCTCCTGCGATTGTAATTTGAACGTTTTCCCTTGAAAGGCTTCTTGTTTGATGAAAGCGATACATATCATTAGTCTGGAATACTGAAATAATAACATTTATAACAACAGGGTTAAACTAATATAACAAAAATTATATTAATTTAATAACTTGCCTTCTTGACTCCTGAAAAACGGTGCGTGGTTTTTATATTGACAAAATAATTATTAACTGCTAGGGCAATATCAGAAAATTCTTCTTGACTCAGTGATACAGCATTTTATTGCCAAATTATTTTAAACTTTGTCTAATTAAAGCAACACTCAAACCAAGAAAAAAAATGTTAAGTTAAAATATCAAAGAGTTCTAACTTGGATTTTAATAAACATTGTGTTTTGAAAGAAATTATTTTTATTTATTGTTTTTAGAAGGAGTGACTTTGAAAAAAGATTTTGTACCATTTTCAGTTAGTTTAATAGAACTTATGCTCTCACTATACATATTGCATTTCTTACAAAAATATTTATGCTAAGCTTTCAAGATACAGAAGATACTTGCCTCCATAATCAATCACAAGGTCAAAGAGTAACTTATACTAGTAACATACTTGTTCAGTGGTGTGATAGTCTGTCGCATTCTGTGCATAACATACACAATACTGGAATATAACTGATCTACCATATGTTGTTGACAATTGAGTCATTCAGCTGCAATTAATTGATTGTGTACTGTTTCAGCATTTGCTTTTAAAAAATCACTAACCTGCAGTCATGTCCTCTCTATACCTCTATATATGTGTCTCGCAGGTTAGTGTAGATAATTGTGGGGTAGTGAAATAGGACTCAAGTAAGGTCTACATGCAGGAACCCTTGCTGCATCTAGTCAATAGCAAGCCTTCTGCTCTAAAAGGAAACTGTAAGGAGCCCAATGTTCTGAAGCCGTTAAATCCAGGGTGCCCTGCATATGATTTTAATGCAGTGCAAATTCCCTAGTTGCCCAAGAGCAAAAGTTAGGCACAAGGGGCCTTTGAGCTAGTGCACAGCACTGAATAAACTCCACTGTATGGTTCTACACGTATAAATATAGCTGTATCTTTCTAGTTTTGGGAAGCTCCTTATTTCATACCAAATACACCAAATACATGTACGTTGTCTGCTAGACTTCAAAAATGTTCTTGCCGGGCTTTAAACATGCAGAAAGTCCAACTGAAAAAAAGAAAAACTGTGTAATTGAACCTCCATTAAGGTGATCAAGCTGCCACTGCACCCTCGGGGTATCAGCAAGTGGCCACTTAATGGAGGTTGGCTGCTCAACAGAGATTCGTCATAAATAAAAAAAAAAATTAGCATAATCTTTAGCAGAAACATCACGTTGTTTTGAAACAAATGTGTGACGGGAGAAGCATTGCTGGTCCAAAATTGGTCGTCACCTTCTACCTCGGACTGTATTTTCCTTCTCCATATTCTTGAGATAAAGCCAAACTAATAAATTATTGTCTCTAGCGACTGATGGTTTAAAGAAACTTCCTTTGGTGATATGGTTTTGTAAGGTAAATCCAGCTGACCTCAAGGTTATCTTATTTTCACTGTCGGATCTGATCAGATTCAGGAAATACACTTATAATATTAAAGTGATAAAGTTCTGAATAACTGAGTATTATTTAATCTTGTCTCATCATTTCTAACATATCGTCTTACTTGTTGATTAGTACTAAGGGTAAATACCATTCACCAACAGGAAAGTTCCAACAATTCACTATGCCGAAAAGGAACAGATAGCACGGAGGAGAGTGGCATCTTCCTACACAGTTCATCGTTTCCACAGTCAGATGAAACAGTGCTTAAAAATACCCTTAATCTACCTATGTTAGATTCGGTAGATGCCTGGTCAAGAGACTCAATCATTTCGGACACTGGCAGTGCAGAGTTCGAACTCCTTGATGCCTGGGAAAGTGATGCAAATGGAAACGAGGAAGGCTATTTCACAGAAGACAATGTTTTTGTTGACTACTCAGTTCACAAACTTGACCTACAGCCAAATGAGCTGGGAGATTTCCATAGTGGTGTTCTGTATATAAGGGAACATCCTGGCTGGCATAAAAGATGGTTTACTATTAACAGTCACTGCTTAACATGTTTTCGACACCGTTCAGAGACTAAGATGTTGTTTCAAATCCCACTGAGGGGTGCAAGAATCATTCCAACAGACAGAAAGAAAAGTCGCATGTTCCCAATTACTTTGTCTATTCCTAGAATACGTGAGACTATCACTTTTGCAACAACAGAAGAACGTTCTAGGCAAGAGTGGGCTTATGCTGTGAGTTATGTTATTTCGAGACTTGCTGAGGATGAGGATAGTCCTGACTTACCCGAAAGCCACTCATTTGTTTCTTTTGATACGTACCTCAAACTTGTAGGGAAAGAATCAGATCCAGATAGAAATAACCTTAGCATTGAAGCACTTGAACAATCTCGACAAAGAAAGCTCTCAGGCTGTCTTGATATTCCCAAAGTGTTGGAACCTCATTGCATTAGTAAGAAAGAAAGTAAGGAGAGTACTCATTCAAATATGTTTGACTCATCTTTGGCTCAGTGGAGAATTGGACTTGATGATGAAGATGAGGTGCTTTTAATGGACGATGATCTTGCTCCAGGTCTGAATGAAGAGGAGTCATTTAAGGAGCTGCAAGAGGTATAATTTTACTGAGAATATGATTTTATAATGGCTTATATTAAACAAAAGCAACATAACCTGTCGACTTGCCCACAAGGGGACTTTTTGTAGCAAAAAGTCAGCTAAAATGAGCAAGACATAAGCTGCTTCACTCAGGTTCTGCCGCTACCAAATGATTGATGATATTTGTTATTATATTAGTCAGTTTTAGGATGGCTATGATTACAACTATTGCAATCACATTTTAGTAATAAATGCATCTCTTTAACAAATATGGAAGGTTTCCATAAGATTACCAAGGTAACTACAATCATTTAGATTACTGGACGTTTTTCAGTGATCAAATTACCAAGGTTTTGTTGAAAAAATTGAGGGGACAATTGAAATGGAATTGACAATGTGGATCGCCAAAATTCACACTTACTTCTCACTTAGGGCAAAATGTTGGCTTAGGGGAGGGGTATGTGGGCAGTTTCCCAGAAATGTGTAATGATCCGACAATGTTTACTGTGCACACCTGCAATAATTATCCGTGTGTACTGCCATTTGCAGATACTTCCAGATATTATACAAGGATGTAAGATGTCAAGCACTGGAGGGAAAAAGAAAAAGAAGGTCACCAAAGCCAACTCCTTAGGAAAAGTTGGTGAGTTAGAAAAATTGTTGATAGGGGTGCTGATTTGTTTACTTTCCATACTGGTAAACTGTAGCATCACGCTCTGTTGAGTGCCCTGTGAACAGGGTTTTATCTACAGTGTTGATTTATAACTAATATTAGCTAATTCATTTGTTGATTTAAGTAATTTCAATAAATTTATTTGATTAACGGTAATTTAATTTTGTAATTTACTGTAGGTTCAGAAATCTTGACCGGAATTAGCTTCATGTCTATGACTAATAGTGAAGGGAAGTCATCTTCAACCTCTGATCTTCAAATTCCTGACTCAAAAGTGAAAAGACATGGCTCGTTAGTGAATTCTTTGTCATCTAAAGCCATGCGTGTAAAATCCAGAATAACAGGATCTTTCTTCAGTAAAGGTAGGTAGTTTGATTACCAGGGTTCTCGTTTTTAAAAGTCCAGGAGGGTCTAGGATGTATAAGTAGGCGGCTCTCAGGTAACTGAGCGCTCTATGGACAGTTTCATATCACCACAAATTAATACACTGAGACGTAAAGTATTATATCAGATGCTGATAAATGGTAAAGAAAAGTAATACATGAAATGAAAGGCATATTTAATGTTTTAATACACTTAGGTCGCAAAGACGACAAAGGCCCGCGCGATTTGTCATCATTTCAAAGTACCACATTCTCTGGATATTTACTTCGAAAGAAAGGACTAAACTGGAAAAATCGTTGGTGTGTAGTAAAGGAACATCAGCTTTTCTGTTACAAAGACTTCGGCATCGGTACAGCGGAGCTGGAAGTTCCTTTACAAGACACTTTAATAAGAACATTGGAAGAAAACGATCCAGAAAAACCACACATGTTTGTATTAGTTTGTGACAAGGAAGAGCTTTTATTTGCGGCTGAAAATGAAGCTGAGCTTGAGGAATGGATCACGGTTTTAAAGGATGAAATTGAGACCAAAGAACGTTCATCTGGTGAGTAGTGTTGTATATTAAGAGGAAATTTTCTGTTTTCCATAATCTATTTGATATTTGGGCTGTGGACTTCGAGCGATCGATCGCAGAAAAACAGCTGCCTAATTTAAGCTTAATTTCTTGAGAAAAATTGCTCTCCTTAAAAGCAATTCTCAATTTGTATTTTTTCTTATGTACTTACCTTTTAAAGTCCCTCTTTCAGCTTGTCAACGTTTGATAATTAAGGTTAAGTTCATTTTTTTTTTCACTCACAATCAGATAATGTCGATAATCAACTTATCCTACCGTGCGTCTAGCTCCGCGTCTCCCTTCCCGTCCCCACTCCCTCGCATAATCAGTCTGTTTATCTGGGTTCATCTGGGTAAGCTTAAAGGGTGCGGTTCCGTTTTCGAATTTCCGAAGGGAGGGGTTTCTTTTCGGGATGGAATTATACCGTGTGCTTCATATTACGTCCTGCAGATTAAAAATAGCCTAAAGAGAGCGGGGGGATACAGTGGTTCGTTCCGACTTTAGTCCTCGTCTATGTGTTCAGTATCATCACGACATATCGTATTTACAGCATAGCCTATCCACGCGAAACTCCGCTAAATAGATATTCTCGTCGGAACTACCCTACCAATACACAGGGATCATTACGATAAAGAATCAATTTGTGAGAAAATGTTTCTCATAATAACGTGTTCATTTGATAACACTACTTTCTTTTTGACTCAAAGTCTTTTTGACTGCTATAAGAGCTACTGCCACGTGTTTTTGACATTATCCTCTGATATGGGACTCCTGATTGACAACTTTATTCTCTCAACTTCATTGATTGTTTGAAAGAGTACTGATATTATATGAGGGCGGATTGTGAAATTAGGCAGGCTATAGAATGTGACAAAAATATACAGTAAATTGGTACGTGACCATCGATAAAAACTTAAACACGTACAAGTAAACCAAAAAAAACTATTAATACAGTGAACATCATTTAAACCGGACAGTTTAGACCGACGAAAATAAAATTTTCGCCCAATAGGATGAAGAAAAGGAAGAGAAATTGGGCCGCCTCAACCCGGCGACAACCAACACTTGTATCTTCTTAATTAAGAAACGGAATGACGTCAAGTGTACACATCGGAGCCGCGTAAGTGACGACAAACCGACCGGAACTGGCGTGAACCTACGCTGTGTATATATATAAACGAACAAAAGTGTAACCGACCATTTCAACAGCACAGAAATAGCGAACTAAATTATGTCACGTATATAACAACAGCTATCAAACATTTTGGCCTTAAAATGTTCGTTGTAATGAGATTACAGTTTGCTAAGCCCTTCGCCAAATCTTGCCTCGCAGCTTCCCTTGGAGACCCAGCGGAGAGAAACCAGTCAACGGCTTCTTTAACAGCGAAACGCTCTGACCTGACCTCTTTAGGGAGCCCTTCATTGTCGGAGAACAAAGCCAAGGAATCTGGTAAAAGAAGCAAGGATCCTTCACCTGTTATTGGCAAAAAGTCGTCTATTCTCAGTTCTTTAGGCCATAAACTAACCAAGTCAAAACCTAAAGATGTTCCCAGTGGCTCGCTTCACTTCCCTTCAGCAGATCTTAGCGCAAGTAACAGCATCGAAGATGGCTTCGTTGTAGTTAAACATGCATCTAACGTTGACGGCAACCAAAGTAAGGCGGGTTTTAATGGTCTTATTAAAAAAGGGTAAACAGAAAACTGCTTTTACAGCGTACAGCAACTTCTTGTTGTCGTGAAAATGTGTCTCAGATTTATCACGGAAAGGTTGGGAATGGCATGAACTTACTTACTAGCAAATTTTAGCAAAAACTGTTGGGTTAACCTGGCGAGTGACTTAGTTTGACATCCTTTTTCTATTAAAGATCACCTTTTCCGTTCGGTACAAACAAGAGAGACCTTTCTGTCCATTAATTATATGATAGACCAGGTTAAAATTGATCAGTATTAACTCCAATACTAAAGGGGTAAAAATTGTACACAGTTAAATGCACTAGGAAACAGAGATGTCACACGTGAAAGAATTCAAGAGTCAAGATTTTTCGAGAGTTTCGCGTTAAATCCTTTGCCTTCCCTTTTCGTGTTAATTCGGCATCACATTAGCACCGTAATTATTCAAGCGCAACAATGCAACAAAACATGGGCCGGGTGAGTACGTGACAAATGGAACGACGCCAACGCACGTCAGTATTGTTCCGTTTCCTTCTCGCATTCTCAGCCCACCTGTTGAACAGTTGTGTCTGGTCGAGGGAGTTAAAAGTCTTCTCTCCTTCTGTTTGTTTTGTTGTTTTGTTTTGTTTTTTCTTTTTTTTTCATTTGTCTTTTTTTTTTTCTGATTTATTTTAATTTCTTTTTGTTTTGTTTTGTTTTGTTGTTTTTTTCTAAATGATATTGCTTTTATCAGTGCTAGATATTTGTACCGTTAGCTTGAAATTTACTCTAAAAGTTGTGTACAGGAGTGAAACTTTTTTGAAAAATTATTTTCTGCGAAAAAAAAAAACAGAACAAAGAAGGAAAAGGGAAAAGGGAAACTTTTGTCTGATAACCTTGCAGTGTAAACCGGCGTGACCTTCTTTAATGCAAGGCAAGCGAAGCATAAAATTTGGCTTATTAAGTTCCATCGCGTCTCTGTTGAAAAGAACTTACGTTGATACCGGCTTATTGCACGAGATGTACTACTTCTTTTAATCTAAATTTTACACGCGATTACTTGATCGAGTAAATACCGTTGATAAAACAGCGATATAATTTACATCAAGCATTCTGTAAATCTCTTTATATGAGGGGTAACAGATTTATCGGTAATTTTTCCCTTCAGTAAAAGCCATTAATCCAGTCACTTCAAACACGCGTGTACATACGTCATAACCTTTTTATTTTGTGATTTTCTTTATTCCAGGTGACTCAACTGTAACAGAAAAACCCAGTGAAGTTGAAAGGCTTAAAGTGTCCTCTTCTCATTCCATGGAAGGTTTTCTAAATCAACGTGTAGAAGAGGACATATGGCTAAAATGTTGGGTAAGTCAGCTTGCTCTCTCGTCTTTTCTTCCGTCCTTCTTGATGCGATGTTGTAAGGACGCTGCGTGACTGTAGTTGTCACCTTTTTTGATGTGCGTAACGTAGTCAATTTTCTTAATCAACTTAAAGGGAAAATAATTATCTATACAACATTTTGCCCGCTGTGCTTTTGTTAAATTATATTGTAGTTTGAAAGCTTCAATGTGTTGATGTTACGGGACCTTGTGACTGGAGTTATCATTCAAGTTTTGAACTTGATCTAAGTCCGAGGAGTGAAAATATGAGAATCTTAGTTCGCACAAAGTTGCAACCTTTTCAAAAGATTAAACTGTTTACTTTGTAGGTTAAATTGTTTCTCGCTTTCACTAGAGTCAGTCAAAATTGATATAGTAGGGTACATATGTGGGATTGTCACATGTTGACTTAACTTAGCTCTATTAAGGATTAAAAAGGTTATAAACTTGTACTCAAAATTGTAATATGAACGGCATTTTATTTTGCGTAATAACCCATTATCTTCGTGCTAAACATTATAACAACAGTTTCAGGGTCATTATCATAGCATTCATACTTGTTTGACTGATAATTTGCATCTGCATACTGATGATGAAGCTAATTTGGTACTAGAACGTTATTGGTTATTATTATTATTATGTGTAGCCAACTGACAGGGTACACCTCTAATGATCGTTGTTCTTCTCTTTTAAGGTGAAGCTTGAAAACCACATGCTTAAAATTCACGACGAGAAAGACAGTACAGAATCGGTAGTGGTTAGGATCAAGCTAAGTAACTGTGTTGTGAAGGACTGGAGTGACGCACAACGGCCGTTTGTTATGGAGATTAAGAGAGCCCTGGGTCGACCGCACTACTTACAAGCTGAGAACGAAACAGGTACTCATGCTTTGCTTATCGTCTTAGTCACACTCTAATCGCAAGCACCCTATCACCCTAAGACTTGTGCATCTCCAGGGCCCTTTGTGTACTGAATAAACTCACAGTCATGCTTGTGTACCCTGTTACAGAGTACCTTAAGTGGAAGTCGTCGATTAGTGGATCAGTAGTACATTCACCTAAAGTTAATCGCAGACCAGTTCTAACCTGGAGCTCTTTAGAGGACGACAGAACAAACCATAGACCTGCCACCTCGCTGCTGCTGAAATCAGACTCGGTTGATAGAGATGAAGTATTTCAAAATTCAGAAGAGACAGCTGTATCACATGCAGCACATCCTGTACGACCTAACACTCCTCAGAATCCATCACCACGGGTAAGAAATCATGGTTCCTTCGTTAGTAGGGCCATTTTCAACTCCAGTTTGGATTTAATTAGCAATTTTTCTTTCTGGTCTTGCATTGATTTGATTGGGTGTCTGACAAAAAAATATGGTATTGTGATACCGCAACTAGACTGAATCTGACTCTTTACCGTACACTTGGCCTGGATAAAACAGTATTGCTGTTTCATTATTTTCATCGTTGGATAAACTAACAAACAGTTCTTTTCATATTGCAGCCATCTACAGCCGGTGACGTGTCCAACTCAGAGAGTGATGATGGTGAAACCGCTGAACAAGCCAAACCGCAAGCTGCTGAGGAACCAGTGGAGAGATGGCGATCGTTTTCTGAAGGAGAGCAGGTAGTTTGTCCCCGTTTTTCATTTCTAGTGCTCCCACCGAGTCTTCAATTTCTACAATTCTTTTTATTGATTAATCATTGATACGATGAGAGGAAGTTGAAAAGCTTGACTTAAAAAAACAGTTTGAAATTACAGTTAGTAAAAAGCGAGCTTCGTCCTCAGGAACTGCCTCCATAGAAACCAGTGTAAATAGCTCTCCAGCTAAGTACTTTACGTGGGTTAAATTCCTTGTCGACCGGCTTTTAGCTTTTTTAAAAGAGGAATGACCTACGTCGAGGCATAACGTGGTACATGTTTGTAGCTGGTGTAATACGTCCCCCTTTTCTTAAGATGGCAAATAAGAGGCTGCTGGCCATGCATAAAGTTTGTAGTTTCTTTCTCTTCTTGTAGGAAAAATTTCGTTAGCGAAACAGTATTTTAACAAAGTGATTCTTGTAAAAATTCAAGAACATTGCCGTTTGAGGGTCCTTTATTGACGAAAGAACTCAAAATTATTATTTTTAAAAGATTTTTTTAAATCTAATTTACCGTTTTACTTCCCTTTTCTATACAGGAAGAAGAAAGAAAGACAAGAACTAAGCTTCATCGATCCATCTCCAATACTATCCCAGTTTTTCCGCGTTTCCCAGGCAAAAGAAAACGTCGTAGTCGAACTGTACCAAATGTTCAAGTGTCACAAGATCTTCTTGTCAATATCAAATACAGTTCATGCTTGTTCATGCGAAACGGTAGAGGTCTTTGGAGTAAACGATGGTGTGTGTTACAGGAGGATAGATTACATCTATTCAAGCGGCCAGATGAAGTTGTACCGGTCCTTACGATTCCTCTTAAGCAATGTGAAGTGCGGCGAGCCAACAAAAAAACTAAAAAGTTCACTTTCGAAGTAAACGTTCCCTCATCGAGTGAGGATTACTGTTTTGCGGCTGATGACGAAAAGAAATTGTTAAGTTGGATGAGGATGTTGAGAGCGATCGCTGACGAAGAGGAAGAGGAAAAAAGGTTTGCACTTGAATGTAAATTTTTGCTTTTAAATTCTCAACTTTATGCCGGATCCTCTAATATGATCGTTAAAAAGAAGATTCTGGCTGCTCAAGAATTTTCGTGCGGTGTTATTTGTTTAGTGGGTTTTTTAATTAATGACATTTGGGATTTGCGCTTATTTTGTTTCTATGCATTCTGTGAAGTTTAAGGTTACGTAGACAGATTGCTTTCAGTAAGTATTATTTCTTACGCGTAGTTCGTATAAAGCTTCATTTATTTTGAGATACTCGTCAGGTCGGTGAAAGATTTAATTGATTATGAACATGCATATTCATGACGCCGCCAATTTATAGTAGTGGTACGTGGTACGTACATAAAAAAGTGTACATCTTGACTGCTTTGGAGCCGATGGGACTCATAATTTGGAAAGTCACCAGATAAAAGTGGACGTTTGCCAACAGTGTAGTTATTTTTTGGATACTTTTTAACCCTGGAGAAATACACATTTATAAATCACACAAACCGGCAAAATTTGGAAAACTTGACTCTATGAACCACAAGGGTGCTCTTCGAATAGAACACAATGAAAACACTACCAGTTGATTTTACTGAAAATGATCAGTCAACCCCCCCCTCCCCTGAGGTTTTGGTGTTTTACAAGTTAAACAATCACAGAGGTGTAAGTGATTTAAAGAGCAAAGTTTCCTTTCTGATAGTGTTTTCTATTTTTCCTGATCTATGCATGATATCTTGCACGCTTGTTGATGTCATTCTTCGCAACTACAACCATGTTATCATTGTTATCAGTAACTATTGAAACCACTTGTTCTTGAACAATGAATTTTTGTTCTGATTGTAATCTTTTATTCTTCTCCGCAGTTTTTCAAAGGAACAGAGTGAATCCATAAACAGTGTGGCAGTGCAAGACACCCGCCAACACCACGAATCAGAGACTTCACAGCTCACAAGCCATTCTACAGCTGTCGCTGAGCGAAATGATGACGAAACTCTTGAACCAGTTGCTAGTAATTCCGAGGATCTTTCCGGAGAACAACTTACCGTAAGTGGCAAGACTGAAGGGTCATCTTTACCAAGTCCCATCAGTCTCTCTGCTGCCGTGAGGCCTACGTCGCTGGATGGTGTACTTAAACTCCTTCAGGATCAGCAATTAATTCAACAACTTGGCCAACAAAAGTTCAACCAAGCTAAACGGGCTCAAAACGCGTGGCGAAGGTCAGCGGCTGCTGCGTTAAAAGAGCAGCGGTCTGGGTCCAGAACTGCAGATGTGGAGAAACCCGAGCCTACATTTCCAAGTACAGCGGTTGATTCAAGGAGGAGGACAAAGTCCATGTCAATGGCTCAATCACCATATAAGGATATAATTCCATCGTCACCTTACCAAGGAGCCAATGAAGTCATAGAACAATTTGAAAAACTCGCCGAGGAGGAGAAACTAAGGACTTTGAAAAAGGAAACATTGTTGAAAAAGCGACGAAATTCACTCACGCTTGAGAAAGATGTGTTGAAAAAGAAGATGTCTAAACAGAACGAAAAGAAAAACACTGTCAAAAAATTCCTAGGTAAAGATGAAATAACGAGCGTCGAGGATAAACATCGCGTCGAAGAAAGACTTCAGCAAGTAGATCAGGAATTGGCAACCATCGAGAGAGACTTGATGGATAATAAAAAGAACGAAGCGCAAGTTTTGGACAATATTAATGTTATGAAAACAAAAACAGTGAGAAAGCTATCGTTTGTTAGTCGGCCGTCTTGCAACATGGCAGATCAAAGAAGAGAAGCGTACAAAAGTTCTCATTCCGAATCGTCATCTTCTCAAGGTTCCACAGAAGAAAGACCTGGTAAAGAATCACCAAAAGCACAACATTCATTTGCTGCACGCAAGCAGAGCGCGGCTGTATCACTGGCTGTGCTCGAGAAAGAACTGAGAAAAATTTCTCCTGCTGGTGGCCGAAAATTAACACTTATCAATAATAACTACGTGAACAAAGAGATGAGGTCGGGACGAGTATCAGTGTCGTCAGAGGGCTCAGCTCCGGATGACTTCGCTCGTAAGGACTCGCCAATAAGCAACAAGAAATGGACGACAGAAAAGCGAATGTCTTCTGGTTCCGATGGCTCCATCGGCGAACAGTCGTCTCTTCCGAAAGCAAGTTTCTCCGATAGCGCCGAGTTGAGGCGGAAAAGATATTCAGCATCTGGCTCACAAGTGGCATTTCACAATGTCTCCGTAGAAATTCCTACTGATGACGAAAACAAGCCGGAAGAAGGAAAGCACAGGTTGTCCGTTACTTCCCAGAAAGGCCTGGATGAAGGAATGTCTCGAAAGTCGTCAGTTTCGTCAGAGAAAGGTTCTGAGGGCCACCGTGTCACATTGATGAATGCTTTGTCGCAGATCAAGGTACGTGTCACATCTTTGTTAGATCGGGGCTAGTTATCCATTTTGAGAAAATGGAAGTCAACTATTTTTTTCATTTACGTAGGTTTTGTAGTGCTGGAAGTTAAAAACCTGTTCGCCACTCTGGGGTTGTCCCTGTTAATGGGCACTGAGAATTATCTTGTTCCACAGAAAAGAATAAATAATATGCGCAATAAATTTGACAAAATTTTAAAGGTTTAGAGGGCTGTTAAATGATTTCCGGTATTCACCATTTTCTCGTAGATCATAGTGCACCTTGTTTACCCCCCAAACTTTTGCATAACTATTGTCTTCGATTTTGATGTAATTTTTTTTGGTGGGGCGGTGGGGGGAACAAGGTGTATTATGGTCTATGTAAAAATGGTGAATGACCTGCTCTTGGGAATGTTTCCTTGTTGTCTTATTATTCGAGAGAATCAATTTTATTCCCAATGGGGAATCCGTGCATTGATTGCACTGGCCTGACGTACATTTGACTGAATTGACTTTCTGTTTTCCAGGACTTTGAAGAATTTGCTGCTGTTTCTACAACTGAAAGGTGTTCCAAATGAAGTGATGGTACGACGAAAGGCGATTCGCTTGAACCTCAGTTTAAAGTGAGAACTCACTGTAGATACATGATGATCCAAAGCCAATTCAACTATTAATAATGATTTATACTAATGAGACCATAAGATGTAAACTAATAACAAATTTAGTTAGGGTCAGATATGTTAGTGATGTGATATGAAATACTGTTGATGATGTACGTTGCCTCTTAACCTTTGGTGATTCTGTTTTCATTTTCTGTTCGCGGATTGTAGTACAAGTTATAAAAAAACTCCAGATCTCAATTTTTTCGACACGTACGGAATGCCATGTTTTATTTTTATGCTCCTTTTCCATGAAAAGCTTGCCAAAGTAGTATCACTATATACAGTGATGACACAACAAACCCATTTTGCGACGAGCCTTAATTTGTCAAAAACCTCCACGGTAAAATAAAATGTTAATTAGGGCTTCACAATAGTGCACCCTGATGTATGACGTCTTCATGCATCACAGAAAGAGTACTGCAGCAATGTCAGATCAGTGCCAGAGTTGGGTTTAGCTAATTGATACTCTTACTCTCTAATCGTGAATGGCTATGTACTGTGCTTTTACCTTTTTGTGTTTGTTAATGTTGTTGTTTTCGTAAAGAAAAGAGAAAGAATCGGTTGTTGTGGTCTAGGCCCTCTTGAATGCCACTTTGAAAGGACATTTTTCTTGCTTCCTTTGTTAAGATATAGTCCTTCCTGGCCGTATTCAAATCAGCTACGAAGGCTGCTCCTGATTATTCATAGGCTCATTTTCGGTGATACAACTCGAGATCTTCTTCCTTTTGACACGGGTTTAGCCCTCGGGAACTGTTTTTATAGAGTCTACTTACCAAACTCTGTTAAAGGTATTGGTTAAAAAAGGATAAACATTATTGAATTGGACCATGACATATTTATTGAAACATTTTTGATATGCTCTTGCTGTAAATAACTTTGCTCGGCGTTAAATCAATACTTTATACGCATACGCAGGTTAAAAAAATAATGTGTACGATAATTGCGAATTATTTTGTGAAATGACTTTTAATCTCACGAAGAAGAACCTATTTGATATAGATTTGATATAAGTATTACAAATGCGATATATGATAATAAAGACAGTTTATACTATTTTGCTCTGGAATTCAGTTTTTACCCGTTCCTATGTGTAAAACTTTTGTGGGATCCTCAGTCACTGCCGTAGAACCACAGGTAGCCCAAGCTCAAAATATGAGCATCGGCATTGTCGCGTAACATTCGAAGAAACAATGCCGATGCTCATATTTCGAGCTTGTGCCACCTGTGGTTGAACCTAATAAAAGTGTGCAAGCTTAATTGGCGCAGGTGGATCACAGGGGGAGAACAAGCAAGCTTGTACCACTGTCTCTTCCCTTGGTAGGCAAACTCGTCCCCAGGGACCCTAGGACTTTTCCTTTCCTGGGCACGAGGTTGCTTGGTATAGGGACCCCACCCTTTCCCTTCTGCCAATTTCCTTAGGGGAGGGTGGGGTGCAAATATACCCTGGTTATGGTAGTCATTGATGAAACCCCGTACAGAACAGCTTCAGTGCCCTACTTTTGACATGTTTTATTAAAATCGGAACGAAAGAACAAAAAAATGCATGTTCTGGGCTATTCGTAAGACTGTTTCAAACATGGAAACTATGCGTACAAGTAGTCCATAAGCCTTTATAAAGTTGATTCATATATATTCATATATCAGCAAAGAATTCCACAAAATATTCCCTATAAATCTCGCAGTTGACAAACAAGAAATGTTGCGCTCCCTTCTTTTTCGATTTTATTATATTTATACCAAACTACCTTATCATCATCACCCAACGACGTCAATGAATTAAACCAAATTAAAAGTAGACACCTGTTAAAATAAATCCTATTACATAGCACGTGGCCAGCCAGACCCCAGCCATTGTAACTGTTTTTAGCATTGTTCTGTAGTCCTTGGGAATCAAATATGCGCTGATATCTATTGTAATATGAAATAAACAATAAGACAAGAACAAGTAAATTATGGTGGCCAAAGCAAAATTAAGCAGTGGATATTCCGGAATGAAGGAAATTAAAAACCTAGCATTGCCTTGGAGATAAATGTGCAACTGTGAGATGTAAGTTTCTAAGGTGATTTTTCCCAGCCAGGTAAACATGTGAAGGTAGTGTTTGCGAAGAAACGGGAACATGTTGCGCAGAAAGATGTAGGATAGCAGTGGAATAAAAGAAAAGTATGGGTGTACCTTGTTATACTCGTACTTTTCACGCATAAAAATGAACGTTACCCAAAGAGTGAACGATAAAACGCAAATAAATGCGATCCCAAATCGTATTACTTTACGTTGGGCAATTGGCTTTTCATCCAGGTATCCCATGAGCCTTTCAAAGTTGGGATGATAATATGCACAGAGCATGCCTAACAGTGTTGCGTAGTGGTCCAGTCCCGCTCGGAACATCCACTCATGAAGAGAATTCTCGTAATTAAGGATAAAGCTAAAAGGTTTAAAAAATATTTCACCAACTTTTGGCACATCAAACAACAGAAAAACGATAAGAAAATAGACAATAAATTTGACGGCCATCTTCTTGGGGTCCTCGTTCCAACTGTTCATCAGTCTCATGAAGCAATATGTGGACAGGAACCAAAAGGTATGCATAGGACAGATGTAATATAACATATACTCGTTTCGGACTACAAAGCACGTGATCACAACCAGGAAATTCAGTCGGAAGAGCATCTTAAGGACACGGTAAAGACTAAAGTCTTTTTTAATCCAGAAAAAGGAGAAATTACCTGCAGGGTGAAAAAGTATATGATGTCATTTTATTAAGTTTATGTAAGCTAGGCATTAGCCTCGTTAAAAAATCACCATTCATTTGTTGGAGAGGTTCATATTTTGGGTATTTGGTGGGCGTTTGGGAAGCTAGAAAGTAAATTGAGAAAGGAACTTTAAAAATCATTCTTCTCGATGTTCTTTTCGCATAGTGTGGTAAATGGTCCCAACAGCTTTAAAAAAAGAGAGAGTTCGGGCGCTTAACGCAAGTAAGATGGTAGGTGTCCGTTAACCCGGATGGTGAACATGTACAAAGTTGTCGAGTTTGATTAGTTATTTTTTAAAATGGTCGAACCTCTTGCGACACAAAACTGATTTTTTTCCAGAGAGGGGACGGAGAGAGGCGGGGTGAGGCGGCTCGCTTATTGTATTATCTGATGATTAAATGGGTAACGAAAGTTACAGTATTCTGTTCAGGAAATCATCTTCAAAGTGACGATCAAGATTCAGTCAGATTCGTGCATGTGCATCGGTACCATTGCAAAAGTACTCACCAAAACCCGTCATCCAGACGTATGCCGCTATAAATACTCTAATAGCGTTGTATGTCTCGGCAGCTTTGAAGTAGTGATACCATACAAACATGACCTGCATCGAACCCTTCCATTCTTCAGTCTGCTCACGGTTTAATATCTTGTCTGCAGTCTCTTTTCTGGTAAATCCAGCGGCCACTCCAAACAGGACCAAGGTTAAAAAGAAAAAAAGGTCGCGAGAGTAAGTGCGCTCTGATGCTGGAAAGTAATGAGCGTCGTCGCACAAGAAGTAGAAGAACATAATGGATCCAAAAACAGCCACAGAGGAAAGGAAATCGTCGAGTGACGGTGTTGTTGAAGCCTGAGTCTGCAATGCTGACTTCTTGTCTCCACTGTTCTCTTGAACGATGTTCACCAAGTGTTCTTTGGTGTCTAGAGATTCCTTTTGCTTTAAAATCTCACCGTTCTCTATCATGGCCATATGGGTTTCTTTTTTAAGATCTTGAAATTAGAAAAGAACGTGTAGGATCAATTAAAACAGGACACTGATGGCTGAGCGTTTTACACTACAGATTATGAAATAACATACGATTAAATACAATACAAAACCATCTAAACAGGGAGCGAGTGGTACGTAATTGTGATCATCCGACAAATAGCAAAGGCTAATCTAGTGGATAATACCAATAAAACTATTAGACACAGGAATGATAAGAAATTTATTATGATTAAAAAATGCGCTAGTCTAGATAAGCAATTAGCGTAACAGTTATCGCATAGAGTTCTTAACTTCTTTGCCAAATAGTGTAAGAGAATTCAACTTAGTGATACTAAGCGGTCACCTTGATTTTGTTTGTTTATTGCTCTTGCCTTTTCAGTATCAGACAAATAATAATTATGGGAAATAGTTGTCAGGTTTTCTTACCACCAGGAGGAATGCGAAGTTTCATCAAGCTTGAAACTTTAAAGTACATCAGAAATTTTCGGAAAAGAGCCAGGGACATCATCGAGACCCAGAACACAAACAGGGCCTTCTGATGTATTGACAAGGGACCTTTTGAGGGCAGCTTCTCATGTCCTTCTGTTTGTGGACCCATCTAGGCGTTTTTATTGCCCACCTGTACCGTCCGGCCTACAAATAAAAACCATAAAGTATCACTCTGTCGCTACGACAACGCGGCGCGTGAAGATCTCCTCCATAGCGAAATGATTTACAGGATAACAACTGAAACATATACACGTACCCAGCGAGTTATAAAAGCAAGTAATTGATGATAATAATAATAATAATAATAATAATAATAATAATAATAAAAATAATAACAGCTGATTTCTTAAAAATCTTACACGTTAAATTTAAATTCCGGCGGGAATGTATAATAGCACCCATGGCGATACCCACGCTGACGTCACCTACCGATATTTATGTGCCAACTGGAAGCGCATTGGTTCTTGCCAATCAAAAGATTAACAGTGTTTGTAGACAGTGATGTCTCCAATAATTCGGCCTGATCTGATCTCAGGCATATAGGAAATCTTCGTCGCAAGTTGCAAAAGTCAGTAACGTAAAAATGCCACTAGCCAAGCCGATACTGAGTATTTGGCCGAGTATGAAACTCGGTACTCTTTTGTTTCAAGGAGACCTTTGACTTAACTCAAAACAATTTACTACCTGTGATTTTAATATTATCAAAACGTTTACCAGTCAGGATTCAATTAAGGTGTTCCATTCATATTTAAAGGAGATCAGCGCAAAACGCCAAATTTTCATGGGAGAAAATTATAACATGTTATAAAGGAGGTTATTTCTAATCGATTCTTGAAAATTTTACGCATATTGAATTTAATATTGGTTTCTTTTTTAATACATGTTAGTCAATTAGTTGATCCAGTTTGTTTCAAAAGTGCTACGTAAGATCACTCTACTTTCACTGATTATATCTAAGTGAGAGTACTAGATTTTGCAGTATTTTGGAAACAACTGACGTTTTCGTCTTTTGGCTGTCGTTGAAGCAAAGCGCCTTCAATAAAATGATCCGGCTTAATCACCTGATGGTGACGGTGGAACCTATTTCATCAGTGTAACTTAAACGACTCCAGTGAGTCAAATCACACCCAGAGGAGACAAAACAAAATATCAGAAAATCTAACAAATTCCAATTTCCTACCTTTAAATTCGTCAGGTGTGTTTCTGATGTAGCTTATAATTTTGACCGCCTCAAGACAAAATTTTCTTGCTATGTAAACATGTCATTACGGGTACCAGCTTTCATGTTACCATGGTTATTACATGCAACTGATGAGAATGTCGACTGACGCAAGTAAAAGCTGGCAGCTTTTCAGCCTTAATAAAACCAAAATCAATGATACTGGAAAACACCGGGAAATTTTTAGGAAAAACTAATTTTTAAGTTTGATCTTAATTGAAGTAAACTTATGTGACAGGTGATTGGTTTAGCCAGACATTAGTAGCATATGCAGCGGAGTCCTGGAGACTAGACTTTTCGCTTTGTGTTGAAGGGAGGACTGGGGAGAGGGAAAATGAATGAGCGCGGAGGGGACGATTCGGAAGTTAAATTCGGAAGGGGAAAGAGAAGAAGAGAGACCTTTTCCCTCTTCCCATCTTGCACCTCGCGGGTACTCTTTTTTTTTTCAGCTGGAGCCTCCGCGGAGGAGCGGAGAGCTCCCAATTAACAAACGGCAACCGGCCCAGCGTGCGTCAGGACGTAACGAAGACAACGCGAGGCGCGGAGGCGCACAAATCAACCTGCTGCTTGACCAATGAGCAAACGTTAATTTAAAGTAGGGGAATGACGTGAGCAGAGTGCCATGGACCACCCTCCCCTGGAGGTGAGTGTTGTAATCTGCAGGCGCAATGACGTGTCAGTGCAAATCACTTTTTGTAAAGTCCAGTTTCTTTTCGCTAAATAACTCGATTTCTATCTCAATATGAATTGCAAAATCTTTTTTTTTTATGTTATCATAAACAACCTCTTTAAATTTTCCTTCAGTATTAAGATAATAACCTTTTAAAACTATGACCCCGTCACCGGTCCGTCTCAGGTAAAATAATAGTCGGCTGGAGTAAAAACAAAATATACTGACTTGCGTAGAAATACGTACTGCTTTGACTGCCCGCTAAGTTTCGTCAACATTAACCCCTGAGCGAAAAGTAAATGGGTAATTGACCAACCAGCGCGCGAACAGGCTACAGGGAAAAGGCGGTGTAGACCTATTGTAGTCAAGTGAACAACTTAAAACTTAGCTAAAATAAATTACAGTCGGTACTCATTTGAAAATACAGTTACCCGCTAGGAGTCTGACTGTGCTTTTTCTTTCGTATTCTCAGCACGGTTAAATCTTTGTATTAAACCAGAAACCCCTTATGAGTTTCTGATTATACATAACATGGTTCAATTTTCGCTTTTGTTTAAGTTTTGTTTTCTTTTGTTTTGGGGTATAGCAGTAAAGTAAGATAAAAAGATTGAAACAAGGAAACGAAAATAATGTTTAAATCAATGGCGAAAATGAACCCCAACAAATATATCTCAGGGGGAAGAGCGCATGGCTGCCAAAAAAATGAAAGAAATAGGTAAATCTAAGTTCTCAAGCAAGAAACGTTTTGGAATCTGAAGATTCTCATCACTCACATGTAAATGAGTAAACTCGAATTTATAAATATGTAAATTTATTGGACACCGCCGAAAACTCGCTTTCGGTTGGTTTACTAACAACGGACAAATTAGCCACAGCCAGTGCACATGTACCGAGCCGTAACCGACGGAGGCAAAATATACATTTTCATACAAATTTTCAATTCATTAGTTTAGTTCGTCGCATGTGAAGATCGACGTTTTTTTTATCTGGAGACGATCTTTAGACGTTCTATCAGTCTGAAGCAGACGAATAGAACGTGTTGGACGCTCCAAACTCATTCAGACGAACTTAAGTGAGCCAGACGTCGAACTCAGTTTCATGAACTTACCTCACTAAGTTTGGTTCGTTTCATCTCAGAAAAGTTTGACGTTTGGCCCATGCATTAGATCACTACAGCGCATACAAAACAGAGAATAATATCTTAACAATATCCTCACCTTAAAAGTTGAAGTTTCTTATTGGTCGGTATTTTAAATTCTGACTGGTAATACGAACCTTTTGATAACGAAACGTTCTCCGAAACATTTGCAAGAAACTAATCTCGTGCCCAGATCTCTTGTTTACGAAGCTGAATTTCGGCCTCGTCGACAATAGATCTACTGGTACGAGATTAACAAAAAACAATATCCGAGCCTGTTGAGCATGCAAGACAAGACAAGACAAGACAAGATATTTATTATCGTAACATTACAAGTACAATTGTTTGGCACGCAGTTAGCAAGAAAACGCTAGTCGAGGCGTGCCAAATTAATTCTATTCCAAATCAGATATTATATTATAATAAGTAAAAAGCAAAGAAAGAGAAAAGAAGAAATATGTGTAATGAATTCAAAAGCAAGAAAAACAAATCTTTTTAATGCAACCTGTGAAAGAGGCTAAGGTTTAGGATTTCGCGATTTTACTCCTTGTGTTATCATGGTTGCATCCAGGTAATCATCTTTGTCTTTTAATATTTCGAAGACCACACAGATTAATTTTCGTTTGAACACTTTTTTTGACATATCTCTCATTCTACTTGGTATCTCATTCCATACTTTAGCGCCACAAATTGGGACGGCTTGTCTTAGTTTTTCAAGATTAAATTTTTTCATGTACATATTATTTTTAGAGGATGATCTTGTGTTATATTCATGAATAGATGATGCCTGCGAGAACAAGTTAACGATTTTTGAGGGTGCAGAATTAGTATGAATATGCATGCATTAGGTAAGATACGGACTTAAAAAACAGAAAGCTAATTGGCAGGATATTTGCATCAATAATAAGAGGAATGGCATGAACTTTCCTGTTGGCAAATATGAAACGGATAACTTTTTTCTGAAACAATAAGATTTTTGTTAAATGTGTTTTTGACGCCTGCCCCCAAACTATCAAACCGTAAGATAAATAAGGCAAGATTAACGCACGGTAAATATTTAGCAAGGTATGTTGAGGAACAAAGTGCCTCAATTTAGCGACTAAGCCAACCGTTTTACTTAATTTAGTAGCTACATTGTCAATGTGTATTTTCCACGAAAGATTTTTGTCAATCAGACTTGTCTCTTTGACTTGTCTCCTAACAAACTTGCAAATTATGGGGTTCGGACGACTTGAAGCTTTACGAGCAGAAACGCGGTGGGCTATATCGATATCTTGCATGGAAACATCCCTCACACCCATTGAGTGAAATAACTGTATGCATAGTTTAGCCGTCGACTCTGAGTTCTCTCGCTCCGCGAAAGTAGGCAAGCCAAAGATTTTGATGTTATACTGATAGCTGTAAGCCTGCATTTCATCAATAGCAAGGAGTAATTCATTGCGTCTGTGGTCTAAACCATTCAATGTGGCCTTGATTGACTGTAGCTGTTCCATGATTCCATCGTACTGACTATATACTTATAAGGTCAACAGATTTACTTTACCCAGGTGAAAGTGGACACGATGCGGCGCCATCTTGCGATTTGTTTTGTTTGCTTCTTTGCTTCTTTGGCTCGAGAGGGAGAGGGCATGATCTCAGGCTAGCCTCTTGGGTGCTCTCCAAACTTCCCAAGTGCGCAGTCCTCGTTGGCTCGCGTCTTCGCCGCTCAACGCTCGCGCGCGCGTGCACTCCCCTTACTAAATCTGAAGAAAAAGAGAGACTGTTCGCAGTCCAATTATTTTCGGCCACAATTTTGAGTTGCATTCCTTCCAATACAGACTCAGCCGCTCTTGTACTCAAAGCGTCGAATTCAGAAAAACTCACCCCTCACCTTTTGGCAACTTGAACGGTTTACAGTTCATTTAACACTAATTATGCGCAAATGCTTGCATGAACACTGATCCTGATATACATTTGCATATGAACTCTACACCGCTACTAGGACCTACTAGGGGAAAAGAGCACCACCGTTTTCCCAACCCAGACTCCGATCGGCTCGCTTCGCTTGTCGATTTTTTTCGCTTTTTTCCCCCACTTCGGAGCCTGTTCTCAGAATAATTCTCTACTGAATAGTTGATCTACCGATGTTTATGATTCAATCATCCAAACGATGGCAAACGTTCTCCTCAGGGTAGGTATATCTTTCACACAGTAGGGAGACTGCTTAGCATGCCAGCAAACAAAAACATCAATTTGTACCACGTGACTAAGCTTTCCCTCAATACTAGTCGTTGACTGTTCATTATATATCTCCACAAAGGAAGCTATGCCTGTTTCATCCATAAGAATCATTTTGGACCGCTTTTATCCGATTATTTCTTCATTTGAGAAATTGTCGATTTGAATCTCACTTCTCGGGTTCGTAGCCTTGTGAACGTGACTCCAAATCTGTCCATTAAAGCAAATTGGTCCCTTTTAAAAACAACTTTTACAGCTTTTTGTTACATACCTGGACAGAAACTCCTAAAAAGAAAGAAAACTCACCAATACAATTAGAAGCTGCCCAGAATTTCGAGTGAAGACTGTCACAGATGGGCGAGACTGAGCTGGACTGAATACGTGGCTATCACAAATCATCTTAATTCAGTTGACCTTAAGATTCTATGAAAGCACAGGTTTCCTGGGGTGTCAGTAAACAGCGGGGTCGGGGCCGCGGTCGGGGTCTATCTTTATTTTAAAGCGTGCTCTTTTAGGGTTAGGGCCCGGGGGGGGTACTCCCTAATATGGGCTATATAGGTATGTGCGGCCCCAAAGGGTAGGGTTTTTCAGCCGTTTTGGTCATAAATTGGGTATCGATTTTGGCTATTTTGCCGCCATTTTGATCATAAATAGGGTAACGATTTTTACACTGTAGTCTTGAATGCACTTTTTTAGAAGAAGCTACTTCCTTATCATGTCCCCCTAACCTAATAAAAGCAGATAAACATTGCCTTTAACATTGGTCTGAACTAGGGAAATAATTATAAGGCAGGTCTGAAACAGGGTATTGATTTAAGGGTCAGGTCATAAATAGGGTATCAAATTTTTAGTTTGGTCATAAATAGGGTAGGGAAAATCGCAGATTTTGGTCATAAATAGGGTAAGGGTTTTGGGAAGCGGGCCGCACACCCCTACCCAATTTTTCTGCGAGTACCCCCCCCGGGGGTTAGGGTTGACACTAACCCTAAATAACCCTAACCTAACCCTAAGCTCTAAAACAGCATTCTTTAAAAAAAGATAGACCCCGACTCTGGCCCCGCGTTTTACTGACACCCGATTTCGTGGGCGCTCCTTTATCCCAGCTTAGTTGAAAAACGCGCATGGTCAGTGGTTTAGAATACCTTATTTATTCGAATAAGCGCCCAACCTCGAATTAGCGCCCACCTCGAATACGTGCCTATCCTAAAGGCAAAAAAAGTTTATAAGCGCTCACCCCACCCCACTCCCTCTCACAAAAACTCCAATAAGAGATAATAAGATACCCTCCCGAAGACAGAGTTTTCTTAAGAGTATTGTACAGAAACCTTGCTTTGGTACATCTTCGCTTTTTGTTATTAGCATTTACTGTTTTGTTGCAAAATATACTACTACACTTGCTGAGAATGGTGAAAATTTAATAACCGCCCAGCCTCGAATAAGCACCCACTCTCAAGGTCCAAAAATTTAATAAGCGCCCAGGGCAGTTAATCGAATAAACACGGTATCTATCATTCGTGGCAGATTCTTCAAAAAGGGCAAGAAACTTCTGCTTACATTGCTCGAGGGGCAAAAACGTGAACACAAATGTCCACAAATGCATCGTATAACAATGGACTCAAAAGGCGACATGTAAAAACAGACAGGACAATGTCAAGGGAAAAAAATGATTACTAGAGAAAGAATGAAATTATGAAAGACAAGAAAAGTTTCTTTATTGAGCGCTCTCTTATGCTGGCCGGGGGAACGAAAGTCACTGGAGGATGGTTGTGTCATTCAAGAGTTTTTTAAGATCTTATTCAACCCCGATCCTACTGGGAACTGATCTTTAACTGGTTTCACCAGTTAATGACTTATATGCAAAATACTATTTACAATCAATACCGGAGGTGGGGGGGGGGGCAGACAGTGTTCGACTGCACCTTACACCAAAGACGTTTGCTTTACAGATAAAATCTACCTTAAGTACATCTGAATTTTCAACGGCCTGTTCTCTACATGTAATTGCGAGACTTTCTGCTAAAAAGTAAAACTGGCGAGACTACCCAGCTTAAAACGCTCTTTTATACATGTACTTAAAACTAAAGCGTTTTTCTTTTTTGCCTTAAGAGTTCTTTAATGACTTATATGCAAAATACTATTTACAATCAATACCGGAGGGGGGGGGGGAGGGGCAGACAGTGTTCGACTGCACCTAACACCAAAGACGTTTGCTTTACAGATAAAATCTACCTTAAGTACATATGAATTTTCAACGGCCTGTTCTCTACATGTAATTGCAAGACTTTCTGCTAAAAAGAAAACTGGAAAGACTACTCAGCTTAAAACGCTCTGAACATGCATGTACTTTAAAAACTAAAACGTTTTTCTCTTTTGACTTGAAGAGCTTTTTAAAAACCTTCGCAAGGGCGTTTGGGAAATGCATGTATACAGCTATGTAGAGAAAGGTTGTGGGAAAAAGACCACGCGACAATCCCGAAAGGTACTGTGGGTGGTTTTCAGTTTATCGTTCTTTAAAGAAATATGAAAGAATAGCACGAGAGGTCATGGAGGTATGTTTGTGAGTGCTAAAAGAAGGCAACTAAAGTAGGTTTGACGGCTACAGTGTCGGGAACAGCGTATTGATGATATCCCATATTACCTTTTAGAATTGTCGCGTGCACATTCTTTCCGACAACCTTTCTCGAAATAGTATATTTCTAGCCGATTTTGTGAAAACGAACCTTACGAATGTTGCAGCCATTTGAGTGAAAAAAGGGTCAAAAGGAAGGTTTTTTGCGCCCAATAAGCTCGAAAATCGTCCTTACGAGGGGAAAGGAAAAAAGAAAGAGAAAGAGAGGAAGAGAAAGAAAGGAGGAGAAGAGAAAAAAAAAAGCAAATGGTTGCACTCTTAGTTTTTAATATGGCTTGATGGAAGAGGTCCATTTGGCGGTAACGTTTTCAAAAATCCAGCTAGGTATATACTGTACATATACATACTACATGTACACTGAAATGGAAAGGGTGTTTGAGCACTGAAATAGACGGCTGCAGTGATAAGGCCTTTCCTTGTATGTACACCTAAACCGGATCAAGGAGGAGGATCAAGCTTTATTCAACCTCTACTTAAAACCCCTTTCAGTAGCTGTTATTGGACAGATGTCCTCAGCCTTCCTGAGACCTTTCAAAGTAGGAAACTTGGTTTTAACTGTACATGTACATTCAATGCACGTTTAAAATGTAAAAAGTAAGACTACAATAAAAAGTAGTGCACCTTGATAGATGATGCATTGAGCTTTTTCACAAGTTTTATGATTATTTGTTAAGCTTCGGGCTGAACCTGCAGCTCAACTCATCATCAACACAGTATTAATCCAATCAATTGTATGGATGGATCTTCATACGTGTTGCACCTTATTAGTGAGCTCTGGCCATTTTAGGGCCTATATTTTAATGAGGTGAGCCATCCCAGTTAGCCGGACTAGCTCTGCTTGCCTTGTTTCCTCTTTAAATTGTTGGTGAGTTTATATGAGAAGGCAGGCTGGACTACTTGCCGAGATTCCAGTTGCTTGAGAAAATATCTCGGCAGGCAGGCCAGTGCACCTTCTCATATAAACACAACAACAATTTTAAAAGGAAACAAGGCATGAGCCGAGCCTAGCCAGGTAAAGTGAGCTAGCCTGGCTAACTGGGATGGCTTACCTCATCTAAACAGGCTCTTAGTCAAAAGGATACATAATCAGGGTGCAGAGAAAGTCAGTCTTACAGCTTGCCATTCGGGCAAGCTGCAGCTAACATGTACTAGCCCAAGAGTCATTTTAATCACCCCGAAAAAAAATTTGGATGAGCAGGATTGATTACAGTTTTCGTGTAATGTGAATTTCCCGCAAAAAATTCATTTGACCGTCAGGCAAGTTAAGAACAGAATTTGCTAGCCCAATAGCAAAATCTACCAGTGCCGGGCTATCAGACATGACTTTCTTTGCACACTGGTAAAACTCTTTTTGCAGAGGCTACAACACTGATTTTTTTCCCACCTACAGTTTGCACAAAGGTAGCCAGCCATTGGTACATCCATTAGCCGTCACTGATTTTTCCAGTCAGTGATAACATGGGAAAGTAGGTGAACTTTACTTATGTTTTTGGCGTTACTTCTTTTAAAACGTAATCAGGGAACATGCTTGTAAAAACCAGCGAATATTCCTGCCCCAGCCTGGACTTAAGTGATAGACCTGCATAGTCCACGTACAGTTCACACCTTATGATTGACAACCAATGCAGCTTGTCTACTTACTGTCTTCGACATAAAGTTTTCTGCTGTATCAAACTCTATAAGGTTCCAGCAGGATGAAACGCAATTGGCCCAGAAGAACTAGCAGGAACAAATGCCATTCTTTTGGCTGGTGGTTCTAATGATAAATTAGTCTTGCTGATAGTGTTGAGCATGGCCTCAGCCGCCTTCCGCTTGGACTCTTTTTTGGATCTGCCCTTCCCAGTGCACAGTAGATTGCCAATGGTTACTGTTGTCTCAAAAGTTCTTTGGTGAGGGGGGCCTTCACCATTGGTAACCTCAAATTCTGGCTTCTGCAGGCCTTTTTTGGCCACTACTTCCTGGAGATGGCCCACAGGGTTGTTATGAGGTGCTAATGCTGCCGTGGTAGTCCATTGCTGACAAAAATAGAGGGCTTATGTGTTAGTCAACCAAGCAGAGTTCCTGAAAAGATATTCTACTTCTTTAATGCATTGTTTCCTCTTTAAATTGTTGGTGAGTTTATATGAGAAGGCAGGCTGGACTACTTGCCGAGATCCCTGTTGCTTGAGAAAATATCTCGGCAGGCAGGCCAGCGCACCTTCTCATATAAACACAACAACAATTTTAAAAGGAAACAAGGCATAAGCCGAGCCTAGCCAGGTAAAGTGAGCTAGCCTGGCTAACTGGGATGGCTTACCTCATCTAAACAGGCTCTTAGTCAAAAGGATACATAATAATATTTTATTGTACTTCTTTTTACACACACAGTGTTACTAACATGTACTTCATATATGCAAAAACAAACAGAAGTACAAAAAGGTACAATTATTAAAATGGTACAGTCACCTCTCTCTATAAAGGCAGACAATGTTGGGACCACCCCTAAGTATACAACTGTAACAAGAGTTGGTCTTGGAGTGGAGAATGACAGGAACAAGCCATAGGAGTCCATTTTAAGGGGTTACTAATCTTTCAGAGGGCCCATTAAGACAGAGTTGACAGTAACCCAAAGACAAATATCATACTCACATTTACATAGTCAATGTACAATTGTGATTCCTTTAACTTATCCAAGGTAAGTCTTGCAGCCTCATGCTTTGCTTTCTTTTTTCCACAACCTGATCCCTGTCCAACCACATCCCCAACAGTGCAGCTAATAACAAATGTTCTGCTATGATTTGGGCCACTTTCTGAGACAGTTTCAAAATTGCAGACCAGTCCCATTCGCATGGCAAGTTCCATCAGCTCACTTATTGGTGTCTTAGCTGCCGGTTGAATGGCAGGTAATGAGCGTGGAGGAAGTTGGGGCCCATATGCTTCTTCCACAGAGGAGCCTTGTGGAACAAATGTAGGACCTAAGGGTACAGTCCCTGACATGCTGCAGCAAAACCACAATAATTATAACAAATAAAAACAAACATCACAATGAACTGATGCACAAGGATTGTAAATTAGAACAAGAAGAGATTGAACAGCTGACCCACTTTACAACAGTTCCCTTGGGGACGTTCATACAGCTGTATGTGTCTGACATGTAATTTTTCATATCCTAATAAAAGGTACCAATGATTTCCTCAGAAGCAAATTTATGACAGAATGGAGGGGTGTTGTATGTAAAACCTGTTCTCTGGTTAAGTGCATCTTGTGGCAGTGAATAGCAGCACAATGACATCAGTAACATTATAAATACGAACTAAATGTTTAATCATACACGAGGCTGAATGACTCACAAGTACCTTACGAAACCATCATTACACATATCCATTAGTTACGACAAAAGAAATCCATAACGCAAGAAAAACTTAAACAAACAGCTTACAAAAACACTTGAGAAACTTGTAGAAAACTTGAGGATATTTCATGGCGGCCTTGTGCACGCCAGTGCCAAGGCCCCATGTACATGCTCCTAATAAAGCAACGGGGAAACTTGCTGGTCAGGATACCAGCTGTTACATGTCTTCGAGATAGTTTGATTCAGAATTTCCTTTTTTTATGATTATTTAATGGAGACAAAGGAAATTTTGGTATATCCTGAGCATGGATTTTGCCTGGAAGAGGGCTAATTCAGTTTTCCTTGTGGAATCCTTTCAAGAACAAGGAAGAGAACAAAGTACACATAGCTTGAGTAAACAGCTGATATTTCGCAGTGCACCACCAGTTTCCTAGAAATGACCTCTGAGAAACGATGTCAGAAATTCCATACTGACAACTCATCACTAACCAGATCTGCTTCTGATTGGTTAACCACAAGCAAAATTTGCTTCTACCAATCAGAAGTACTACCATGAACTAGGTATGGGAATTTCTGTGCATGCTCACTCCCGGGCAAACCAGTGGTGGCATCACAAAATGTTGGCTGTTTTCTCTGGTTGTGCACATAATAACTTACTGCATGCTCAAGTTAACTTGCATGCAATCATAAATTGATTTTAAAAGGTGAATATACACGAGTGTACACCACAGATTACTGACTTAGCTTGGACCTTCTTCCACAATGAGTCGCTAGCCATACATAGAAAAATAGATTCTTGTTTTAAACATCTACCTGATTTATAACTTCCCAAGGTTGAGACAAATACACCTGAATACAGTTGCTATTAAAACAAAACCATTTTCAGAACTGTAACTTAAAACACGGACGTTTAAAAACTCTACATCTTCCATCTTTCAAGTGTTACTTTTGAACAAAAGGGAAGAAAATTCGTTTACCTTTATGCTCCAAAAAAAAACCTTGTTTTTTTACAACAGATTGCGGGAGAAAGGTATATTTAGAACATGTATTCCTGAATATTCAAAATGGTGGTAAAACTAGAAGCTGGTGTGATGATAGGATTGGGCGGAAGCTGAAGACTGGGCCCAACCAAAAATAAACTAGCACCCAGGCCCTTTGGCGAGTTTTTTTTTAATGAGGCTTTTCAACTCCTTGACATTTTTAATCATAACGAAAGTAGCACAGTTTCAGTTTAACAGTTAAACAGGCCCTCTTGCTTAGGCACCTATCCCTGAATCGCAGAGGCGATTTTTTGTTGTAATATATTTTCCTTGCTTTTCTTAGGCCACACATCACACATCCCGCTTGTACGAACTTTTTTCTCCTGCTGGGTTAAAGCCCCTCATTATATTCCTGTCAGCAATCTGCATTCCATCAGCGTCAGTGGTCGTCAGAGTGTCACATATTTTTAAAACAATGCTCTTTCGTTCCTTCACGCGAGCCTGCCCAAACGAGTTCCCGTGTGACAAGTCTATAAAACGCTGGAGTATGGAAATTTTCCTATGGGCCCTTGTGATCAAAGGGGTCATTTTTCTCAAACGAGGAGACGCGCCGTCTGTCAAAACATTCCTCACAACATATACAACATGGCTTTTCAATAATCAAATATCAACAGCATCAAGACCCAGCTCAAGACCTCCGTGATTTGTTTGTTCCGTACATAAATACTGCATCAAATGAAATACCATTGTTTATGATATAAAATATATTGAAAGATTCTCGATTAAATGTCAATATTTACCTGAAACGTTAAAATTGAATGGCGTCCTACTCATCTAGGAATGAAAACACCAGAATTCTCTTGCTACGAGCACAATACCATGTGTGACTTCCTAATTAACACTTTTGAAGAACAAGATCCAGCGTGATCAAAGAGGGGACCCGCCCGACCGTCACAGAGCTGGCAATCCGGTTTCGAAGAGAATTGTCGGCCTTTTGTTGCTTTTTCTTTTGTTATGCCTTATCATTAAGCAACTTTATGTTGTTTCATCTTAATGATTGGCTGAAACCACTAAACAGTAAATAAAAAAACCTATATGGGGGCAGCAGCGTTACTCGGATTCTGTCACTTAGTTATTGTTGCCTTAAAGGCTCAAATTGCTTTAAGAACACAAAAAAAGTCCCAAAAATCGATAGGATAACTTCCGGCTGGGCACGCAACAGATGAACTTAGTAAGATGGACCAGTCACCTCAAACAAAGATTGTGTTTACTCTTCTAGGACAACGACTGCCAGTAAACTTGACAGGCTTGAATTGGATCGGTTAGATCAAACAAGGGATCATAGACCAACGAACTCAAAATGGTCCGAAAAACTGAAGGCTATTCACTGCTCCTTCTCGCGGTGGTGATTATCTTTCTGAACATCCTCGCCATCATCGTTATTTTGCGCTTCAAAAAGAAATACAATCCAGATATTCTGATCCTTAGTCTTGCGATTGCGGACTTAGTAAAAGCGTTAGTTCCATTGAACATGACTTTGTACGCTTACCTCAGCGAGAAAGGAATGACAGAAGGCTCTGTTTCTTGTGTAATATTTGGCTGGACTGCCTTCACGCTCAACTGTGGAATTATGATGGTCATGACAGTCATGGCCATCGACAGATATATCGCCTTGTGTTGGCCATTGGCGTATAAGTACAAACGTTTGCTCTCGAAAAAACGACTTATTTACACAATCGTTGCTGTTTTTGTATTTAGTGGGACGCAATCTGTTCTGCCGCTGGTGGGGATTGGAAAAATGAGAGCCTACAACAATGGCAGCTTCTGCCATTTTGATTTCGATTCCACCAAACCTGCTAACCGAGCATACAGTATTTTTGTGCTCTCTCTTGGCATGGTTATGATTGTGGTTGTTGTGTTTTGCTACACATGCGCCATGATTAGCATAAAAGGCCTAATGAAGCGTCAGCGAAGGATGTCCATCTCTACTGGGGACCCTGATGGAGCAGATCGCAAGAGGCAAGCTATGAATAGCATGTTTGCTCGTCTAATGATCGTAATGATGATGGTTTTTTTCGTCTCTTGGCTTCTCTTCTTGGTAAGTTGCAATCATTTATACGTTTCTGTCATTTATCAAGTGTTCTTCTGCGTTTTGCAGTCGTGTGGAGAACATATTAAGTCCTTATTTATCTTTTTCATATAGGTGTACTTGCGACCTTGAACTCAGCTGTTGCTGTCCATGCTCGTATAAAATATTTTTGCGTTGTCAGGCTTTTGAGCTCAAATGTGATATTATTTTTATCTTTCCTTAAATGATTATCATAATTCAGGAAACATACTTATCGTGATTTAAACGACAACGGTGCTCTAAAAATTCTGCGCCCGAGTGTTTGACACCGTGTACTGTCCTATTAAATTCAGCTTAATTCGTGATTTCTGGCGCTGACAATTAACCGTAAAACTTTAGTTTTAGCTTCGCAAGCTATGACCTTTGATAGTATCCAGCTAGCGTAGCATGTTAGTCGGAATTTAGCGACTTTTATTCAATTTATTCGTTCTCTGAAAAATATGATACAAATATTTGCATGCGTGCAAAAATAGATGTCGCCTGACGCAGACCCGACTAGGAGACAACATGATAAGACGAACTTATCTTGTAAAACTAATGCGTAAAAAGATACAAAGAATACATCAACAGTAAGAAGTGTGTGTGAAAGTGAAAAGGCGACGTATAAAATGTTCGAAGAATATAAGCCATAACCATAACATGAAATCGAAAAGTATGTAATCATTAACAACGCTGAACGCGAGCGCTGAACATCAGAAACTGGGTTGATTATTTTTGCATATATAACGTTAATTTTCCTCTTTTTTGCTTTAGTGCCGTTCAATCTGAAGAATTTGGTTTTCTGACTTGTTAGATAGCTTTTGTTAAGGTAGCAATTCGTGCAATTCGCAGAAAGAATTCAAGGTTTTAAATTAATCCTTACTTCAAATTGTCATTGCAAAGGGCTCCAATAACCACTGAAGGTAATTCATCTGTCGCGTTCTGACAAAACAAACACTTTTGAAATTTTGGCGTGATTTCGTGCATAACAATCTGTTTGGTTAGAAAGCACTTTTAAAAGTTAATTGTCCCGTTTGTTGATAACTCTTTTTAATCGAATCCTTAACTGGTCATCGCGTTTCTTGTTATACAAAGTCGATTGGAAAATCGATCCCACTTCCGTGTTGTTTGATATACTGAAAACTGAGTTCTGTGTATTTTCTTTCCGTTTACCTGTAACGTTCCTGTTTGCGCGCGGAACAAACGGAATGCAATTAGCAGCAAAATATCAGAGTCAAGAGTTATTTTTGGCTTATAATTCTGGCTGTTGAACTTAGAAACAAAATATTTTTCTAATGATAAAATCCCATGACATGTTATCTTTTTTCGTCCAAGAGAATCACGCTTTTTCATTTTTGTACACTCAGAGCCGCTAGATTATGCCAGATACTTTTTATAGGTCAATAATGTTCTCGATTTATGGTCTCCGACCTCGTTCTTGGTGGTTTTCCTTTCAATCATAACACCGCTCACCATTTTTAAGGGAAAAGATACGTGAATGTCACTACATTCTAGTCGGATCAGTCGTTTCTCTGTTGATGGGTAATTGGTTTCCGGAATGATATCGTAATGATCACAAGACCATAGCATTCACCGCCGGATTAGCTTATGAATACTTCAGCCAGATACTTGTAGATTTTGTTCATAGCCACAGTGATCGCAATCTGAGAACGGTAGACTCTTTTTCTTCAGATTTAGTAAGGGGAGTACACGCGCGCGCGAACGTTGAGCGGCGAACCCCGTGCCTCTCCCGTCTCGCACCTTCAGTCACGCGCGTGGTCATTTGCATGTCTTGGGCGTTTTGCTCGACGGACCAAGGAAAAAGAGAGACTGCTCGAAGTCTAGATAAAGGCTTTTCTTTAACCATCATACTGGCTTGGTTTTATACAGTTTATTTGTGAAAACAATCATTAGAACTTGCACCTAGGGTGATCTTATCGCTGTAAAAAGGATGGGAAAAGGAACAAGCTAAGGGCAAAATAAGCGTTCTAGGTACTGAGCCTGCGTTACGGGAGTAAAGGAAGGGGTACTGGTTTGTCATATGTCTCCCTTTTTCAAACGGCCAGGTTCAGGAAGGGCAAAGTGTATACCCGTTTTCAGACCAAACCGGCCCAAAAACCCTACCCGAAGGGGCGGCACATACCTATACAGCTTATATAAGGGAGTACCCCCGGGCGCCTTCTGGTGGGTTAGGCTACTTTTGCGACGCAAGCTGTAGGTTAGCCGAAGTCATCGAAATCCCCTCTCCTTTTTTCAATTTTTTTTATGTCAGAGAGAGGCTGGCCGGGAACTTGGTATTGGGAAAGCGCCCGAGGGACGGTCAGCAGGGCGTCTCGGCGGTTAGAGGGATCGAAATCCCCCAAAAATTGTGATATGTCCGGTTCAAAGCGTAGTTTTTTAAGTACAAAGAGCGCTGTAACGTTTATTGCAGTTTTTGCTTTGTTTTGTTTTTTTAACCCTTTATCCTCTCTTGTATGACGTATTCTTTTCGTATGCTATTATTAGTGGAGAGAACTTGTTAGAGGATGAACAACAGGTCTAAAGGTCTCTAATGATAGATGGTGACTTCTCATGTGTAACAACATCTTACGTCTTTTTGGCTGAGTTAAGTTGATTTTTGCCTTTGTCTTTTCAGATTGTTATTCTTCAGCATGTGAGTGGTTGGTTCCAAATCCCACCACAAGCTCATTTCTGGTCAATGCGGTTGGCTGTTATTAACTCAGTTCTCAATCCATTAATCGGCGCCGCCATGTGCAAGCCATATAGAAATGGATATATATTCATCCTTTGCAAGATTTTTCACTGCTGTGGTTTATGTTCATCCTACCAAGCCGACAGTATGTTCATAAATCTTTAATCTGATAATTACCCTCAAACTTAGGTTATGTTCACACTGTATCGGATAGATTTTCGTGCCGACATGGAAAGCTACCCGAAACGGCACAAGTGCGTTCACACCAAACATCGCGCCGTCGAGTTTGGCCGAGAAGGTTTGGTGCACTAGATTCCAGTTCTCTCTCCTGTTTATCTACTTCCGCGACTGTAGTAATAGATGTTCACGCTGCAGCAAAGTATGGAACAAAACCTCTCCAATATGTACTGTGACACAACACTTTCGAGATCGTCGCGGCGCAGCTTTGCGCCGTCACAGTGTGTGAACAGAAGCCCTATCCGGTATGGTTTTCATGGCGGCGCAAAAGCTTTCCGGAATATTGTGAATATAACCTTAAGGTAGATACCCTGGGTACCAGAGTTTTTTTCTCGCGTGCGAGGAGGAGCTTTCGCCGGATGTCGGCCGCAGGCCAACACGTCTTCGGCCGAAGGCCGAATACACGAGCGGCGAAGCCGCGAGAAGACTTGACCAAAACCGGAAACCGCGCATGAAAAGTCTCTGGCACCCAGGGTATAAGGTAGACGGCCGGGGTACAAAAAAAATTGACGTCTAAGCTCCTTATCCTACCAGGCATTTTTACATTTTTCTCATCTGAGAGCTAATGGTAACTATACCTTTAAGCCTTCTAAGAAAATCCCTGCCGAACTATTGACTCTGATCTCAAAACTTATCCTGCAACATTCAGTTGGGGACACGCTATAGTGGCCGTTGCCGTGGTAGAGATGTGGCCTTTGTAGAGAGGTTTAAAAAAGAGTCAATGTATGGACGTTCCGCCGGGACAATAAAAAATGGCCATTGTAGAGAGGTGGCCGTTAGTAGAGGTTCGACTGTTGTTGTCAAGGCAACGGGTCTTTGAAGGGCGCTTTAAACTTTAACTTTTTAAAAATGATCACGAATCGAAGAGAGACAAGTTTCTTTTCATTAGAAAGTATGGTCTTTTTAGTTGTGCTTACGTTGCCGCACTGATTCTTGAAAACATGTTCTTTGTTTGCAACGCATATCTTATGAGGTCCGCTACCTTGTTTTTTCGACTTCCAGATCCATGGACACGGCGGCTTTCGCTAGGTTCACGACGCAGTTTTGATGTAGAACCAACCACACCGACCACAGATCAAACGGTGGTTAAAGTCACGAGCAATCCCTCATTCAGTTATCATGATTCTGGCATTGGTCCTGATGGAGGCAGCATTGGATACCATCAGGGTGGCCTTATTTACTCCGCTTATGAACAGGAACCATGGGAAACCGAAAGCTTTTATCGCACCACTGTTGACGGAGTCCAGGAAAGGCCACGTCTACATAAGAAGCGCATTTCTTTCAAAGACGAGGTCGAAGCAAATCAAGCTGCACTACCGTCACCTAAAGAGAAGGAGGATGCTGGATCCAACGTGCGTCTGTCCGCTGGTAAAACAACTCCAAAACAGGAAACCTCTGATTTACCTTCCAGTGACAAATATGGCTGTTACACGCAAGAAAATGGTTATGAAAACAAAATCATAGTCTCGCCAGAGATGGACGCAGCTTTTGAAGATGAATCTTCTTGCGGCGACACACGATCCAGTTCAAGCAAACGAAACAGAAAAATCGCTGTCTCAGGTATGATACTCTGACGTAATAGCCCGTTCAACGCCTTATTTGGGAATGGACGTAGTGTGAGGCTAGAGGGGAATAAAAGCCGGTAGACTGGGTCCGAAAGGTGTTATCTTCAACCCAGAATGTCCATGTATTTGTCAAACGCACGCAAGTTTCTCCCTTTCAAAAACCTACAGGTGAAAAGGGCTAAGAAAATTAATTTAAAACATTAGACAAGTCTATTTAGCTTTCTTACATGGTAGTACAGTTAAACTCCGTTTCGTGGACACCTTATTATTACGAACAGTTTGCTTTGTGCCTGAGGAAAGAAAGCCCTTCCAGTTTCTCTAAATTCAAACTCCTTTTATAGGGACACCCCGTTAATACGGACACTTTCTATGGCCACCTCACTGTCCGTATTAACGGGCTCTGTCTGTATATTTACTAGGCTATAACTATACTTAAACGTCTTTGTTCACTTATTTTTCTTTCTTGTTCTTTTCCCTAGTTTATCCGTTCATGTGCAAGACACCAGAATTGTTTAACGATAACTCTTTAGGTAACAGTCAGCTATCTCGCGATTCACAAGGTGACAATGGTGAAAACGTAAAACAAAATTTTGCAGTGACAGAGAAAGCTAAACAGGATGTAAAGCCATCTAAAGCAGATGTTCTGACGGACTGCAACCAGTTGTCCCTTAGCGCTATAGATGTAACATCAGAGCCATTATCTAAAGACTTTGAAGGGGAAAATGCATTGGAATTAAGTCCAGAAGCAAAGTCTACGGGAAAAAGAGCCGATTGTTTCTCGTCACCAGGCCCCCTTGAGGAGACAGGGCCTCAGACTCTTCAAGTCACACATTTTCCAGTTAATACAAACTCTGGTATAAAGACAACTGTTTTGCCCGACCGCTTCACATCGAGATCTTCCCTTCCATTTTCAAGGAGTCGTTCCTTCATAGAAAGAACTTTTGCCACCTCGTTTTCTCGCACAAAGTTGCGTTCTCGGTCATTTGCCAATGGTTCAACTTCAAACGCGAATCCATTTTACGAGTTTGACAATTTGGGTTATCAGACAGCTGACTTGCCGTTTCACAGGCATTCCGTGGATCTAGCCGGGGAACAGCTAGGTGGAATTCAGAGCTATTCGGAATCTGATTTTACTTTCTCCTTACCAGAAACTGTTCTGGTTTCCCCTCATGGAACACCAAATACAGAAAGTTTCAGAAGTTTCCATGCTGTGGAGCACCATAATCCACCCAACAAAAGTGGGATAAGTGTAGGTAAGAACTGTCGAGACATCGACATAAAAAGAGAGGAAGAATGATCATACTGTGGGAATACTACACACGTAAATATCGCCCCATGTAAGGGAATCTGGAATACGGGAAAATTTTGCTTGTGGAATCCAGAATCTAGGAAATTTATTTTGTTGAATCCGGAATCCAGGAAATTCGTGTCGTGTAATCGGGAATCCTGGGATTTGGAATCCGGAACCCCACTACCAATTGGAATCCGGAATTTAACTCCCACTGGCAAAGAATCCGGAATCCAGTACCTGGAATCCAGAATCCATGGCGTGGAATCCAGAATTTCAAGACTGCCTTGTATCCCCTTTCATGGGGCAATAAATTCGCCATAGGTCTCTTTCAGTTCATCGTATGTCACTTGTATTACATCAATAACTGTTACTCGCTATTTTACCTTGGTTGCCAGAGGTTTTTTATTGTACTAAAATTAAGTGAACTTGGTCTCACGAATTTCCACCAATTATTTCATTCTATAGGATATAAGTCTTAAGTGAGAGCAGACTTCTTGGAGTCGGGGTCGGTTATTCTCAGTGGCATAGAGAAACGTAACCCTGTGTTTATCATCGAAAAGGCTTCTTAAAGAACTTTGGCGTTGACGTCAGTTTTTCTCCTTATTTACCCTTTTTTATCCACCAAGGTTTACTTAGTTTACACTTTTTTGCAGAAAATGAAAACAGACCTCAAGGGCAAAGCTCCAATCAAGACATAGTGCGAAAGTCTAGCAAGATTTACAAGGAACTGAGTGAATTAAGCCTCGAGGAACTGGAACGAGAGGTCTTCTGTTGAGGTTATAGCATTTAGTAGAGGATGAAAAGTTCCAATAAGTGTAAAAATCCATCGCTTGGTAAGCTGTTGAAATGTGAGAAATCCCAGGTTCTTTTGGAAAGAAAAAAATAAACTTGTGAAATGTGTAATTTTTTAACAAATATCGTGATCTGGAAATTTTTCTTAAATTTTCAGGTCTTTTGAATACCTTCTCCCTTCATTACTTTTATCTTTCTTTGCGGTTGCCCAAACTGCTTTTCTCGGAGGCGATAATTATTATATGACAATGTATTTTCTCTCGATTTTGTCGACGGCCTTACCAAGTAGCTCAAAACTGCAAACTTGTAGACTGAGAAAAAAGGCACGATGCATTTTCTGTTGCCCTTTTCTAATTTCTCCTACAGTTCGCACACTCCCTCTTATTCGTCACGAGTGTGTGTGTGCAAAACTGAATGAAAGACGGAAGCCTGCAGTCTATACCGTGACTGCATAAAATTCGAACTTTATGGCCACAGGCGTAAAATATTACGCTGAACAATGGTGAATAACGGGAAGCTATAACTAGGAGTTTTTTCACGACATTAGGGCAGTCCTGCGTTATATTAAGGCGGGACTGATAGAACTTGAGACTATTGATGATGCTAGGCGATCAGTTGAGGTAAACCAATCATATCGAAAAACGTTATAGAAATAACGGTGTACTTTTTGTTTTTTGTTCGATAAGATTTAGTTGTAAATTTAATTCCCTTAATATATGATAAATTATTTCGATTGAAATCTATCTTGTTGTTTGGTTATCAATTGCACCAGCATTAGTTTTTGCGATAAACTAAACGAGTCTATTCCTGCGTATCTAGTGAAGACCCTTATTTCTTCTACTCTGACGTCACTGGCACCATAATTTACCTTCCATGCCCGTGGCAGACAGGAGACACCGGCTCAATCTCATGCGTCTGACATACAGCGGTTTTCAGTAAAGGTACTTAATAAATGTCTGACCATCGGTATTTTAGGCGCGGCTAGAGGGTCACTGTGATGTCACTCGTGTTCTTCCTGTGGTCAGAAGGTTAGAGACACTTTGTGTTTCAGAAAATACAATTCAAGTTGACCCTCTTCCCCCTGGACAGTGTTGGGTGTTACAAGTCAACTTTGTTCCGAGGGAATGGGCAAAAATCTTGTTAAGGCGGTGTTTATGAGTGTGTTTTGCCGGGTTAGCTTCAAAACCCCCAGCGTCAAATTCCGTACAAAAACACCTGAAAAAGAGGAGGTGTCCCAGAACCTTTTGGCTATGATTCTATTTGCCCGAACTGCGAGGGGCGATATTCCCTAGAACGGTCTATCCTGGGATGTCTCTTTCACTTCTGCCAAAACAGAGGATTTTTACAAGTTTGGGTGTGTGGTTCGGAAAACTGCTGTTGAGGTATTTTGATAAAAGGGTCATCCGTTAAAACGTCACTCCGTCGTTAACTACGCTGCTTATGTAGGTAGACGGAATTATGTATGTTAACTTATCAGAAGGGGCACCATTTTGGTCAGAAATGTTACATAACTAGTCCCTGAGTACTCAGTCTTCTGCATTATATTTTAGCTTTTATTGGAGGTTCTCGCGATGATAAATTATCCTTGCACGCACAAAACAAAAAGCCTGTGAGCAGGTTCACTTGTCCGAGTTCTGGGAAAATAGCCACCAGGTCAGATTTAGGAGTCAAAAATGACTTTCTGTCGTGCATTTGGACCTGCGTACAACGCAAAAAATTTCAAAGGACATGAATCCATTGAAAAGGCACTGGGCCGCTATACTAGCGAGGAAGGCATATCTTACTTTACAAGCAGCTGCCCAGGAAAGTAATTAAATAATCGTGGGGTGTAAGTGAAGTGTGCCAGGTGATTGTGTTTGTTCTCATCACGTAGTCACACTTCTTGTCGTAAAGGACCGGTAATTATATATCTCTCTAACGGTATATTAGTTATGATAATTTTGCTTCAGGAAACATATACGTATACCATTGTGTTCGTATAGCCTGTGTACAACCGCCCCATCCCCGATTTTGCAATTAATTGAGGGGCGTGGACGGCTGTAGACAGGCGCTATTCTGCTTATACATATTGAATAGGTGTTTTACAGTTTCATTGTCAATTAGAAAGTTGGGATAGATTTCATCTTTTAATGTTCAGAGATTCCGCTCGCTGGTATTGAAATATAGCATTGATCGTAATGATTCTGCATGAAAATGTTTTGCGATACCTCATGAAATCAGACCAATCAACTTAATTGCTCAGTTTACAATTTTGCTATGCTTACAGTGCACAAAAACAGGTGAATCCATTACCTAAGAAAACAGAATTCAAGTTAGTGGGTAAAAAGTAAAACGAAAACTGCTCTCTCTTTTAAATAATCAAGTCTATTTATTCCACTTAATTCACACAAAAGGCACACAGCTAGTTAAAGATGAACGGACTAAATCGATTTACGTGAGTGCCTTGTTTATTTCGCCTATCCATCCAAGAGAGAATAAACAGAATAAATTACTTTTATTTACGTATTTTAAGGAAGAACAACTTCTAATTCTTTTTGCTAGATTTTCTTAATTACTTTTTACCAACTGATGTCACTGGTATTACTGTGACACATAGAGCATTTCGTGGCCTAAGGTTGTGCATTTTATTAAAACTTTGCATCTGCTGTGAAACAGAGAGATTTTTATCAGCCGCAGTATTACCACCAAAGAAGCGTTTTTGAAAGAATACTTTGAAATCCCTCATTTGTACAACGTAAATTAAAAAATTAATTGCGCTGTTTGCGAAGGCAATCACGCCGCTCCCGTAGCGAATTATGTAATCGGTTTGGAAGGTTATATCTGGTTTGGCGATCATGTTATATGCCACGTAGCCAAAGTAGAAAAAATAGGGAATAATGAAAGCAAACGTAATTACAATAAGAAGAAGGGTTCCCCGGATTTTTGCAGCTCGCAATTTACTCCTCATTGGGTAATTTAAGTCAATGGAAACCCTGGTTTTGACTGTCACCCAAACAGTTTTAATTAACGAGATATTTATGATCATGAGAAATATGCAGGGAAAAATATACTCGATTGCAGTGAATGAAAGAAAAATGAGTCGAAATGGAAAATATTCTTTATCATACTTACAAATGACTGTGAAGTGCGTTTCATTCAGGTCATACCTTATTCCCCTAAAAGTTGCAGCGGCACTGAGAGTACTTATACACCCAAGAAACCAGGCCAGGAAAATTGATCTGCGAACAGTCGATGAACTTAAGGACCGAGGCACTCGCCTCAATGAAATATATTTCTCGATGCTTATCACTATTAGGTTGTGAATAGTAATAATGGGGAATACAATGTTGACAAAGCGAACTGCCTTACATGTCCAGTCAGTCTGAAAAACATCGAAGCAAATCTGAATGCAGGTGAGTGGCAGTGACACTGAAGTGGAGAGGATGTCAGAAATAGCTAAGCTTCTCACAAACAAATTAAACGTTTTTACAAAGCGGCTTCTTTCGATGCGGCTTAGTGTTTTTTCTTTCCAGGACACAAAGGAGACGACTAAGACATTTCCTATAAACCCCACCACACCAACAACTAGCATCGGTAAAACCAGTGCAAGTTTTGTTGTAAGTCCCGCTGGTGTAAAAGTGTAGACTGCACTTTTGGAAGTTGAGATATTCCCAAATGACGCTGTGATTTCGCTGTCAATGACCATTCTAGTGCTGAAGATGTTCTCTGCCTGTGAAAATATATAGTTTTGTTAGAACACGTTGAAGTTTCCTTTCAATTTTTTGTTGTTTCGTATGCACGACAACTGTTATAATTAAAGAACTTTCTCTTCAGAAGAACTTACAAAAGCATCGGCCCTGTATTTATAGTACCTTAATGTATCCCCAACTAAACTATGACAAAACAGTTTGAGCTACTACTTACGTTTTCAAATTTCACTTATGTTGTTTCACTCCAAAAGCAAACTGAGTTCCAAGCATTTCTTCGCAAGATCCACGATGAATTATCCTAGATATGTCTCAAGTGAAATAGAGAGAGAGAGATGATGATGATGCTTGTGTTATGATACAATGATGGCAAGGCCAAAATATGTTAAATATTTACCAAGCGAATTTTTCTCTCTGCTTTGAAAACATCGGTAGGGATTTAGAAATTATGTTGATTCAAAGCAAATTGACGGCTAGGACCCTAGCTCGTTTCGTGAAAAAGATGTTAGAAGCATCTCTAAGAAAAGAGTAAGGCACATTTAAATCCGTCCTCCTCTTCACTAATGATGTTAATATACAATTTGTCTTATTGTTTGTCACTACTTTGCACTAATGATGATAACTTATTTGTTTTATTGTTTGATGATAACTAAATGGCACTAATGGTGCTATAAATAATTTATCTTTTTGTTTGAATATTTCCACCTGGACTGGCAAAATTTTGCAAAAAAGAAACCGTTATATGCTCCATACAAAATCTTCCATTGACTAAATTGAGGGAAGAGATTAAGCGGATAGAGGATGAAGCGGATGTCGTTGTTGGGCGAAGGTGGTGGATAAGAAACGTAGTTTCCAACATAGTTTATACTGAGACTAAGATATATTCAAAAAAAATTATCTACTTTCTTAACTAAATTGGATCATTCAAAAAGTGTTTAAAAAGTGTTCAGGTAGTAAAATTTGATTAATGCCATTTGCCAAGCGTATTTTTTTGCTCTAAAGACAACCGCTTATGCAAAAAAAAAAGAATGACAATGAAAAGGTAAACGAGAAGAAATAGAGCAGAAACAAACAAATAAAAAAATACTCTCATAAGTTTTAAGTTCAATTTCATTTAATCAACTAGTTATTCAAATAACTTTAACATAAAACAATAGAGAGCAGAAAAAAACAGAGCTAGGCAGTATTGAGCGTTAATTTTCACTCACGTGACCAGCATCTATGCAAATTTATTGGAACAAAAGAATAAACTCTCTATTATAAGGGAGGCGATTAACTTCAATTTTTGATTATAGTTATTGTCTTCCAGGTTGGCGATGCCACTTTGACTAAGCCTTGCAAGGCCTTAATTACACTATAGTTAACAAATCCACAAGACATTTCGGAAAAGCTGTTCACAGTCCTCTATTTTCTTTGTAAGATCATTGGAATCGAGCACCTACTGGCACCTAACATCTGTACCGTCACAAGCGACCATCTTGTCTTCAAATATGCGGAGTCTAGCTTGGTGAGAGTATCAAATCTACTAAAGAGCTCGCCACGTCAGTCCATTTGAAATCAAGCTAGTACATGTTGGATCAAAATAGAATGGTTTTCTTTATCGTTTTATAATTTTAACCTTTTTTTCGACCGAATTCAAGATGGCAGCCGACAGTCAGATACAAGATGGTGATCATGGTGGACTGTGATAGTCATGATGTAATTCTCACGTGATTTGAATGAACCAGTATAATGAATACAGACTCACTTTACTACCCATGTTTTTTTTTCTCTTCTTTTTAATCTTTATCATTTCTTTATTGACTTTATTTTATTTTTAAGGTTGCGCAGTTTCTTTGCACCTTAAAGTAAGGGTTACATTGATCTTTTGACTCGTCGGCAAAAGTGATACCAAGTTTGCATGTCATATCGCTTGCTGTGCGTGATCGGCAGTGAAATGAATTACCCGCCAAGTTTAAAATTACATTATGCCACTCAAACCGGCCAATAAGGTGGCGTCCTTAAAATAACCACGCAGTATGACAC